TCGCCGCAGCAACCTCCAGCTTGGAACCCCGCGGACCAAGCGGCTAGGGAAATCACGGAATGTTTAACGCTACCAAGCCACAATCCCTCATGGCAGAACACAACTTCCACTGGATGGCCCAAAAATCACTGGAGAGGAGAATTCGGGTATATATTCATATAGTGTATGCCAAGCCCCTATCATTAGCCAATTAATTACCAGCGCCTATTCAGAAGTTGAGCTTTTCCTAAAACTAGTTTTGATGAGACTATCACTGGAATATACGGTAGCCCCGCTGTATCTGGATCGCGATATACTAATATAATTTTGTTCGCGTGCAATTACAATCTCGGTTGCACTATCGGACCGAACGTAACTCTAGACCTGGTGCTTGCAAATAGTAAGAACCATATATCGTGATTTGCTGGTTGCAGTGGGGCCCAGTATTAAGAACAGAATGTTAAATGGTGAAGCTGGCTTTGCAATTCTCACCCAAGTAAAAGTACAGTCTGCTGCAATAGTGTTTCATTAGAATGATGTTCACTGTTGCTCTATTTGACGACAGTCGGAGGTTTGGCAATGTATGGTACCAATCAGCTGTATGTTAACTCTCTTAGATGACAAAAAAGGCAATATCAGCCTTGCGATAGACATGCTAACGAACAATAATACGCACGCCTGTATGAAACTTCAACTTCCACAGTCATAAGATTTATAAATCCATATATTCGTGTATATTCCTGACGAGTCTTACTAGCCATCCTATCAACCATTATTGAATTCTCCGGGAAAAGCGCCCATTGCAAAGCGGTTTTGCAGGTACAGCTATCACCGCCCCTGGTGGATTCTCGCCACTTACCAGTGTTCGGTTTGTGCCGACCGGTTGATACCCTTCAAGATCCAATTATTTTGGTTATTCAAAACCTAACCACTACCAGCATTTGGAAAGTGACCATATCCAATTTCCGGAGCAACATCTAACTCCATTTCAGAAGGCCATACCGGCTTTCCATTCGACTTCAAATGGGAGTTTGACTTCGCCCCCGAATGAGTCGCCTGAAGGAAAGTCAAGTCCCCTCTGCCCTTGACGTAGCCATGAGAAGCAACATGGGTATTACTGCCAAGCTGAACGTCATCTTTGAAACAGAGAGTCACGTGCCAACCTAATGGATCCGGCTTATGTATGCCTCCTTGACTGGTACTGGAGTGCTCGTTGGACCTGCCAGTCGAAATTAACAAAATATTCTCTTATGACCCTGGCCAGATAAAAACCTCTCCGAATCCCTGTCCGCTGTGCTGGAAGTCTTTCTCACCTGATGAGGATGGCCTTGGGGTAGAGTTTTGTTTGCAATATTTGCCTCAGGTGCCCACTGTAGATAACCAGCCTAGCTAGCTTAGATCTTCTCTCTCCTCTCAACCCAAATCAACCATCGTTCTAAGCAGTGTTCTGTACCCTTCCCCGCTGAAGAAGTTTCCTGTCTCTTGCGGTCTGATAGGCAAGGGCGATCAAGTCTCGCAGCCTCTGTTGATTTTCAGGGAGCATTCCCCGGTAGAAGTAGTACTTCACCATGTTGATGGTCGACATAGGAGGCAGTGGTGTGCTTATTATCGATTTGTTTTTTTTTAAAGGTGTAAGGTGGAATAGAATTGAGGAGATGTCGACTAGTGCAATTTGTTACCGAGAAGAGCAGTTGGGAAGTGAGATTCACCACAATTGTCAAGGGGCTAGGTTTTATAAGAGTGAGAACCTTCCAAGCTAAACCTCTTTATGCAGATCTATCACATCACAAGTCAGGGGCAAGCTGCAAAAGGAACGATAGGAAGGCCATTTTGAAAGCGGAGAGCCAATGAACAACGTGCAAGTTTGTACGTCACGTTTAGCTGTATCAGCACATATTTGACCGATAAATTGCATTGGCAGAATACTTGCAAGATTTAGTCTCCTAGTTTTCTATTGGATATCAGCATGAACCCTGATGTGGCTGCGCAAGTTGCTTAATTTATGCGCAAACCACCCATTAGGCAAGGCAACTCAGATAGATTATACCGATCAAATGGCTCTCAGCCCTTTCTAGTTGTCATGGAACAGCGCCGTCAAGTAATATTATCTCGCCCCCGATTGGATATTGGTGAAGATGGTTGGAGTAAGCGGCCGGGGTTGACTCGTGTGATTGTGCAGCAGAGTGCATTATTAGTCACATTTATGTGCTATCCCGCTTTATACTGTGGTAGTACACTACGCATATATATGCAGATGCCGCATTACTTAAGTAGGAAATAATAAAATATCTATCCATCAATTTGGGCTGGACAACGACTACGTCTCAAAGCAAGCGTGCATTCCAGTTCGGAGGCAACGACAATGATTACATAGCCTTCCTTGAGGCCCCGGGGGCTGGCTTTCAGTTGCATTAAGCCAAGGAACTAGCCGTGTATTCATTGGCTCGGCTACTTCGTTGTGCGTTGTTCCAGCGATCACATCATCAGATTCTGAGCCGAGTGCTTCTGCGACTGTATTATCGGACTCCCAGCACGGCAATTTATGTTGAGATGGGTGTTTGCCCCAACCCTCATTTGATGTAGATAAACCCTCCTTCCATAGGCTTTCTCTCCTTCTCCTCTCTTTCTCCTCAGAGAGTCAATTCAATCAGTTCTTTCTATCGCTGCGCTCTTTTAACAGGTTATAAAATCCTTCTGACAGAATAAAGTATTCTATACGCTTCTTCTGTACTAGATACTATTTCCTTTCCTGGAAAAGAGGGTGGTTGACTCCAGTCAACTTATCCTATTTTACCCTTACTTTTACTTGATTTACTTTACTTTTGTTAGATCTACTTCTTCTCCGATATAATTAGACCTCGACAAAACCCGCCGCGGTTCCAACTTTCAAACCCGCCCCGCGGGTTGGGTACGGGTTCTTGGCAAAACCCGCATAACCCGTAAACTTGAATAAATCGCCCAAAAAAGAAGGTTTTGACAGGTCTTAGTATCCATGGATGTATAATTCGATAACTAAACAATTTATGTACATAAATTGCCTGTTTGTCTTGTTTGACCAACCCGTATAACCCGCCGGGTTTCAAAACTGGAACCGTGGCCCGCCCCGCGGGTCGGGTTGGCTACCCAAAACCCGCCAAGAAACGGGTTTTGGGTAACCCGCGACGGGTAACCCGCGGGTTGTGTGGAGGCCTAAGTTTAGTAGGACTTCTATAGTAAAGAATTGAAAAAATACTCACGGTCAATGCAATTAGCCATACCACTACAAATCCCATACTTAAGTACACGTGTAATATATCTTTAAAGCACTCCTGCTAAGCTAGACTAATAAAATTATATCGCAATGACGAGAACGTCAATATTCTATTTTGTTTGGATCCTTCTGGCGTGATTATTCGAAAAAAGGGAATATCTCTAACAATCTTCTTTCATTCGAATGTATCATTCGAATGTAAAAGATTCTCTGCTTTTGGGAGGCTTCGTATTAATAACCTCTACTAACGTATTAAGGCCTTTGAAAACGCTGTCAGCTACGCCATGTACTATCACCCAAAAAACAAAATTCATTCTAAGAATCAGATATTCTCTAAACCAATTTTTAGGCCTTTTTTATTTAGAGTTAGTATTTTAGAGCTATCTATGTTGTAGAGAGCGCTGCAATCTTATAAAGTTGTATCATCCCGATAACGCCATCCTTTCAAGAATTCTGGATCGATTGTTACCTAATGTTTCAGAGAATTGGTCTCGGGACTCCATTTGAGGTTAGATTTGATATACTATTACAATCATATTAGTATAGCATTTGATAGTATGGTCCAAACACAAACCCTATAGTATAAACATTCGTTGGAATTGCGATAAACACTTAACTCAACCACAGCACCCACCCTAGTACCAGAGCCAGCAAACAAGACGAAAGCACTTTCAGTCTGGACACATACCCTCTTATACCTGTAATCGTAGCAATCGTTGCTAAACAGACCGCGAAGCATATAATCTATATCCTTAGCCGTGACTGTATAGCGTTCTCGCGGCTTTGTCGGTAAATTGTATTTAAGGATCAATCCTGTTCTAATGAACTTCAAGATATTAGATTAATCAGAGCAAATCGATATGAGAGTCTTACATTCAGGACATCTTTCTTGATTTCATCAGGGAGGGAGCGAGAGGTCTCGCGCTCCCATCTCGAAGTGAAGTTGATGAGGTTCAAACAGGCAGACTTCTGTGAAGGAAACTTTTTTGTTGTTGCAACATAATCCTCTGCAAATGATTTCAAGAGTTGTGGAGTTGGGTCTGGTTCGTCTTTTGAAAAGTTGGTATAGGCCGCTTTATTTCAAAAAAGTCTCCAACTATTGATTGTCAGTAGTAGACCGTCAACTAAAACTCAAAAATATATAGAGTCTAGTTCAAAGCAAAGTCTTTATATTTATTAAGCGTTGCAAATGCTAGCTTTCTATAATATATAATATTAGCTTCGTTCTCCCACTCAGTTTGATATCTATATATAAAACCACGTAATATACTATGTATAATATACTCATCAAAAGCCTTTTAAAAATCTTTAAGGAATATAATTTTGGATGCCAGTGGTATAAAGAAAACTAGAACAAACCGGAATCAAAGCCTTCATAAGGTATTTATTACTTTAGTTTGAGTCGATATGCGAGGGGATACCATCACCTTGTCACTTGTTCTCACCTCTCTCACCTCGATCTCGAGAATTCTCACATATATCACCCACACTCACCCTAAGACAAATATTTTTGCCATTTTGGTTTTTAGGGCGCCTCGAGGATTGGCCGCGTAGAGTAATGGGATTAAATACGGCTGAGCGGACGGGAAGCCCTGTTCTCCATATCCTGTGGTCGTATATACTTGGACATATTGTCTGAGGAATCACAACCTCCTCTCCTCAATATATGAAGGATTTGATGTAAGTCATTGCAGAGTCCAGATTAAATTCGATTTCACAGATTATTTCAACGTCAAGATCAACTTTTGAAGCTCAGTGCTTAACATTTCTTTTAAAAAAATCCCCTTTTGCCACGTTTGGTGTAGAGCAAATACCAGAGCCCTAACAACTGAAGTGCACCAAACGCCATCGTAATTCCGCTAAATAACTGAATGCCAAGGAAGTTCAAATCAGCACTACCGGTCGAGTTGATCGAAGCAAGTGCGCCTGCTATTGGTGGACCTAGCAGGGATGCAAAACTGCTCAGACTTTGCGCCATTCCTAGCCAGGTACCAAGGCGTTTGGGATCCGGACAGACGTGAGCAAAGACACTGGGCGGGAGAGGGATCAGCGCTCCGGAGATACCGCCTGTGAGCTGCGTGAGTGACGATACACAGTTGGGGACCTAGCACATAAAGAAACTACTCACCATAAAAAGCCGCAAATAGGATGAATCGAGCCAGGCTGTCTGTGCTAATCCACGTGAGACATAGAATGCCGGAAAGTATACCGCATGATATCCAGGATACCATGGACCCACAATAGTGAGCAAACAGGGTCAAGATGACACGGCCAATGACAGAGGATGCCTGGGATATCAAAAGTACATTGGAGGCCATAGTGCGCGATGTTCCCAATTTGGTCTCGGCGTAAGTTGGAATGTAATAGAATGGCGTGATGTACCCAAGGTAGAGGAAAAAGTTGGCAACAGTGAAGCTCCAGAAAGGAAGATCTTTGAAGGCCTTGAGATCGATCAAGCTTCTGCTTTGGGTAATTTCAAGTTTGCGAGATCCTCTCTCAGGAAGTAAAAGAAGGATCGCAGCTGCAATGAACAAGCCGAGCATCACAAACCCCATTAGACGAACCGTCCACGGGAACCCAAGTCTCGATATCAGCTGGTTAAACATGACAGTGTATATGATTCCGCCTGCGGGGGCCCCGCTAGTTGATACACCTAGTGCAACGGCTCTTCGTGATGTGAACGAGCGACTGACTAGTGTGATACTTGGCACATAAAGGAGACCAAACCCCACACCCATGCATACTCCTTGGCTGAGGAATATGGCATAGTATTGATGTGCTAGACTCAGCATCATCATACCCAAGACACCCAAGAAACTACCGGCAAAGATCATTGTTTTGTAGTAGCCGAGGTCAAAGAGCGGACCGGAGAGTAAGCCTCCGACAATCAAGAGCCAGGATTGAATTGTGCCAATCCAGGCAATGTCCGATGCAGTGGAAGATTGAATATAATTCAGCGCATAGAAGCTTTGAAAAGATCCGAACGCAAAATTTAATCCCCTTCACTGAAGTAAGTAATAAGGTTTGGGCTCAAGCTGGAAATTGACAAACCAAACGTTGAATAGGATGAAAAAAGCACCTAGAACCTGAAAGCACCCAAGCAATTTAGACCGAGCAGGTGGTGAATTTAATTCATCTTGTGGCGTGTTGGGTGCTAGCTCTGTGACTTCAGAGTTTCCCGGATCTTTTTCAGGTAACATGCTCGCGGTGCTTAGATGAGTCGAAGAAAAATTTCTTCGAGATGCAGCCAAGTATGAGGGTTACTCCAAAATTAAGTAGCCCCTCATACATTACTAATTCAACCCTGGAAGATCATCGGACTCGTATGCGACATACAGTATCCGACAAAGAGCGGGGTGAGTATTGGTTTCCGTGGAGCGATTGACCACAATGGCACCAAGTTCTCTGAAATCCTAGAATAGATGATAATCCTCATCGAACTTATTCATTCCAGTCAATTCAATCATCAGGATCATATTGCGCCATCATGGGCGAAACTGAGTGATGATGTGGTGCATTCACCAAATTTGCCTCGGCTAGAATCAGTTACCGACGAGAGCAAAACATCGATGCAGCCAACTCACCGAATCTGACCAACTCTCACAAGATTAATTTTATGTTCCCGAGCCCACAAGCAGGACTTGTCCATTGTTAGGTTTTCCGGCCTGCTGGTAAGACTCACTTGCCTCGCCGGAAAAGCAAGAGAGACAGCCAAAGATGACTGGAGCTTTCTGCCCAAGCACAGAACACCTGAGCGGACAACACAATGTGTCATGAAGCCAAATCACTCCAAGCATCGGGGAAAACTCCTATCACGGTATTGTTCATGTTGGTATTCCATCCTCTCCCCTCGCTAGGAATGTCGTGGTGTAGGTCAGAAGGGGTATGCGTGATGTGCTCGAATGTGTCCAATCCCGAGCACAAGATGTAGCCCGTACTTCACTTGTGCCCCTTATTCGAACGCATAGGGTTGTATCGAAATCAAGATGTTGATACTGACGACGCAAGAGATGAAAGTGGGTGATTAATAGCGCTGACGGAAAGTAGAAATGGGAAGTTCTTTGGAGGATGCGAGACAGTCGTCGCTTTCAAATTCTGGACAAATCATTATTAGCAAAGCGATTTTGGCATCAAAGTAAGCTGGTGACTTGCCTCGAAACAGGCGATAGATCATAGTGGAAGTGATTTCTGGAAGTTCGCGCTGGCTTCACTCTGTGTTGAGCCTACAGGGCGAGAGAGAAGAAGAAGAAGCGGACAGAACCGATTGAGTTCACCCCGGAGAGAGAGAGAGAGGGAAGAAGGAGGGAGAAGCGGGAAGCGGATCTAACCACAAACGAGGCAGGACTCGCACCGGACCAGGCGGTTGGAATGCCATGAGAACAAACCTCCCTTGTCCGTGAAGAATGGCACTATCACGAAGGTGTATAGCGCCCCGGGCCGAGGTGCCTAAAGATACCCGACTCCAGATCGCTGCAGACACCGCTTCATACATGATACTGTAATCCGAATTTCAAGATCTCTGGGGCTCTGTTTAGAGTCCTCTTTTCTCTCTCTTGATACCTCTTCTGCGGTCTCCACCACTGCGGATGTGGCTTGGGGCTCACTTGGTGGGTACAGCCCGGGGCTAGCAGTGGGGTCTTGGGGCCACGGCGTATATGTATGCCAGTGGCCCCCGGAAAGAGGAAATACATGTTGATTCTCAGAGAATGTGGGTGAGAGATCATAGGTTCTTAAATCTGCTGTGAGAGCAGAAGCGGGCGGAAACACTCAATACTCTAGACTTGAATCCGGGAGCGAGAAGAGAGAAGAGCGAGCTAGCTATCTACTGGGCTGACCCTACGCCCCACAACTTTCTCTATCTTTGATGCACTCTGTAGAAAGATCTCCACAAATTCTGAAGGCTATCTTGCAAGCATGATTGTAGAGTTCGGCTCATGACAGAACGCTTGCACTCTGTGAAAGCGCGCTAGTAACATTTGAAGCTAGTTAAGCGCTAACAGTGCGTTCAACCTATGCAAGGATCCAATCGGGAACAGTGAAAACGTGAGTCACATCGTGCATACCAGACTAGTATTCGGTATTACTAGCACGGAGTACTAGCCTTACAGGGTCAAAGCAACTACTTGGATGTAGGAAGTAGCTAACTACACTAGACTGTCCAAAATTGTGTTGTTGTTTAAGCGAAGTCTGCCTGGGCATTTTTTGGGGTCTTATTTAAACCGGCGTGCTTGCCTGTTATTTGAAATATCAATTTTTCCACTCGACACTCCTCCTTCAACCCTCTCAACACCCAAACATCACCACAATGCGGGTCCAATTCTTCATCGCTGCGTTCCTCGCATCAATTGGTGCCCAAGCGGACGAGACGAGCACCCGAACCACGGGCTATTTCTCCCCCGACTGGAACAATGCCAACTTCCCCGGCGCCTGGCACAGTACTGCCGCTAGCATCGCTGGTATCAACGCGGAAGCTACCACCTATCACGTTGGGTGCCTGAAAGACGCGCCCAAATCGGAGTGCAACTTGGTCAACTCGATCACCATCATTCAGGGTACCAAGACCGTGAACTTTGATGCCAAATACATCGCCACCAAGACCGGCGATGATGGCTACGACCTAACTGTCACCGAAACCTATGACTGCTCACTGAAGTCATCCACCGAGTCAGCCAGTTGCACAATGAGCGTGAGTGTGGGTGGCTCCCGGGATGGAGGCAAGACTTCTTCGTCTTCGTCCACCACCGCCACCTACACCACGGCCCCAATGACCAGCCGATACTTCGAGCTGGCTATCACCGGAGGACTGAAATCTCTAACCTCCCCCCAGGCCACCGAGACACCCGACGCTGCTGCCGCCGGACCTGCTGGTGCCATGATCACAGCTGGGCCCGTGGTTGCGGTTGCGATTGCTGCTTTGCTTTGATGTTTCGAAATGAGATGTCTTGATCGTGTACGCCCCCCGAGGTCATCTGTGCCGAATCTCCACATTTAACGCTGCCCCGAGCAGAAGGATACCCTTGTTGAATATGTGACATGAATACCACCTGAAATTCCCTTGCATTCTGCAGCACTCGTAGAGCAAAGAACGGAGCGAGCAAAGAACGGAGCTCAAACTTAGATTGGTATTGTTCGGTAAAAATAAGTACCTTGGGGGCTGGGCAAAACCCCCAAACACTGAGTGTTCCGGTCAAAATTTCCGACACCAAATCTCAAAACTGCACTGGGACCGTCAGCGTTGAGGAAAATTCAGGGCAGGTTTGGCCCCCGGTGCGGGTCTGCGTTTACTAAAAGTTAGCGTGGCCCCCTTCTCCGGTATTTCAGCCTCAACCTAGCAGTACGACTAGTAGTACTGCTCCGTACTCGCCCAAGCCCGATCGATGCATTGCCGAAGAGGCGGGGGTCATGGAGTGGACTAGATCTCATGATTGAGAACGTTGATCCGCTGTATTCCGTCGGGACAACTCCGTTGCCTCAAACGGTATCGCGTACGAGCTGGGTGTAGTCAGGTTCATCTCAGTAGAAACCGGGCGTATTTCTGAACCCCCATCAGCCGAACGGTATTGTCGCTCAAAATTACCGTAATAATAGAGTTCAATCGTGGAACAGGTGACTCCATGCTACTTGTAGTATAGGAACCTTGGAAATGTTGATGTCCGCGACGTTTTGTCAGAGCCACTTTGCCAAGCAATGCCTCACTCCAATTTGAGTATATTTCCATCTCCTTTAGTGTTGTGTTGCCAACCGCCTCCAGGGCATGCATGCATTCGATCAAGCTTTTCAAGGCCATGCGAGTAGATGTCCGTATTTCAAGGGCGGATTGGTACAAGGGTATCGGAACGACAGGGAATAGAAAGATCAACATCGCGTCCCATCAGTTGTCAATTGTTTTCCCAGGTTATTTTTCTTGAAGATTATCACAGAAACAGACATCTTGACAACCACAGCTCCGCGATCTATAGCGCTGGAGAAATCCATGGATGATGGGAAGAAACGTGTTTGCCACGGTGACGATTTCGGACCGGAGTAACGCCAAGAGATCTAGTGCGTCCAGAGACCCAACGGGCTCGCCGTACAAGACCCACCTAGACCCCACTATATTTCCCTGAATATTGAGACTATTGGTCTGGTTTTAGATATTCATCCAAAGGCACCAATCAAGGCCCACCGGTGTATTTTTGTTCTTTTTTAGCATCCGCGGATCCCAACTAATGATTCGTTCCACGGTCGACGCGGTGGGAAAAAAAACCTTGTCTGGATTTCGCTCTCTCAGCGCCCCTGAACTTCAAGGTAATCTTGCAGTTACATTTACTTTCGAAAAGTATTGGGGAATAAGATTGCTTCAGTTTAGACGTTGGATTATGTCTTGACAATATGGGCCCAATGGCAATTCACTCCACAGGTAGGTCGTGCAGACTCCGCAGCCACGTGGTGAGATTGACCCCAATGTAGTTTTCATATTTCCTACAGGTTGAGCGCCTGCAACGTCCGTCAGGATGGAGCCTGAGGTGCAAGAGAAAAAGAGATCATCCCAGGGTTGGCTTCCTGCCACGCTCAGATGGCCATATCTTCTCTGTTTGGCGAGTCTGTTACTCTTCTTACTGGCGGTGGTTGAGACACTGCGCCAGTACTCTCAGAGGAAAGGATTCCTCATCCACTGGAGCTACGCTGAAGATCTCTCAGGGGCCACTTGGCAAGTTTACACTTACTTGCCCTTGGTCCTTGCCTTGCTCCCCATCGTTCTCCTGGATATCTGCGCCCAGGACGTGTTCCGATTGGAGATTTACTTTCAACTTGCGAAACAGGAAGCCACTCCGGCCAGAGTGCTCTTCGCCAATTATTGCAGCAATGGAGTGACAGCGTCGATGATTGCGGCTCGAAACCGACACTGGATTGTGTTATGCGTCGCGCCGGTATTTTTGATCTGTCGCATGTTTCTTCCTACGTTGGCATCTGGTATCATCAGCTTGGATGGAACCACTTTCGACGAGAGCAAAACAGTCCACACGTGGCCATCGATAGTTGAACTCGATACTCAAATGTCTTGGTTCAATTCTAGCCTCTCGCATCAGGGAATGTTAGGCCGCTCTGATCTGGGCAGCATGTTCCTATCCCGCCCATCAACGTACGCGGCCGCACCTGTCTCGATTCCCGGGGATGCCACCGAGAACTCGTTCTTGACCGTCAATCAGACGGCCTATTGGTCAAACTTGACCTGTGCCACTCAATCCTCATCCGGGGCGATCAACAATACATTCTCATCTATTAACTCCACAAGTGGCACGGGGAGCAACCAGCTGGTCTGGTTGTGGCAGATGCGCGACTTCGAGCTTTCCGGGAGTACCAACGAAACGAATACAACCCGATGTCGAATCAACTTAGACCTTGAAATTACTTCCAAGTCGAACCAGAGAAGTCTTCACGCACGTTACTGGGCTCCTATCTCCAACGCAACCGATACCAACTCATCATTTGTCCCAGTCGATGGATGTGACTCCTTTGAACTCTTCGGGGTGATCCTTGATTCAAAAATCATCGACGGAAATATCATGGAACCGAACATCACTGTGCTTGGCTGCTCGCCAGTGTATCACCAAACTCAGGCGGCAGTCACTCTCAACAACAACGGCTCTATCGCAGACTTGCAAACTGACCCCGACAATATCAAACCCCTCAATTCAACTGACTTCTATGTGCAAGGCTTGCATGATGTGATCTCCGCCAAGTATACACCACAGGCGCAGGGAATCGCGGTATCGAATTCTTCATCGCAAAGTGAACGTAAATTGAACATCGTGCAGAACAGCAAACCAGTTAATTCCACCGCATTTTTCAACGAAATGCAATTCTCTTGGAATGAGAACTTCATCACCATCATCAACAAGCTTTTCAACCCAGCTTCACCCCCAACGACCATCGATGCCACATTATCATCTTATGTGGTGGTCTTGGCGGTTGCCCCCAACACAGCAATATTCACAGAAGCAATCTTGATCGTTTGTCTCATTGTTCTTGGTATGCTGGGATCAACCTGTCATCGCCGACGCAACTTTCTGCAATGGGACCCTGGCTCCATCGCTGCTCAGTGCGCTTTGATCTCTCGACTCTTTAGCCCGTCTACTAAGCTGCTGTTTTCACATACAAACTTCCGCCAAGCAACTACTCGTCAACTCCGCCAGTGGTCCAAAGGGAAATGGGTTGAATGGGTCGACGTCTCTGGCGAACCCAGGCTCTGCATCGTCGGTCGCAACCAATCCCCGTCTCATCAGTTGTCACCCCCAGTCATCAAGAAAGGCCGCCGAGATCCTCCTCCACACTTTTTGGTTTTCCCTTGGTTCCTGGCTGAGTGTGTTCTACTGATGGGAGTACTGGCTGCTTTCGGAGTTTGTCTATCATACCTTCGGTTGAAAAACATTGAGGACTACGTGACCACAGCCGCAGCTCTGTCGATACTGTTTCTGAATTACGCCCCAACCGCGATCGCATCCATCATCGGCTCTCTCATCACTTCTGTATACCGCAACCTGAGTGCCATGGAACCGTATATCCGCCTCCAGGAGGGAATGGCCACAGCCAAAGATTCAATCATCGCCAATCGTGGGTTCAGAACTCCTTATATGGCCCTGACCCGAACGCGCCGCCGAAAGCCAGCTCTCTTGTTTGGAATCTCCGTGGTATGCCTGGCAGATCTGGTATTGCGAGTACTCAGTGGTGGTGTGTTCGAGCCCCAAGTGCAGATCTATAGAACTCCATCTTCCTCGGTGGCCCGTCAATACTACCCCTCCCTTTTTGAGAGCCAAGCCAACGAGACTGGAGTCGGTGAATCTATCATGGCTGCGAGTCGATTGATGAATAATGTTTCTTTCCTGCCCTGGGTCTCACCAGAGTACTTCTTCGTCCCATTCTCGGTTAAACATCCTTATCCCGATTTATTGTACAGCACAGACGACGCAACCGATGACGACGACGAAGACGAAGACGATGACGATGAAGAATATGATGACGCCGACGCCGACGATGACGACGCCTGGGCGACATTTTCTACGATGTCACGAGGCATTGGAGCCGACCTGGACTGCCGTACTATCCATCCCGAGTTCAAATCCGACCCAACGCAAGGTTGGAAATACAGGTTCTCTGGGGGCACCGGAGTACACAATTGCACAGTCGAAATCAGACCAGAGACCCTCAAAAACAGCCCCGGTGCCAACTTCACAGATCGCTCCATTCAATTTATCGCGCCAAACGGAACAGATACGTGTCAGACATCGAACCTCTTTATTTTCGCCTCTTGGAACCAGAACACCGTTTTGAAAAGCGGATCCACAGGATGGATGGCATTGCAGTGCAAGCCAAAGGTTCTGGTGCAGGATTTCAATCTTGAATTTGATTCGCGCGGGATGATCCAGTCTTACAAGCCTATCCCCACAGGCTCCATCACGAAAGGACAGCTATATCAGAATGCTTCAGATAGCCTCGGGCTATTCAATCAACGGCTGACGAGCTTCTCCCATTCTCTGCCGTCCCGTGATCCCTCCTCCACACAACGTCACGATTGGTCCGGACTGTTAACATCATCAACCTACGACGTATTGTACCCGAACAGCACGGAGATCACCTCCGACCACTTGACATACGTTGCGAGGACAGTCTATCGTCGAGTGTTCAGCGCCCATTTGGCCTTATGGAGAGACAGATATCTCGAACACGTCTCTTTGAAACAGGCAGTGCCTGTCACTGCGACAGCGATTGAATCTCTGTGGGGACTAACACCATCCAAGGTTCTGATTGTGGCTATCATTTGCCTTGTGTGCGTTGACACTTCGGCCCTTGTCGCGGTATTCATCCTTCGCTTCAATAGGTTCAAGGGGTTGCGCACGCCGCGATCCATTGGATCTCTCATGCCATTTGTCGTGGGCGGCTCTTTTGCGACAGACTGTGGGGATATGTATGATTTGACGGAAGATGAACGCCATGCTCTGCTTCTGAGTCAAGATCGAAGATATCGACTTGGGGAGTTTGCTGGTGAGACGGGAGACCAGTGGGGTCTTGATTATGATGATCGACATCACCCCTCGGAGATCGAGTTGGATGAACTCAGATCTGCAATGTAAATTATAATCTAATATAGAGGAAAGTGTATATATGACACTTTCATGTACATCAGAAGTTCAACGAGATATGTGATTCTTATGACTGGAGTACAGAGGCCTCAATTTTTCCCACACTTTCTCAAGTTTCTATTAACTTGCCACTTGCAAGGTCACAGATCTATACCTTCACGTTGAGTGCTATTCCTGCCTTTGTGATTCTCGCTGCCAGTGCCATGACTGCACCAAGTAAAATAGAAGTCCCAGCGAATATTTGAGCGCCCAGATAGCTTCCATCTTCTTTTTTGATCAAGGCACCACAGATTGCCGGGCCGGTGAGGTTAGCAAAGCTAACAAACCCCAGGATCATTCCCACCCGAGTTCCTGTCCTGTTGGGATGAGGTGTCATGCTGGTTGCAACTGCAGGGAAAAGAGCTTGCAGCGCGGCTGCGAGGAAACCATACACCACGGCAAACGCAAGCAACCCCCCGATAGAATATATCGCAGCCCAACAGTACACAACGATACTTGCTGAAAAGCTAAGTGGGATCAAGATGTTGAGAGGACCAGTCCATTTATCGGCGATCATAGGCGGAATAACACGCCCAACCACACCAACGCCGTTCAGAATCATCAATAGATAGATTGGTTCGGCAACACCAATTTGATCCCGTGCAAAAGTTCCTAGATAGAAGAATGCAAAATACAGTCCCCAGAAGTTCAAGAACATGCTGGCGGAAAAGAAGATGAATGGCATCTCGGTAAATGCAGAGGTATCTATCCAAGGTCCGCTTTCGCGAGGTGGTAGGCGTGGTCGAAACCATACCAAGCATGGGATGTAAGTCGCGAGCATTATAAAGCCCATAGCCCTCAAAGCCCATGCGAATCCAACGTTGTCCTTGAAGATCAACCAGTTTATAAGGACCGGGTATATGAGACCACCAATGGCACCACCGGCAGCCGCAAGTCCAACAGCAAACGCGCGATATTTCCTGAAATATTGGGAGAGTACTGCCAAGGCTGGGCAAAACGTGAATCCATTCCCTGTGCCTAGACAAACGGCTTGAGCGAGGAATATTTGCCAATATTTCGTGGACAAGGATGTCATGAAAAGTCCCAAGAGCTGAAGGAAAACACCGGAGACAAAGATGAGGCGAAAGTGTCCACCGTCCGTGAGGCGCCCTGCTGCAACGCCAAATATGAAAAGAAGAAAGACCTGGACGCTTCCGATCCAGGATACCGACGACTCTGTCTGGCCAAGTGTCTGGGTGTAGTATTGTTGGAAGATCCCGTAGCCATTGGCCACGCCCCAAGTATTGAAAAAAACGATATGGGTAAGCAGAACCTGCACCCATGCTATCAAGCCACCATCAAAGACCAGGTCGGGCTGGGGAACTGGAAGTTCAGAGTCGATTCTTTGCTCCGATTCATTCTTCTCTTGGTCAACTTGCCGGTTGATTCGCATTTTAGACGACAAAGAGAATGATACAAGTACGAGGCTCACTGAATGTAAGCTAGATCATGAACGTCGATCAGTTGATGAATGAAAGAGAAGTCTCGAGAATTGAGAGATCACACGAAGTCAAGCGAATGATCAGGACTCGAGACGCCATTCATTCAGTCATTGGTCTAATTAAGTATATACAGAATCCATGTTTGATAGCCAGGTGTTTGGACTATTTTGAGGATTGGAATCTATGCTGATTTCCCGTTGTTTCCGCAATTTCCTTTATATCCGCTCGGTCCCCTGGGCCCTGACAGTGCATGTCAAATGTCCCCGAGAAAGTATGTCCCCGAGCCAACATTCAAGGCACTCAGGGTTTGGGTAACTTGCTTAAGTGGAACCTGACCTTGAGGAAAGAACTGAACTTCATTACCGGGTTACATATCAACGGCTGCCCGAGATTCCCTCGCCACAGACTTCACCAAGAGCCCGCGAGAAATCTCCCGAGATTTTGAGATCCCCCCCGGGCCCCAACTTCAGAAGGCCTTGGATACTTAGTAAAGGCTAACTAAGGAAGTTGAATACGACCGGAGACTTCTCATCAAAGTAAAGTCGGACCTCGGCCCCGGGAATGTAGCTGACTGATCAGGCATCAAGGCCGACATTTGAAGTCCTCCGATTGAACTCTCCGAGACCTTCGGTGCTTTGCTTCTAAACTTTTGATGCCTTCAAATATTCCGTGAGGCTCCACCCCACTCACGCATGGATGCAAATCCCTATACTCGATCGACGCAAGGCGCCGAGGGCACTGGCGGACAACATGCCCGGGTCTCTTGCGATCGTTGCAGTGCGTTTTGTTTCTCCGTGACAACCATCATTTCTCACGGTCGAATCCAGGAATTAAAAAGCTCCGATGTAGCGGTGAACATCCGACGTGCTCGCGATGTCTTTCGAATAACTCTGAATGTGCATATTCGCGTCGACTGAGAATGGGTAGACCGAAAACCTCACGAATAGCCCGGCGGGGAGCACCGAGAACTGAGACTGCGCTGGCGACTCCTCCTTCCTCGGTGCGTCCGAGTTCTAACGGACCCACGACCCACGATCAGGGAACATCCCCAAACAGAGCGGTCGTTGGTGACAATTGTGACAACAGTGGGAGTTCATATCAATCTACGTCACAGAGCTCCACCTTTCGTCCCCTTGGCAGAACTTCCGAGATCACTTCCGAGGCACCATACCTAGACGACGTCTTTCATCTGTATGATCGCGATAGCTCCATTGCCATACTTACAGACAGTTGCTTATGCACTCTACTCACAGTAACACCCGGCCGCAAAACCAGTTTCAACTTCCCGGATTCATCCCGACCTTTCCAAGCCCGGACCAGACCGAGGAATGTGCCTGTCTATCTATGCTTTACTTATTGCTGGAGCAACTTAGGACCAAAACAAAATGGGCCATACCGGACGACCTGGTCACCCTTCGAAATTGCAAGGAAAAGGCTTTGGGTGTCGTTGGTTGTAGGCAGTGTCCATTACGATACTTTTCTGTGATCCAAAATGGGTTAATACTAGGCGTTGTGACCACCTGTATCGCTGAATGCTATGGCAGACTACTCGAACAAATCGACCGAGAGGAACTCCGAGCCACGAGCGAAAGAGAGAAAAAGCGGTTTGATATCTCTAACGTAAGTCTAGGCCTTGGGTTGTCTTCCGCTTCGCCTTCAGCACAGCTCAACTTCACCGTTGAGGTTGAACCTTCAACTTGGAGAGAATCAATGCGCAACATTATAAAATCAGAACTACATGGCATACAAGGACGAAGGGAAAATTGTTTTATGGCATTCGTGTTTCAATTAGAGGAGCGGCAGAAGAAATGGCATCAGACACCACCGGCGCGAGACTGTCCATCTCACTACCAATCTAGCTGCAACCATCCTGATCGAACTCCATCATGTCTGATTGTTCTGGATGATACAAAGAGACTTGTCAACAGTTTCAATTTATGAAAGATTTGCCGAGGGTGTCTTGCAGCTCTCACAAGAAATTCTATATTTCCGAGGACCAAAGGCGGCTCAGTCGTCTGAATGGGCATATCTCAACATATCCACCTGGGCATAGATCCATCGGTGAGATACGAGTAAAGGGATAGAGGCCCCAGAATATTCGGAGACTTTCAACCAATCGGAATGCCCAACTGAGAAACAAAACTGAGGTTCGCCGGAGACTTTACCGGCCCTTCCACCTCCCCCGCAAGGCGGGAAGTACTTGTCGGTCATTTTCCCGAGCTTGGCCATTCCGAGGCGATATTGGTCAATAATTCGAGATTGATCGTTGATCATTCTTCAATCTCATTCATTTTCTTCGAAGGAGACAACTTTTTACGATGCTTAATCACAAGGCGATGGCCCTCCGCCAACAAATTGCAGTGCACTCTCTAACTCCCGGTTGCTTCGCTTCAGTTTGCTATCCAGCTAGGCTAGGGTCTCTGACTACAACCGGATTTGGTGGAAGTTCTTTGGCGGTTGCAATCAGTGCCGCATTTCAAGAATCTCGTGGAGACTTTCACCTGTATTCTATTGCAGGCTATTTTCTTCGACCAGTGAAGACCGATCGTAAGCTTTTCTGTCACGTTGAGATTCTGAGGAAGAGCAAAAGTTTCGAGACCAGAGAGATTCGAGTCACGCAAGAATACGAAAATGGTGTTTGTAAGATTTGTCTCATTGCGTTGGCTGATTTCCATCTGATGGAGCTCAAGTCAATGGTCACTTTCTCCACGGCGCCTGAGCTTGTCTCATTGCCTGCACCCACCAACGAGCAGCCTCTTCAGGACAACACCCACGACTCTTGTTCTGGCCATGATCTATACCAAGATATCGAGAACTTGATCGAAATGCAACCGCTTGGTCTTTCCCCAGGCATCGACCCAGTCAGTCCACGACTACACGAACAAGCGGCCATCGAAAACGACTCCAACCCGCCCGCTCCTCGGTCGATACACGCAGAACGATTCCGGGCCCGAAGTTCTCTGAACAGCGAAGCCGAGCAGATATCTGCTCTTGCGTTCTATATGGACAAGGGCCTCGCATACATTCCTGCCCTGCATCATGGGTATCATCCGTCCGAGGCGGATACCTGTGCAAGTCTAGACTTTTCACTTCGTTTCTTTGAACATGAGATTGATCTTGAGGACTGGCATTATACAGAGCAAAAGAGTATTGTTGCAAACCACGCACGAGTTTATAGTGAGGGGCGGGTGTGGGACTCGAAGGGGCGACTTTTGGCAAGCATGACCCAACAAACTATTCTTCGCCCAAGCTCAGACCTAAAGCCACGGCTTTAAATTATTACCATCCGAAGGAACTTTCATTTCTTAGGTGACATATCATAGAATATACCTAGGAATGCTGATACCTGATTATTGATCGTTTCACGGAAACTTTAGAAGAAACATCGGTGCCCGCGAAACAGCCTCGCTTATCGATCTCCGTATGTCTACCTAGGTATCCATCCTTCGATAGAGTATCTAAAAGCGCAAACATTGTATGGGATACCAAAACTGTCGGTTTTGTCGAGTGTCGAAGAGTTCAAGTAGCTTTAGAAACACCTACAGGCGCGACCGCGGCCGTAGACCTTGCGTGTCTAATTACAGGCTTGGGGTGCCTATACGAGAATCGCGGTGAGCCCAGAACCATTGGCATCATGCCCAGGTGCCCTACAGCCTTAAGCAAGGAACTGAATCAGCCATCAACCTGCAATGTACCCCTCTGCGCCACCATCAGGCGACCCTGAGCCGCCAAGTTTTTCCCCTTGGCGTTACTATTTCAGGTCCCGGCGCAAGTTATCTGTGCGGCTGAGTTACAACAGTCAGCGTGTTTCTCGGCCTATGACGAGGAATGTGGGGGTTGCGGAAACCCTGGTCTTGGCCTTCTCTTGGCCTCGTGTTATGCCATGGCAGATGCATGGCTGTCAGCGCTACTGCACAATAGAAACAGCGCATCAAGGCGCCCGGTTTGGCAATTTGTGGATCTAACTCTAGGAGTCATAGGCAGACAACCTTGGCATTGCATTGTGGGGAAGCATAACTGCATCTCAGCACTTTTATTTGCATGGCGCTAGATGTTGGCGAAGAGTATAAAAGGCATGAAAGTCCATGCATGGTATCCTGCTTTATACGCCTCATCTTGACTCCAGGCTCTGCGCATAATCTTTTTTTTTTTCTGTTGCTGACCATACTAAAATACCCCCTCAACCATGCGTGGATTACTTTCAATGGCGATGGCAGGGGTCATCGGTGCAGCCGCTGCCGCTAATAACTCTACCGTGAAATGCGCCAAAGGATTGAAGATGTTCGTTTCACGTGGAACCGGGGAAGATATGGGACCTGGCGTTACAAAGGCCTTAGTTGATAACATCGCCGATCAAATTGAGGGGTCTGAAATCCAACCTATACTATACCCAGCATCTTGGGACAATCCTGTTTACGCCTCATCCGTAACGAATGGCACCAAGCTTGTACGGAAGACCATCACCGAGTACGCTAAAGCATGTCCAGATTCAAAGATGGCATGGTTCGGATATTCTCAGGTAGGCATTGTCGTTATCTTTATTGGCGATGGAAGAAGAAGCTGACAAGATACAGGGCGCTCAAATAACCAGCAACAACTTCTGCGGCATGCCAGTAGTCTGGGGCGTGGAGACAGACAGGAATGTAACCTATGATGCCGCTACGGTGAAGGAACTTTGGGTTTTATCCCAGCCTTTACCAAAGGAGGTCACTAAGAATGGTCTGTATAAACCAGGTCGATCATATTAGCGGACGCTTACCCAGGCTTTTAGTGGTTTCTGTTGTACTTTTCGGTGACCCATCACAAAGAAACAACACCTCCTACAACCACGGCAGCTGGAACAACACCGGCAATGGCATGTTCTATCGCCCTGACACCAGCGCCTGTGATGCCCTGGGCAAGCGCATCCGGGCTTATTGCGATGCTGGCGACCCATTCTGCGACTTGGGCACATTCTTCGACGCCGATGCACACGGCCAATACGTCCAGAAGTATGGGAAGGAGGTGGTTCAGTATGTAGTCGGACAATACAAAAACGGCACCACATCGGCGACTACATCGGGCACTATGACTAGCGCCGCGATCTCGGGTACTTCGTCTACTTCTTCACCGACACCGACCAACGGGGCCGTGGGAGCCCGTTCGATGTCAGTATTCCCACTAGTGGGCCTTATCCTGGTCTGCCTATTACTCTAGCTGAAAATTGTGGATGCAGTGGAAACAAAGATATGCGAAACGCGAGACGCTCTTTTTCAGTATAGAGTAGCCAGGGGATTATCTCCAGGGCTGTTCTTGAAAACGAATATTCCTTTGAATTCTAGACTAACGTCCTTCCTCTTCATGACCCGAATGTTGATTCCCCTTCGCATATAGCCCTTCTAGGCTGAATTTATTCACCATGTATGTCTCTTGGTGTTCCAAGGTTTGCAGCTTCTCGCAGACTTAGTTGCACAATCTAAATATAAGTTTCAATTTAGCATCGCCGATGAACATCCGTGCTCATCCCAATTGACCCACTTGATCTCTTTCTCTCATTGTTGATTCGCGGGCGGTCCATATACCCGCGTTGGGAAGACGCGATGTCATAAAGAACACAGAAATGCGGTTCATTTTGTTTGAGGCGAGGATATAACCGCATTATATAGCCACGTAGACTTCGGGGCCTTAAGGACTGAAGTAAAGTTCAAGTGAGAAAATTCAGCACAGGCCCTGGATGATCGAAGTACGGACAGTTCACCATCCCCCCGACAGCCGAAGGGAAACAATTTTACTTTCTTAATCCTGCTGTTGGTTGAAGTGTATCATGTAATCTTTCTTTGATCTTCGAATTCGGGCTACTTAATGTAAGATTGTGCGCTTCGCCTATAATCTCACTTCAACGTCACTTAAAAAGGGGCTACTATACGAGCCAGCCAATAATAGCACTCAAATTCATAGCACTCAGATTCAATATTCTAAGACAAAGTCGTTGAATCGTGAAACATCTCTTATTTGAGCACTTGAATCTCACAGCAAAATATAATAAAGAACCGCAACATCGCCCAAAGGGGCAAATAGACGGGGAACACGAAGTGGAGAGAGTTGAGGCGATACCTCCGATCTTTTACCCAACGAGGCTCTACGTCGCGACGTCGTATTCGCATGCAAATTGTATACTGTGGCCCTCCTTTCTTGACCAATCACCGGTTACTTGACTCATGTCTATCCAGATGTCTGCCTAGGAGTACTCTGTACTTAGTGACCACTTCTAAAGTTGCTCTTCGATTTCTCAAATCTCGCTTCGTTATCCTTTGTGCTAATGATGCGCTTCAGCCCATCTCGATAAATTCATTTTGGGATGACCTCGTCCGCTTCCCCCCGGGAAACACCCGAATCGGCCCTCCCTAAAGAGGGCCGGGTCGATGATCGGCCCGATGAATCTATCTCCATCGACAAGGAGCCGACAGAGCCTATTAAGCCTGCTTCATTGTCTAGTTACTTGGTGAGTTGGCCGGTCCTGCAGCTGCGGGGTCATTCCGAGTATGCTGACAAGCAGCGCAGAGAATTCTCTCCTATGGCGCGAGGAATGGTGGCATCTTTGCCATGATTGTGGGCATGATTTGTGCTATGGGATCTGGAATTGTATGTGGTCCGGATACCTCAAATTCGACCGGGTCAACTTCTGACTGTGCTAGGCTCTCCCTTTGATGAACATCATCTTCGGGAAGATCGTGGGAGACTTCAACTCGTATTCCTTGCCAGACACGTCTTTGAATGAGCACACCTTCAAGTCATCTGTCAATAAAAGCAGGTGGGACTCGAGTATTCGTTTCATCAAATTTGTCTACTAATGAACTGCAGCTTGTACATTGTGTACCTCTTTATCGGCAAGTTTGTACTCACCTACATTGCCATGGTAAGTCTGCGCAATGTGAAATAGACAGACTCAAGCTCATCTATCAGATTTGTTTCCGAATCATCAGTCTCTATGCCTCAGCATCCTTGCGACTGGAATATACACGGGCGCTGTTTTCGATGCCAATCAGCAAACTAGACGAAATCTCAGTAGGCACTGTGAGCAACGCAATCACAGCACAGTCCAACACAATCCAACAAAGTGTCTCGGACCGTCTTGCCATACTCTGCCAATCAATCGCCCTACTAGTCGCAGCATACGCCATCGCATTCCGCTACTCATGGGCACTAACGCTCGTCGTCAGCTCGGCAATTCTCTTCGTTGTCATTTGCTTCTGTTTGACAGTCCCCCTGCTCATCAAAGGCCAACAACACGTCGACCAAGCAGATAACAAACATGCTTCCATTGCAGCTGATGCGTTCGGATCTATTCGCACGGTATTCTCATTGGGTGCCGAAGAGTCTTTGACCAAAAAGCACTCGCAGTGGATCGAGGAGGCTCGCAAACGTGGTCTGGGTATGTCACTGGTGACAGGAACACATCTAGCCACTCTGTTCTTTGCCATGTATGTCAGCTTTGCGCTGGCATTCTGGTATGGATTGAAGCTCTACCGAGAAGGGCACATTGCAAACATCAATACCGTGATCACGTAGGATTCTCTATACCACAGTCCCCCGTCCACATCTGACATATCTTTAGGGTGTTTTTCTCTGTGCTGCTGGTTGTCACAGTCATGGGAGGAATTGCCTCACCTTTAATGGCAATCTCCAAAGCAATAAGTGCCTCCGGTGCATTCTTTGGCGTCATAGACTCAGAACCAGCGCCTCTGGACGGTCTGCGCGACCCAGACGTCACCAGCCAGGCCGATATAGTATTCGAAAACATATCCTTCGCGTATCCCACTCGACCAGATACCCAGGTTCTGAAGGGTTTCAGTGCATGTTTCCCGCGTGGTAAGACGACAGCGCTCGTTGGACCGTCGGGATCTGGAAAAAGTACCATCGTCGCGTTGATTGAGAGATGGTATCGGATTGAAGCATCGGATGATGCGAGCGATACAACAGGACGGATCCTTGTTGATGGGCACAACATCAATGATCTGGACGTGAGATGGTGGCGGTCCCAGGTGGGACTTGTCCAACAAGAACCGTTTCTTTTCAATGATTCCATCTACCAGAATGTTTCTTATGGGCTGATTGGATCTAAATGGGAGAACGAGTCTGATGCTGTGAAGTTGGAGCTGGTGAGCACGGCTTGTAAAGAGGCATATGCGGATGAGTTTATTGAACGGTTACCCGAGGTGTGTCATATTCTCTTCTGCTTGTACCTGGCGAGTTTTGGTCAATGGATTATCCTGACATTTGATTACAGAGATATTCCACAATGGTCGGTGAAGGCGGAATCACCCTGAGTGGTGGGCAGCGCCAGAGGCTTGCCATTGCCCGGAGCATTGTTGGCCAGCCTCCCATACTCGTACTTGACGAAGCGACTAGCTCAATCGACGTGCGCGGTGAAAAGGTTGTACAGGCTGCGTTGGACAGAGTCTCCAAAGACCGAACCACCATTATGATCGCCCATCGCTTGTCGACAGTTCGTAGAGCGGACAATATTGTTGTCATGAAGGATGGAGCGTGCGTGGAGCAAGGATCTCACCAAGAACTGATGCTGCAAGGTGCCATCTACCACAGTCTTGTGAATGCCCAGCAGCTGGAACCGCTTGACGATAGCTCAGACGACGGGGCCGAGGGTTTGCTTATTTCCCAAAAAGAAGAAATTCGCCCGCACGACTACCCGGTTGATGGTGACGGAGAAAAAGAAGAGGAGTCGCAGACTCCCAAAAAAGCCAAGACTAAAGGCCTGGCTCACAGCCTGGGCATTGTTTTTTACGAGCACCGCGGTCACTGGATTCTTTACTTGTTTACCATTGTGTCTGCCATTGGGGCTGGATGTGAGTTCTCTATACCAGACTGGCAACGTGTCACGGATATCAAAGACTAATATCTCTGAAGCTGGCTATGCATTGCAAAGTTGGCTTTTTGCTCAGCTGATACAGGTCTTCCAGTTCACAGGTCAAAAACTGGTAGACCAGGCCAATTTCTGGGCCTTGATGTTCTTCGTCCTCGCTATTGCCATGGCTATCTTCTACTTTCTACTAGGCACATCTGCCAACACAATGTCGATGGTATGTCAGAAGATATACTGAGTTCATGTCTCGCCCGTGAAAAAAGCTAATGAACAACAGCATGTTGGATCAACATATCGCAAAGAGTATTTTGCCAACACCCTGAAGAAGCCTATCTCATTCTATGACCGAGAGGAAAACTCATCAGGGACACTGATATCACGACTCTCACTAGATCCAAAACAAATACAGGATCTCCTAGGGCCTATGGGAGTGTTTCCTCTTATATCAATCTTCAATGTGATCGGATGTGTGGCAATCTCGTTCTCTTTTGGATGGAAGCTAGCAGCAGTGACCTTCTTTGGGGCGATGCCCTTCATTCTGTTTGCGGCTTTCATGCGAATTCGCTACGAAACACATTTCGAATCCATGAATGCCGAGGTGTACGCAGACAGCTCTAAGTTCGCGACTGAAGCAATCAGAGCCTTTCGCACCGTTTCCGCTCTTACAATGGAGACGACCATCATTGATCGATACTCGGGTTTGTTGAAGGAACAAAGATCAAAGGCTTTCCGCAAGTCCTGGTACGCGACCTTGGTCTTCGCTTTCTCCGACAGTGTTGAGCTGTGTGCTATGGCACTCACCTTCTGGTAAGTAGAAACCCCAGCATTAATTCCACTTTGCTCCCTATGTCATGGATGTTTGAAGCTCAGTCATCACACAGGTATGGAGGGCAGCTTTTGGCATCTCGTGAATATGACCCGGTGGCGTTCTTTGTCGTCTACATTGCCATTATCCAGGGTGGCCAGGCAGCTGGGCAATTCCTCTCCTTTGGTCCTAACGTAGCACAAGCCAAGGCCTCCGCAAACCGAATGTTCTCCTCCCGAAATCCCTCCGAGGGGCAACTTGAATGCCCAACCGCCGAGCCTATGCCAAGGGATCTTCGTCCCTCGGTTGAGCTCCGTGATGTCTCCTTCAGCTACCAGTCTCGCAATATCACGACTTTTGTTGACCTCAACATTTCCATTGACAGTGGTCAGTTTGTTGCCTTTGTCGGCCCCTCTGGCTGTGGTAAGTCCACGGTCATCTCGCTACTGGAAAGATTCTACGACCCCATCGGCGGGAAGATTCTGTTTGGTGGGCAGGAGATATCATCTATCCAAAAATCGTCATATAGAAGAGCCTTGTCTCTAGTCGCACAGGAACCAAAATTGTTCGAGGGCAGTATCCAAGAGAACCTGCTTCTGGGCATTGAAGACACTCAAGATTCACAGACAGAAGAGCGCATGATCCAGGCATGCAAGGATGCCGAGATCCACGATTTCATCACCTCTCTCCCGGACGGCTATCAAACAGGATTAGGCGTCAATGCTCAAACTTCACTCAGCGGTGGTCAAAAGCAGCGATTGTGCATTGCCCGAGCGCTAATCCGGAAACCACTCCTTCTCCTACTGGACGAAGCTACATCTAGTCTGGATTCTCATTCGGAGAAGCTTGTTCAAGAGGCCATGGAGCGGTTAGCCGGTAAGAAAAACATGACTATCATTGCAGTTGCGCATCGTCTGGCGACTATCCAAAAGGCAGATGTGATTTTTGTCTTTGGCGAGGGTGCAAGGGGCCAGGGATCCAAGATTCTTGAAAAGGGCTCACATCATGAATTGCTACGCAACAAAGGGCCTTATTGGCAGATGGTGAGTATATGGGATTTCCGCAGATTCCTATCATGATCAGATCGCTAACCTTCCCAGTGTCAAGCACAAGCTTTGGATCGGTAGAGCCTGTCTCTTCTCGTTTCCTTGAGTTCAAAAACATTCCACTTTGTAAATTATTATCATTTACACAACTCCACTAATTAATCCCCATTCTTCTAAGATCTGAGTTCCATACATTTTGTCTTTCTCCTTCATATGATGGTGAGATCCATGATAAACCAGCTAGTATCTTGCATGTCGAGATATGGAAGGGAGGAATTTGCATTGGTTGAGTTGATGTTCTGTGGTTGAGGGGGCTTCAAGTGTAGTTGTTTTCGCAATGCTGACAATGATGTGGGTTTCATTTGATGTTCATGGTTTGCTGTGTATTGTAGGACTAGGTGTGACTATCTGAATATACCTGCTAGACTGCTGCAAGCAAGTTCTATTGAAGGGAGACTGGAGAAAAGTGAGCCGCCAATAGGGCTGGAGGGAATATTATGTATCTTGCAGATTTCAAAAGTAGACTACATACAGAACGACAGATTTTGATATCCTGAAACAGACAGAAAAGGAAAAGAAAAAAAGATAGGATAGAAGACGCTCAAATGCACCAGGTGGTATCTAATCGTCAACAGTGAAAACAATTCAAATCAGACAAAAGTGGAAAAGCCCAGGAAGGGTTGTGGGAAGACAAGGATAGAAGAGAGTAGCGAAAGGGGAGGGCCGAGATGGCAAGTGGGAATGAAAGAGGATGATTAGAACATGCCGCCATCGACGGGGATGGATGGAGGAGGGTAGTGAGGGATTGCTGGGGGGTGACCGGGGTTGGATTCCTGACGCGCCCGCGCGTGCAGGTTGCTGCCTTCGCTGGACATTTTGCGAAGACGGTTACGGGATTGAGGGCGTTTTTCCTCGTCCGGGTGGGTGGGTTGGTTCTCCATGTTGGGTGCGGGAGATGCAGCACGAGATTCGGGCTTGTCATGCTTGAATGCACTCAGGATGGTTTGAGTAGCGGTTCCACGACGACGACGGGGGTTCATGGGTGGTACAGGTGGTGCAGGCCCGGATGATTGGTTGGCTCCTGGAGGAAGGCCGACGAGGGGAACATTGGATGTGGATGACACAAAGGTTGGCTCGGAGATTTGCTTCTTATTTATGGGTCGCTTGAGAAGGGAGCCCTGTCCTGGACCACGCTGCGGGAGTGTCGAGGCGCTGCTGGCGGCGGAGGCAAGAGAGGTAGTCGAGGCATCTGGGGCCACTTCATTCAAGGGAGGGGTGGCGTTGGCGACGTAGGCCGGAGCAGCGGGTGGCGGCCGGGGGGATGCACCGATGATCGAAGATGTGTTGGACTGCGAGAACTGGTATGGCCGCTCGTATTGGAAGCTGGGGGTGCCGGATCGGCTGGTGCTGCGGTTTCTACCAGAGGAGGTAGAAGCAGCACGGTCGAAAGCCGGACGTTCACCCATCTCGACAGAAGGGCGAGTGGAGCTAGGACGCGAGATTGGCATTGGTGGTTCGAAGCCCTCAGGGACGCCGAATCTACCATGTGCAACGACTGAACCCTCATCCACAGTCTGGAGATCGTCCCGCTCGCGAAGTCTGGTTCGACTCTTAGAACGGCCAGATGCATCGGAGCCCGCACGATCACGTTGGGATCGGAATGGGGAGCTGGTACGACTGCGACTCGATTCACGGGAGTCTTCTTGGCTGTTGTTCCGGCTGAGAGATGGCATACGGGATCGGAAAGATCGCTCAGATCCAACATGGGGAGAGCTTGAGTTGGAGTGACGACCAAAGCCGAAAGAGGGACGCTCCTCCTCGCGCCAGGAGTCATCCGAGGGAAGAGCAGGAGTGGAGGAGTTCTCATTTCCATAACCAAAGATCTTTCTGTGGTCATGCTTGGAAACAGCCAGCTTAGTAGACTTCTGCTTCAGCATAGCGAATGCGTTGCCGGTCCGAGAGAGATCCGGGGTTGAACGACCTGGGGTAGGACTGCCTGATCGACTCTCGCTCTCAGCGACACTGCGTAGCTTCTCCTGCACTTTCCTGCGTCTCTCTGCCAGCTCGATGGCAAACTCCTCCCGCTCCCGCTGGGTCTCAGTGCTGCCCTGACGACGGTGGTGTCGCTCGAGCTCCTCTCGCCATGACGAGCCGTTCGAGATGGACGCATTATCAGCAGTCGTGCCATTTGCAGACGAGTCTTCGCTGGATCGAGAACGTGCTGCAGAGTGGGCGGAAGGAGCCAGAGAGCCAGCCGTGCCGGGGCGATGAGCTGACGCCGGTCTAGCCTCATCCCGGAAATCTGTACCCGAAGATCTATGTAAGGTCTGATGGGAGGAGAACTCAGTCTCGATGGTGGGAATAGGCGAATCCTTGTGCTGTGGAACGCGAGGCGAGGGGGGTGTAAATATGGACTTATCACTCTGCTGGCGTAAATGAGATCGAACCATTCCGCCCATGCCACCGAGACCATTGTCAGGGTGGAGGGTCGGGGAATCGGGTCTCTTAGGAGTGTTGTCTTGACCATGCGAGGAAGCGGCATCAAGCTCATTCTCATCGATAGGCTTAAGATCTCCAAGGTCGGAGTATCTCACTTCGGGCAACGGCTCAAGGTGCTCTTTTGGCGGAGTCGGTGGCTCGTAAGATGCCACACCTTGGTGAAGCGAGTGGCCCTTTTCGGTGGCCAGTGATGTTTCAGAGGGGAATCTGCGCTCTCCCTCGTCACCAGATTCACTAGCGATCGAGGCAGCATAGAAGCTGGTCACCGCAGGCCTGAAGGGGGAAGCCTCGACACTTGAGGCGCGAGAGCGGTTTGCTCCCCGGTGCGCATCACTGCTATAGTGTGAGGAGGCGGACTCCGCACGGGAGCGATAGCTGGACTTGGACAGTCCTCTAGCTCGAGTAGCGGGTTCAGCTGGAATGGGTCGGCGCGGGGGCGATTCCGCACGGGGAGGAGGGGTCTCTCTCCCTTGATGCATCTCAAGCTGACGTCGAGAAAAGGCCTGCTCGTCGAAACCGGTTGCAGGTCGGTTGAACAAGCCCATAGCAGTCGCCTTGCCACGGTCTTCGGGGTGAATCGACGCAGCCAACAGTGAGGTCGCCTCGTCATTCTCGCTGGTAGGCGGGCTCAAGGGCGGTGCTCCAAAGGTAGCTGCAGTCGGGGAGAGACGGTCTCTGAAGGCAGACTCTCCAGAAACACGGGGCTTGGGGGATGTCGCGGACGAGGGAGGGCTAGTCGGGCCAGCTGTTGAGGCCGGCTCAACAATGGCAAGTTTTTGCAAGCGGTCGCGCAAGTTGGTTGCACTCCTGGAGTAATTACGGTTCAGTGATGGCAGGTCTGGAGTTCCGGCGCGTTGGCGGCTCAGACTCTCCAAACGGTGCAGGGTTGAGGATTGCTGGTTTTGGGCCGCCTGGGTCAACCCTTGTCCGTAAAGGCGGCGGTTGCGAATAGAACCATTCCGTGGCGCAGACATAGCAGACGCTGAGCGAGAGGCGTCGGGCTGAGTCTCCGGGAACGGGTACCCATTGGCAGGTGCTTGAGCACTGGTCAACGGGGACTCATCCACCGAAGTTGGCGCGGTCGATATACTGCCGGTTGTCGGAGGCCCCGATGTCGTGGAGGTGGAGGAGTATGTTCCCTTGCTCATAATGGATGAGGCCGTTGACGCCGCATACCCTGATTCTCGGGCAGCTTCCTGGCGTGCGGCCTCCGCTCGCTCCTCCTTCTCCTTCATCCGCAAGCGCTGGAACGCGGAGAGATTGGTATCGTGCTCATACACTGCCTTTCCCATACCTCGGCGACCGGTCTCGGAATCGGGTGTTCCCTCTGAGGGCCGGACGGGGATCTTGTAAATCTTCTGGCGGCCGCCAAACAAATTGTTGCCCTCCACTCGGCGCGCACGACTCATCATGCTCCCCGCTTGGGATCGGTCGTCGTCGGTGCCATATCCTTCTCCGCCAGAAGCAAACGAATCGGTGCGGCCCAGGGCAACAGAAGGTCTGCTGCCATCATTGGAGGAGGTTTCATCGATGTCTGCCAACATGGCCGGGTTGTGTCCGAAGAGGTTGAGTCGCGAGGCCCGCTTGGGGAATAACACGCTGTCATCGCTGGCCTTTCCGATCAATGAGAGTGGATCGTCCTGTTCCTTCAACATACTAAATCGAGCGGATAACTTGGGCATTAACAGACTCGTGCGGAAGTTGTCTGAGGAGGGGAGGGCGACGGAAAGGTCGAATTCGGGCGCGGGTTCCGGCGAGGGTTCCTTCTTCTGGGATTTTACACTGAGTGTTGGTGAATCCTCCCCAATTTCCGGCTCCTTCGCCTTCTTGTTCTTGCGGAATCGATTCATCATGGGTGTGGTGTGGGGTTTCCCGGTGTTTCTCCCAGTGTCCCTCCAGGCGGGGGGAAATATCGAAGTGTTGAGCGAGTGTATAAACTTGGCGGTCAGTTTGTTTCTACTTCTGAGCACACGAGACTCACTGGATGTGCTTATCCAGAGTGTTCAAAGAGCGGCATGACCAAAGTCGAAAGTCGAGATGTCCCCTGAGGTAGGAGCAGGGCGTACGGAGGCGAATTGAAACCAGGTTTCGAGATGATAGATCACAAATAAGAATAGGAGAGTAAAGACAGTGACGTGAAGAATGTTGAGAATATTTGGAATGGATCCAGAGCTCTTAGTTATTAGTTATTTACTAGTACTACTCGTATTACCAAGAAAAAAAAAGAGATCGTCTGGTGTCCACCGTTCGATCAAGATATTAAGTACCGATCCTGGTAATATTTTAATTTGCTGATTATTGTGTGCACTCCATTTGCTCCATAGAAGCACGGCTCTAAACAGACTCAGCTCCGATTTCCCATAACTTCAGTGTAAATGTGTAAATGTGTTGTGAATGCTGGTTGTTTATGGAATCCTGTATAATACGGTACGAGCTTAACTTCCCCTAACTAACTTCCCCTACTAAATCCTTCCATTAAACCCCCCAAATACCCCAGATCCATAAATTACCAGTATCATCCTTTCATCCCTTGCTTCATGTACAATGCACTTGGGTATAGTTCAATTCTATTAACATCGCCTCTTTTGCCCCTCTACTACTACTCGTAGGCAAATCTGGGGAGCGCCACACTGCCCCTTCCACTTCAGAGAATCCCTGCAATCTTGTCGAATTTCCAATTTCGCCCTAAGACTTCCCGAGGGCCTGGACACGGGAAACAAGATCGTCGCTTCATTACTTCAACGGATTTTTAATTTTTTTTTATCCCTTCGAAATTTTCTCCTAGACGTTTAAACGACCTGATGTCAGAAGCATAGACATTTAATAGCCCGACTAGTGACCTCCTTACGGCATATGTATCCAATCTACAGATCCGTCCCGATCACAATCTGCAGTACGGAGGACTCCGTAAACAATATATTAAAAAAGAAAGATTAAAATGACATGCAGATAAATATCCTCGGCTATCAATTTTCCGACTCTCCTGCATCGTGCAGGACAATGGTGTGACGCAGTGGAACGGAGCTGAGCTCTACGAGTACGAGTAGAGGCCGGCATTCTACAGGGTGTTCTGTTATTTGTTTTGAGACCCATAACCGGGCGCTGAAACCATGGAAAAGGGTAATGGAGCTCGGGAGTAGACGTGTTTATACTTCAGGACTCCATACACATACATACCTTTTATGGGAATGAGATCATAGGACGGTGATGTCTCCTGGTATAGTCTTCTCCGTACTTTCTATCCAACGACATGACAGCCGTTGGGGCTCTTGAAGTTCCGGAAGACCTGCTCCGTCGGGAAGTGTAACTAATTGGAAAAAGTTAACACGCTTAGTGACTTCTTGGTATCGCTAGTGCCCCTGACTAGTGCACATTGGGATATTAATCTTAAGAAGTTCTGGACTTTTGATCCTGATGTTGATTATTGAATTGATGTCATCGACTATATTGCTTGTCATTATTTACTCGTACCTGGCACTTGAGAATGAATCTATACCGGATACTCGTACATTCCAAAGTTGGTGTAATAGCCCGTGAGGTTCTAAAGTTATACAAACCCCAGAGCCCTTTAGTCGACATTGACCATACTAGCCCCTAATACTTAAGTGCCGCCCCCAAAACAGCACATCTCAAATTCCTGAAGTCTTAGTCAATTTCCCTGCAGTCTGAAAATTCGTATTCCGTATTCTGAAGTCTGACACCCTTATGTACCTCCCTATTCCAGTGCCCTCCCGTAATATACTACACTATACCCTCTACTCAACGCAATTAAAAACCTGCAAATCCTTGCAAATCCGATCTGAAGATCCGATCGATACCAACCGGCGCGCAGAACCGAACTTTGCAAAGTTAGAAGAGAAGAAGGAAATGAACCTTGACGAAACAAAGAACCATTATTGGATCCCCGCTAGCCCCAACCCACTTCTGAGTTGTGAAATTAAACACATTCGTTTAAATGAGGGGGTTGAGACCGGGGGCCAGCCCTTAGTGGATTCATCGATGAGTCCGGTGTTTCAGCGGGCGCCGTTGGGCTGTCGGATGAGTTTGGTTCGAGTGTCCAGGTGTTCTTCTAAAGTTTGTGCTCTGTGCTTGGTATCAGGATGGAACAGGAGTTCATCTGAGCAGGGTTGAGTTTGGAGAAGTGTGAAAATTGTTCGGTTGTTTCGATCCGTTAATTTTGTTTTTCTTTAGTTTTTGTTGTATGTATTGTTTTGTACTTTGATTTGACTTTGTCCACATTAATTTATCTCAGACTGGGCGATGGATTCTAGAACGGGGATTCTGCTGTCAGCCCTAATACTCGAATGTGAGTCTTGGGCGAATGTGGCATTACTTCAGTCCTCGGGGCCCAATTATTGAGTGATGTGTCCCTATGGGGTGACCGGTGTTTTGGTGGATCAAAGATGACAGCTTGTTGGCACCTTTCTCATACTTGAGTATAAACAAACACAGGTAGAATGCAAAACTAAGTGACAATTAACAGAGTCAAAGCCGAATGCTCGCTCAAATATCGAACCGCCTCACATCACCACACCAAGAGTAATTCACAGCAGCTCAGACAAGAAAATATAGAGAACAAGGGAGAAAGGAGACTCCTTTTCATTCATACATGAGCCCACCCAATCTAGGAAGGGAAAAAAAAATAATAACAAAAGAAAAAACTATGTCTGCGAATGCAAGACAACGCTCAAGACATAAGAACTACTTGCTGGATTCCCAGCCAACCCAGCTACGGGGCATCGGTCGCCAGACCTTGCACTCACCACTGCGAAGGTCATTGAGCTTGAAGCTCTCCATCTTGACCTTCTTGCTTTCCCGACCCTGTTCCCAGGCTCGGATCTTCTTCTTCGTGCCGTCCCAGTCCACCACGATACCCACGTGATCGGGCTTGCCAACCTCGGCACTGTACTTCTGGTGCATGGTGCCCCGGTGACCTTGGAAGCGGGCATTGCGGAAGCTAACAATGTCACCAGCGCGGATCTCATCGTTCTGGGACACCGAGGCATTGGCCAGGTTGGAGTAGACCAGAGCGCCGTAGCCTCGGCTGCCAACGGGAAGCAGGGCTTCGGCTAGAGGGTTGAGCAGGTACTGGATTAATCCGAACGGAGTACCGTCACCAACAGTGGAGTTTTGAACCGAGTTGACGGCTTCCGAGATTCGGGTTCCAAGCTGGATGTGGGCTTGCTCGAGTTGATCCTGACGAGGCTGCAGGGGTGGGGGCTCATGGCGTTGCTCGAGGGTAGCATCAGCAGGGTTCTTGGAGTCGAACTGCACCGTCACAACGGTTTGAGAGTAATCCAGGAAGAGAATATAGATATCTTTGGACACAGTTGTCTTTCCACCTCGTTTAGTGGAAGCTGACTCCTCGACCTCGAAGAGAAGATCGTTGCGGTTTTGGAATGCAGGGGGAGGAGTGTTGGGCTGAGTCCACCAGAGGGTGTTTTCGGAAAGATCTGCGTCGGCTGCGATATAACCGAGGTCCACCGAGGGACGTGATACATCCATAGACCGACGAATGTTGGCTGGCCCTCTCAGGAGATCCATGGATGCCCGCTGGCTTCGGGCTGCCGACGGGGATGGCAACGCTGGAGCCTGGGACTGAGGGGGCGGTGGTGGTGCCAGCGAAGGCCGCTTCTCATGCGAGATGGAAGGTCGCTCATTTGCGGCTGGTGGAGCGTCATATAGATCGTCATATTCCTCGTCGGCCTCTTGCTGCGGTGGGAAGGGAGGCGGTACCTCGGGGCGGCCATGTGGGAGGGGTGATGTAGGTAGGCCATGCTGAGGGGCAGCGTAGTTGAATGGGTCGTACTCCTCATCATCATCGCCACCGGCCGGCTCTCTGTTTGGGGGAGGGGGAGGGGGGCCTCGGGGTGTGTCAATGGACGCACGGGGATTGCGAGGCGGTTGGCTTGGGGGAGGGGGAGGAACTGCCCTGGGAGCGACAGGAGGAAGGGGTGGCGGTTGACGAGACTCCTGAGGGCTACGAGGTGACTTGATAGAATGGTCATCGGTGATGGTACCCTCGTCAAAGCTAGAATCACGTTCATGAGACTTCAATGCATCCTTGTGCTTCACTCCAGATGCAATATCAGTGTCGTAGTCCCCGTCATATTCGGTCACTTCGCCTTCCACGTCGTCTCCAGCCTGTCGAGGAGGTGCAACCGCACTCGTCCGACTGTCGGCAGTAGAGCGACGACGGAGCTGCTCAGGAGGGGGTGGAGGTGGTGCACGGCTCTGCGACGGGGGCATGGGCGGATTAGCTGGGATAGGTGGTGGTACCCGACTAGCTCTCTTTTCGGCAGCAGGGGTCGAGGCCGTTGACGAGACGGGTTCATATGTCGATGAACGACGGGATTCAAAATGATCAGGAATCGCAGGTGCAGGCACAGCCGGCGCATTGCCCAGCGTGTTCAGAGATAGATTAGACGTGTGCACTGAAAGCTCATCATCAGACTCATCGCCATTCTCGGCAGTCGTCGGTCGAGGGGGGACTGGTCGGTCTGAGTGTCACGGTCAGTCTCCATCTTAAATAAAGCTTGCCGCGTACTTACCTCCGGGAACTGGTGGGGGAGAAGCTGGCGGCTCGCCAGGGACATTCGGGACGGGTCTCGACTCCCGAGGGGGAGGAGGCGGCGCTGAACGGTCTATTGGAGTTAGCAACGGAGGAAGTTTGTGTCGGGTCCAGGACTTGGTGTTACCTTGGGATGGCAGGGCTGGAGGCGGACGATCAATAGAGGCACGAGGCACTGCACCTTCGTGAACTACATCTTCCACGTCTGGCAACTCACGCGCAGAATGCTGTTCAGTGATAGGCGTGGCCACTGGCTCCTCATCCTTCTCTACCTCGGTCGAAGGAACTGGCTTAGTGGCCAAGTTCATGCCAGGGAGGGGAACCATGGGCACCGGTGGGGCATTGACAGGCGAAGTGGGCTCCTCTTCAGGCTCCGCAGGCCTCTTCTCCGACTCGGCCGGGGCCTTGGGTTTAGTGCGGGCAGCACCAGGGCCGGACATGCCAGGCATCCCTCCTCCAGGTGGACCGAAGAGACCCATCATACCCATGCCACCGCTCATCTTGGCCATACGCTCACGCAATTCTGCCCTGCGTTTGGTCTCAGGGTCCACTTCCTCTTCCTCTTCATCGGCCTGTTCTTCAGCCTCTGGCTCCTCGGCGGGCTGCTCGACCGGTCGAGTGGACGGTCGGCGCTGGGAGCTAGGACGCGGCTGATCTTCGTCATCATCTTTGCTTGCCGAGGTTTCACCGGCATCTTCGGAGTCTGCGGCCGCAGAGTAGTCGGCATCATTGGCGTCGCTTGTGGCTTCCTGGGTGGGCGAGAACGGCACAGGTGGCTGTGGGGGAGGAGCCGCAGTCCGCATTGTGTCCACACTGGGATCTCGCACACTTGGAGATTGTCCAATGGGCGATTCCTGCTCTTCCTCCTGGGCAGGGGCTGTGGGGACAGCGGCAGCAGACGGCTCGTCCATAGACTTTCTGGGAGGCGGACGTGCAGGCTTTTCTTTCTTCTGAGCGGCTTCCGCCTGTCGCTGAGCTTGTTCCATCTGCTGCTTCTGAAGCAGAGCAATCCGGTCTTTCAAACTAGTTGGCTTGGGTTGGTCTTCGGCGCTTTCCTCGCCTTCTTCGGTAGCAGCGGGCGCGGGTGCGGGCACAGGTGCAGGCCGGCTTTCAGAGACCGGGGGCTCACGTGTGATTTGCTCTTTCACCGCAGGATCTTCCTCTCTCTTGTAGGCCACGGGCGCAGGCTCTCTTGGCGGAGGTTTGTAGGCATCTCGACTGGGAGGCGGTGCGACGAAGGGCTTCTTAATGAAGGACGGCTGGGAACCCCCTGGTTTGAATGGTGTGATGGGCGCAGCAGCCGGCTTATTGAATGCGGCGATTCGATCCCTGAACGAAGATCCAGAAGGCTTCTCTGCAACGGCTGGAGGAGCCGGCTTGGAAGATGGTGCTTTGGCAACAGGTTCAGCCGGGGCGGCGGCGGCGGGAGCGGCAGCGGGCACGGGCGCAGGTGCAGGAACAGGAGCGGGAGCGGGAGCAGGAGCCTTTACCGGCTGTGGGGGAGACGATGGTATTTCTGCGACAGGGGCACTCGGTGGGGATTGTGGCCGAGGGGGTTCGGGCAGCACTTCAGGCTCGGGTTGCGCTTGCACTTCCACGGGGGACTGCACCGGCTCGGGTTCCTTCTTGGGTCTGGGACGAGATGGTCGAGGGGGCGCGGGAGGGTCGTACTTCTCCACGAAATTTTTCGGGAAGATACCCTCCTGTTTGGCTCCTGAGGGGTCTGAGTATTCCCCATAGTACCAATCGTCATCTTCCAGGGCGGTGACCGTGACAATTTGCCCGATCGGGAAGTTCAGGTCGTCGTCATGTTCCGATACATACTCGAAGACAGCCCGAACTGTGAAGGGCGGACCGGACATCTGGCAGGTCGAGCAACCGAGGTTCCGAATAGGGAGATCAGAGAGGGCGAGGCTAGGGGAAGTTTTGTACCGCAATCGCCTGGTACAATATCGCTGGTATGCAGGGATTTATCCGGCGAAGATGTATCAATTCCTGGCAGGGTCAGCTCTTGGGCCTTTGAGTGGTGCCTACCAGGAGATGAGGGGGAGGGGCAGTACTCACGTAGAACCAGTACACCCTCACCAGGGCCAGAGAAAAGAGATCAGATGCAAGATTGCCAGCTCAGACACGAAAAAAACAAAAAGAAAAGGGCAAAGCAAGATGGGAAGAGAGGGCCAGGAGATGTAGAGGGAGGGAGATGAGGTCTGGCGGGATGAAGGAAATGGGCTCCACTGGGCGATCGGCGGCTAACACACCGTCTCTGTATACTTATTGTTTTACTACTTATGTCAATGTGTTATGTTTGAATATAGTTATAAATATAGTTATTTAGAGGTGTTTAATATAGTATAATATTACTTAAGTATAATATAAATGCCCAAACACCTACCGCAGACATAAGTAGTAAAGTACTTAGTTGCGCCCAAAGCTACGTCACTGGTAATACGATCTACTTAGAACTACATCTCTGCCTCTACTTAAGTATATTTCTAAAGTACAACATCCGGCAATAAATCTATGAACTCATTGCGAGAAAGTCTCACTCTCTAGATGGTCAACCATGCTCCTGAATTCCAGTAGATATAACCTTGAAAAGCTCGGGTAGCGAGTCGATTGAGTTGATTTTGATTACCCGTGGACTCTTCTTCCGCTTATCAAGTTTTAAGAATTCAGAAAAATATCGAATGTCGTCTCTGTTTGGAATCTTGGAGCCGATTCATTGGGTCTCTGAGGTCTTCTTTGAAATACCCGAACTTCCATTCTAAATTTGAGCTTGTCGAAGGTGAGAAAGCCAACCCGATGGCCATGCCCATTTTTGCCGATCTGGAAATCCCTGCTGTAAATCCCAAGAGGAAAGAAATTCTTAGATGGCCCAACGTTCTCATTCGCCCAGAAACCGGGGCTGTTCAAGCCCCGTATTGAGGCATCTACAAATACTCCCATTGAGGAAACGGGGTTCTCATTCTCCTCCATCCAAACTAAAATACAAGTTGGTACAAGAAATTGAATTGGGCCCAAACTACTTAAGTAGGGCCGATGTTGAAGGTATGACAATTATGGTGGATCTGCGAACCGAGAAAATCGTTGGTATATCTCAAGTCCTGCGCAGAACGAGAAAAGAAAAACCCCTGGAGGTACGGATTCACATGAAGTCCCGGTAGCCGGTGTGACGAACTATTTCCTATGGTGAACACAGTTCCAAGGGTCGGCTTGAAATCCTAGTCTTTTGCTCCTGGCGCAGCGGTTAGGGTTGGTCGGAATGCGCCCCGAGACCCTGATCTTGACATCCGGTTAGATTCTCTCCATCGTTGTTGGAGATCCCAGCTCTCACATCTCCTGTTTCATTTTAATGTGATGATGATTATGGTCTGGTTGCGGGACAGCGGACTCCTCGACAGAGAGATTACTTGGTTCTGGAAGGTCTTAGGTATGCTCCCTTTCACTCTGGCACCACCTCTTCTCCCCAGTCTTCTTTATGTTGCGTTTGCCCAGCTCCGTGGCTCTTCGAGTTGATCTCTTGTTCAATGGACCCATTGCATTTTCTAGTCCGATTTCGTGTGCGCGGGTCCTGCTGCGACAGGTGCAACTGGAGGTAAGGCTACCATTTTGAGATAGTTGGGTTGAATCGATGGATGTTGTAATTGAAAATCGAGATAACAAATCGATGTGTGCGCCATCCGCGGGGCTTCTGGTACGGCGGTTTGGACTGGTGCAGTAGGTTTGAAAGTCCTCAAGCAGTGTCAACAAAGGAACACAGGAGACTACGGTTTGCCCGGACGAGATAAGCAATGTTTACTGATGATAGATGCTCAGAAATCATTCATAAACCTTCAATTGGGAGGTCCGTCAAGGCTTTTGGGTTTTGCACGTTCACCATCCTGGTTGCCAAGGGAGGCTCAAAAAAAAAAAAAAAAAAAGCTGACCACTTGTACTTCGCCAAAGAGAAAATAATGTTGAGTAGAAAAGGAGACGAGAAGAGTCTAAGTCGGTATTGAGGATGTGGTACTTGATGTAATGATGTTCAGATGCCCATTTCTGAGTTTAGACTGTCAGGTGTAGATAGAGGGAGCTCTCTCTCTCTTTCTACTCTCGGTCTCAGAAATATCAATTACTTAGCTTTATTGTCTCTGTTTTTTCAATGAATAAGAATACACGTCGAGGTCAGCATGGTTTGTGTCAACGAGACCTCTTGATAGCAGGTTCACACCCAGGTGAAAGAGGATCAAGGAACGACTTGAAAACAAACGACCGGATATAGATTGCACTCAGTCAAAGAGCTTTGTAGGAGAAACCACTAGATAAAATTTCGGCTGAGGCCGAACTTAGAAGTGGTCGATCTCATGAATTAAACATCAATTGCTTGGATGGAAGCCTGCTTTATGATACTGTTGAGAGATACTATGGGTTTCCATAGCCAAAACCCCCATTGTTTGCTTTTTGCAACCTCTCTCTTTGTCCGAATCGATTGTTTTTGCGTCTTTCCTCGGCCCTGTAGTCTGCTACTTACATATATAGATCCTTATAGCTACATCTCTACCTCTACACTTCTATTCTACATGAAACTTCCGAGTGCAATAAAAAAAGAATTTCCACCATGATACCCCTGAAGTCAATCCAAAACAAAGTCGAGAAGCATCCAGTCTCTAAGGCTATGGCCTACTTAGGTGTCCTCTATAAATATTCATCCCCCTTCTATTCTTACTCCTATTCTTCGTGCTCTCCCTCGCCCTCATCACCGTCATGGCGGCAATAGTATTGGGCCGAGTGAAGCGGGAATAACCGCAGGAGGTGCTATGCCATAAATAATTCCTGGAAGAAGGACATGGACAAAAGCAGGGTCGTGGTATACAGCCCAGTCAACAGCGCTGGCAACTGGCGCGGGAGGCGCAGCCCCAGCAGGTGCCACTTGGTAAAAGAAATTGAATTGAGGCCAAATTGGTGCCGGTACTGCTACAAGGTTTACGAGTCCAGCAGCCGGCAATGAACAGCAGTAGATCCACTGAGATCTAAGAAAACTGTCAGTATAAAGTACGCAGGACGAGAAAAAAAGAAAGGAAGAAAAAAAACTTGGAGGTACTCACATAAAATCCCTACAACCAGTGAAACTCGTCCCATTAATGTTGAAGCTAGCTCGCAGAAAATCGTGGGTGAACAATATTCGCAGAAACCGCCTGAGTGTGTGACCAGCAAAAACGGGGATATTAATTGTGTGGGCACAGTTTGGTGCCGGACCTACCACACCCCTGCACTTCACGTCACCCGGTGGAAAAGACCCGACAGCCGGCATATTTCGTGGTAGCGCGAATTCCAATTGGACACCAACGTTGCCCGCTGCTGTCAATGTGGACGCTCTCGTTGTTGGACCGCGTGCAAAAGTGAACCTGAGAACGGTATGATTGTGCGTTCCATTGAGAAGATCGATGAAGTCAATGTTTAAGCCCGCAATCTTTTGTTTCAGGAAGTTAGCAGGTATGACCGGTTGGACTCTGTGATACCATCTCTTCAGCCCAGGGGGCAGTATCGGATTGCCCAGCACCTTGCCGCTTCGAGTTGTTCTCGGGGCCACTGCTCCAGGTGGTCCTACAGCGGCTGGTCCTGCAGCTGGGAGTACGGCTGCCATTTTGAGATGTTTGAATAGAATCGATGGATGTTGCAACTTTAGAATTGCTTTTGTGAATGTGATGCCTGATGTTATGAATATTCTACAAGGGAATCACTTGAACTTATATACTACCAGGCTTTGAAAGTGTGTCTTTGTGCAGAGAGCGATGTAACAAAAATAGATGTCGAAGTCAATGCGGTTTGTATCAATGAACCCCGTTGATAGCAGGTTTATGAAAGGGGATCAAGGAATGACCTCGGGAGTTGAAAGCGAGCGGCTGAACATAGATTCTATATGGTCAAAGACACTCTTTGTGAGAGAAAACTTGGTTACGTTTGTTTCGACTCGAGTCAAAGTGAACCAAAGCCGAATTGAACTAAGGCCCAACTTTTGAAATAGACGATCTCATAGATTCAGCGTTACTCATCTAGATGGAAACCTACTTTATGATACAATAACTTGTAAAGGCCATTGCTCGAAAGAGAACAGTATTTCATGAACAGATAATCGAGTATGACCAAGAAGATGTCTGGGGGATAGAAGAGATGGAGGGGAGCCACATGCACATATCTAGACAAAGCAAGATCTTTTGTTCTGATCTACCATTCCCAAAGACCAAGCTGAGACGTTCATTCCAGTAATGATGCTTTCTTAGGGCTGCCTTCATTTTCTCATTGCTTCTATCTCCCCCAAGTCCTCGACTCCAAGTCCTAGCCATGATTGGGGTTTTCTCTTAAACATGCATCTGGTCACTTATTCTGTATATTCCCAAACTGAATAACTATACGGCAAGATATCAGGATGAAAAGCTAGGGCAAGGTAATCAGAAATCATTGGTCAAGGAATATAGAAAAATCTATAGCCATGGAACTATTACAATCTAAATATCTAGAGATATGCACAATAGAGAGCAAACAAAGCTAATAACAGATATCTGCATTAATTTGAAATGTAATACCAAACTGACAAAGCCAAAATCTCATTCTCAATGTCCTTTTTCTCGCTGCCTTTCCATTACTTAAGTATAAGATCTCCTAATATTAAAACACAATCCCCCAAACTCGACCTATTACTTATGCCCCTCCCCCTCAGTAGTTAAGTACGGGAATCGCAGGGTAGGGGTACAGAGGATGCAGGTAAGTAGCGTTTCCAACAGGGATAGCAATTGGTGCAGGGTTTCCAGGCACTGGTGCGGGTACTGGAGGAGGTGGTGGTCCGTTGACATGTGCCGGTGCTACCGGGAAAGGTGGTTCTCCAGCTAGACGCGGTCGAAGCCAAACGTAGTTGAAATCGTTCCAGACGCCGACTGGTCCTCCAATTACAGCAGGAGGAGGCACCAAAATTCCTGCGCCAGCACAGTGGCTCAGCCACTGAGACCTATCATAATTGTTAGTATATGTACTGTTCAAGAATGGGAATGGGGAAAGTACTCACATCATGTCTCGACTGCCAATGGTAGTTCCCCCCGCAACGGGAGTGTAATCAGCTGGTAACATGTCCTGAACCCTCACCTGACGTAAAAGGCTTCTGAGTCTCGTGCCAGGGGCTACGGGCACTGCAATAGAGCGCATAGAGTTTAGGTGCGGACCAGCGGCAGTAATGCTTTCGCCCCACAGTACAGCGCGATTCGGTCGAGCTGCAGTACCAATTTCTCGGAATCCCATTGTAACACCCAGGGTGCCAGCTGGTGCGTATCGTGAGCCTTCGGTCTGTGGGTTAACGAACATGAGCCTGAAGTTAACATGGTTATCGACAGCGCCTCCATGTTCATCTAGGAACTCAACATGACAAGATGCAATCAGCCTACCCTGCATGGCTAGTGGAATAGAACTGATCTGCTCGTCCATGATCCACTGCTGTCGGTTGACTGTTTCTAGGCTCAGGGTCGGCGAGGCCAGTTTCGCGGCTATATTTGGTTAGCTTTTGAACAATGCTCAAAATGAAAGGATGATCACTTACTTCTATAATACAGTCGAGTGCTCTTTGCTAAACGGCCCCTTTTTGGTCCTCCGACTGTCTTGACTTTCGCGCCTACTACCGCTGGTGGCTTGGGTGCTGCTGGTGCTGTGTGTGTGCGGGGTGCCATTTTGATATTGTTGAATTGAATTGACTGGTGTGTGTTTTCTGTTGTAGATGTTTTGCCGATGGTTGTAGATGCTCTGCTAATTGTTATGATATTTGCAAGTGAAATACTCGTCCTTATATATTGTCAGATATCGAAAGCCGGCCCTGGATCAAAGAACACTACAATCTCTAGAAGACATTGGATGAAAGGGGAGTAAATATAGACATGAAAGCCAGCAGACAAATAGGATCACTGAAATCTTTATGATGAAACAATATGTCGAATATCGAGGAGGACTCGGTCAAAGGCTTTTGAGAGGCGTTAGATTCATTCATTATCCTTGTTATAACAAAGCAACGGGTATTTCAAGGGGCATTGTTGAGCAAAGACTTCAGGAAGACAAAGCGATCATTCTGCAGACGAGCAAGGAACATGAACTCTAGAGAATATCATCATTACTGCAAATGAAACGATACATCTTCATGGATTGATGGGCTTACCCTATCATGCATGGGTGGCTTTAGAAACTAGCCAGGCGTACAGTGTGTTGGATATAACTGATCCATAATGTCCTGTAGTAAGTGTACCCATAACCCATCTGCATACTTGTCCAGAGCCGTTGAATCGAGGACACTGGTATGTCTCATTTCTCGTGGTATGTTTGTGCTTAACACTAATGTCTCTCGGGATTTCCAAGATTCTGGTTGGACATAATTGTGTTTCTATCACCTGGGCATCCAGTTGATTCAGTCTTCTCTTTGTGTATCACTCCCAATGTCTGTTACTCCATTGTCTTCGACTATCTGTACAAACTCATAGTTGGATGCATTGTAGATGAGATTCGCCCCTGTGGACACCACGACCTGCAGGATTGGAGGCTCTTAGATAGAACTTTGGGCAACTTAATGTGGTACTTTGTAGGTTCTACTGTTCTCCCGGGCCGATGTTTTGGGCAAGATGTGTGAAGTATACAAGTGTTTCTTTGACCTGGTTCTTCTATTCGTGGGCTGTATAATTACTCTAAGTTTGAAGAGAGAGTTGGGAATACTAAAGAACCAAATACCGAATTTATTATAGTGCAAAGATGCCCCGAGTATGGGGTGCATCGGCTGTCCCACATGAACTTGTAACTCAACTCAAGAAATGATCTTCCAAGGGTTCACCTTGCACTTTGTGCCATTAATCTCTATGTATCGCTCTAGTTCCTCGTTGGCTTCATTTTCTTATCAAAAAATGAAAAGAAAGCTTAGCCCTCGAGGTGATTCAAGAAAACGTCACGGCGTGAGACACCAACCCGTCCAGCGAACCAGGTATCTAGTCGACTATTAAGCTCTCTACTCCCTACAGACCACTGTTTGTGTAGCTTAGGATTAATCAATTCAGCCAGAGAAACTATTAATTGTATGCAAAAACATAGAAACAATCAGTGAGAAGTTCACCGCAATCCGGGGGATTTTTTGCCTCCGCTTTGGATATTGCCTGTCTTTTTTTTGTTAACCGCCTTCAGGTCTCGGGTTTCTCCTCATTACAAACCTCATCAAATACGAAACCTCTTCTGGAATTTATAGAATGGCTGCACAGCAAGGGCCCAATGCCCTCAAGACCTCCCTGCCCGAGGCATACGCCGCCATGAACGCTCAACAACCCCCACCATCATATACACACCCATCACAAGAACAACAAGACAAATACCTCCAAGGTCGCCCAGGAGCAACACAACATCACCTTGAAATCGCATTACAGCATGCGCAACAGATCCAGACCCAAAAGGACGCCGAGGACGTAATCCTCAACCACATTCTCGATCTCCTCGATCTCCCCTCCTCCCCCTCCGCCAACCCAGCCACACCAGACATAGAAGATACCAACAAATTCAAAGGCGCTCTGATCCCCTTCCGACCAAGCGACTACGATAATCTAATTCTAGAACGCAACTACGGAGATCTCTGCGGCTACACCCTCTGCCCCCGCAAACACCGCAAGCAAAAACCCGGAGCGGGAGGTGGCTTCCAATTCAAATATGGACCTAAAGGGAGCGGGCCAGGCGGCCGGGGACGCAGCGTGGACATTGTACCACAAGACCAGGTCGAGAAGTGGTGTTCGGACGCATGTGCAGAACGCGCTCTATGGATCAGAGTGCAGCTATCTGAAGAGCCAGTCTGGGAGAGGAGGGGCGATAATACCCGGGGCACGAATATCCTACTTCTTGAAGAAGCGCGTGCGAAAAGACTACTGGCCCCGGCGGCTACGGGCACTGTTTCGGCTGTTGTGGACGATTTGAATAACCTCATGCTTGCGAACCCGGATCGGTCGCGGGAGCTTGCGGTGGAACGAGGTGATACCAGTTCTGTGAATCGTAATGGTCGGGTGCCGATTACTTTGCAGGAGAATGCTGGTAAGCAGCGTGCAGAGGCTCCGCAGATGCGTCCGGATGATGTGACTGGGGGTTCCATTGAGGGATATGTTCCCCGGCAAGACAGAGCCGTAGACGAAGATGGAGATATTGATCTCTTTGATCAGATCTGATCAGATAGCAGGATTTGCTATGGCATTTTTAGGGCGTTCTACGAATTTTATACCCATTGTTCATGGTTAAGTCTACGGACCACTGGCAGCGAATATATCCTTTTCAGAAAATATCCACGACTCAGACCAATGGTCATGAGTCTCTTGAACAAAAGTTCAAGAACTCCTACGTAGCCTGACCTGAAATGAATCAGGTAGACACGAGGGGGAATTTGGCAATCAAGCGTCATCTCCGTGAGGAGAATCGGCGACACCTTTCTCAAAGAGAATCATTTGTATTCATTCCTCATCCAGGAATAGCCTTCCACTAAGCTAAACCGTGCTAGCGGGACGAAAAGCCAGCCAGACAAGCGTGATCAGGGGCGAGAGCCGACCGACCAGACATGAACTTTTGTTACCATTCCGGGCGCAGAATTTAGCGGGGACCGAAGCGGCGGGGACGCTCAGCCTGCTGCTGCTGAGAGACGGCAACGACGTTGACCTTGAGGTTGTCGAACTATAAACTGTTAGAAATAATTCCTTTTCTTTTGTGAAACGAGAAAAACTTACGCCCATGGACTTGAGAAGGTCCTTGGTGTCGGCGTCAACGTCGAGCTGGCCGGACTCGGTCTGGGAGACATCGAGAGCGGAGACCTCGGGGACGTACTGGTCCTTGCGCTCACGCTCCTCCTCCTGAAGCTTGAAGGAGATACCGCGGACGGGACCACGCTGAATGCGCTTCATGAGGTGGGTGGTGTAACCAGCGATCTGAAGATTGGCAGTTAGCAACTGAATCAGGCGCATAGTCATCGGCGCAAAAACATACCTTGTTGCGAAGACGCTTGGAAGCGATGATGGCGATCTCATCACAGATACGCTTGTTGGTCTCGAAGTCGAGGGTCAACTTGGGGTAGTAACGCTCGATGATGACCTTAGCGGAGCGCTTGACTGTCTTGGTACGGACGCGACCCATTTTGGCGGTTGTTGGCTGGCGGGATGGATGTTCGAAGGACTGATAGTGAGGCTGGTTTTGAATTGACTTGAGCGGGCTCGCTTGTGTGCCGCAGATTACATAATTCGCTTACACACCGCTCTGAAAGTTTCTGCTGAATCTTATCTTAGGGTTATTTGAGACCATATTGACCGCTTACTGATTAGGCTAAGTGTCAAAAATAGACTGACATCAGCGATACATACAGGGGCCTCTTTCCATTTTTTGGGCGTCACGTGAGTTGGCTTTGGATATACGCTGTACGGAGTACTATTGATTGGTGTACTAGTGATTCAAAATCAAACACGGCGATGCTTGTTGAAACCTTTATTTGATGTATGCAACTTATATGGGAAACAGAAAAATGGCTTTACACTAGAACTATCATACATTGTACAAGTATTGCAGGCTCCTCACCTGGAGCTGAGGGTGTTGAGAAGACTGCGAGCGACCTCCTCTGTTCCCTTCGCTGGACCCCGTTGCGCCGCCTGCTCACCTGGCGTGAATCGGGGCTGGCCAAACGGCCGTCGGTCCATCCGAGGCACTGCCTGGGAGTTGTAGTTGGCAACATCCGAGATAGTCAGGGTGCTCTCTTTCTTGTGATCTTCCAATCCATAGGGCGCCTTGGCAGTGGCGCTGGCACGGAAAGATGCAAGGTTGATACGGCCCTGGCTATCTGTAGCAGCGCGGATAGGAGTGACCCAGTATTTACCACCACCCTTGATGGACGCATCGAAGTAGGTGAGACCGGGAGGTGCGCCTGACGCAACGAAGTTCATGGCGTTCAGGTCGTCGACGGCAATACCACCGATACCTGCTGTGGCACGGGACATTCTGCCCTTGAACTTGCCCTTGGGTCGCAGAATGCGGGCCTCGACGGGGCGCTCGTATGTCTGGGGACCAAACTTGGGGTGGTTGTAAATCAAAGCGTGTGATCGGGTGTACGACAGACCAGCCGAGGGGTGTGTCTTGGGAGGTCCTGTGACGGCGTATTCTGGGGAAGAGAGATTGGTTGGGGGAGGTTGGTAGTACTTGCGCCCAACGCGCTCACTGGGAACGGCAGGAGGCGAAGCAAGATCCAGCAATTCGAAGACGACTGGGCCGAGAGCGAATGGGTCATTGCGCAAAGACTTGATGTAGGTATCAAACTCCGCATCGGTAATTGTAACAGCCTCAGCGATGTCCTCTCCGTTATCCTGTGCTTGCTGGCGAAGTTCGGCATTGCGCTTGACCGTCAATTGCTCACGGAGCTTCTGCAACAGCTCGGGCTTCTGTGTAGATACCTTCTTCAGGTAAGCCAGGAACTCCGACTCCGTTTGTCCGGCAAGCCAAGGACCTGTCTGTCTAAACTGTTTGGCACCAGCTTCCTGAAGACCCTCGCTAGTCTCGGTGTTGTCAAGGTGGGCTTCAAAGGGACTCGAGTGTCTGGGGACGATGGTTGTCGAATAGTTGACCTTGGATGGGAGAGACATAGGCATGTGAAGCTCCTGGAACTTTTCGAGGGTCATCGTGTGATCCGCGGCGGATTCGAAGTCGGTGACATGCTCGTACGTGTCGAGGGCGTGAACTCTGACTACAGGCTTTGACGATTTGTCTGATGTCGACTTGGCTGGAAGAGGGCGTTTCAGACCCCAATCGCCTCGGGCTAGTGATGATGACGGGGTAGCGATGGCGGCTCGAATGGGGTGAGGCAGAGTTGCAGAATCGGATTCGGTGACGGTTCGCGAGGATGGCGGTGCTTGGGGACCCTTGAGAGCTTTTGGAAGTGCAAATAAGCGCGACTTGCGCATTAAATTCGCCGTTGGCGATAGCCTGGCGGACGCCATGTTGTTCAATTGATTTGACTTGGAGTTGCTGCGAGAAAAGTTGACCGGAGAACACGGGCAACGCATACGGTAGCCACAACAACCCAAAGCGCAGTTCTCTCCTACAAAATACCGGTGGTTCTCAGTACAAACAGTGTATACACATTGTATTTTTTTTTTTCTTTCTCATTGCCATGTATCTATAATCTGGCCTAAACACCAATCACCACAAGGGAATCTATGGTGTCCTTCACTGTCCGTTCCAGGGATCGGTATTCCAGCCCCAGAACCTTCTGGGACTTGCTATTGTCATATCCATAGGTGTTCGGGGAATCATCAACAGAGTCCGCAGGTGGCAGTTTCTCCTCAAACTCGGGGTGGGTTTCACGGACAATGTCTGCGATCTTTTTGTTCGAGAAGAAGCCCGCAGTAATGAAGAATCTCTCTCCGCCGGCCTCGCTAACCTCGATTGCCTTTACGTGAGCAAGGGCAACGTCGCGTACATCCACCCAGAGGAAGTTCCCAGTTGGAGCCAGCTTCTCCTTCATAGCGCCCTGGATGAGATCTCGGAAACGCTGGTTTGAGGTGTTGATGGCCTCCAAAGAGTTCAGATAGGGAACAACCGGTCCAAACACCAGAGGTGGGTTGATAGTAGCAAGGTCGAAGTTTGGCTTCTCCTTCTCGACGAAATCCCAGGCAGCTTTTTCGGCAAAAGTCTATTCCGCGTCAACTGGGTTTTTGTGCTCCTGCTCGCAAGAGAAAGACTTACCTTGCTAGCTCGGTAGACCTGCGAGTGGTCCATCGCCTCCTCCCATGTCACTGGGTTCCACACCTTCTCGCTGTAAACCTCGGGAGGCTGCTTGGGATTGACAATCGCAGCGAAGGATGATGTGATCACTACTCGCTTCACGGTTGGGGCATAGGCTTTGACGGCCTTCAAGATACCAGTGGTACCCTTGATGGCAGGGTCCAAGAAGTCCTTCACGGGATCTTGGACATTGAAATGGAAAGGCGATGCGGTATGCAGAACGTAATCGAATGGCGGGTCTGACTTGACGGCCTGTTACTTCGTCAGTGATATACATATGGTGCAATAATGCTCCACTGACCTCGTCGAATGCGCCATCCTTGGCTACATCTTTCACAATCACATAGGAGAGCTTCTCTTTGGTTTCTGGGTGCGCCTTGATGATCTGGTCACCTTTTTCCTCAGATCGGACAGTCACAACGGTTTCAAAGCTATATGACCATACAATTGTCAGTGTTGGTAAGTGGGGCAGGGAGGCGTACTCCATACCCATGCTGTAGTAGAATATCTACAATGTGGGCGGCAATGAAGCCACTGCCTCCAGTCAAGAGCACTTTAACCATGATGAGATAATAAGATGAAAATATGTATGAGAAAAAGAAAGTGAACAGAGGTGGGAGGACCTTGAGCTTTATCTCCAAACCCCTCCGTCATCCCGCATCGGCCCGGACATATCACATTGCGCAAGATTACAAATGGCGGCTTTGAACAGACCTTACACGCCTTTATTTCCGCGTTCGGGTCTAACGGAGCTAAGCTATCGGGCTTACCGCAGCCTTGCCGCAGCCTTGCCCTCTAACGCCTAAAGATCGAATGGGGTAACGGCCATTCCGCGTTGCGTCCTTGCCCATTGGATCAACTTGGATATCTGCGAGAGCCAGCTTCAGTTGAAGATTGAGGGAAAAAATACAGGCCAACACAGTTTCCGCTGCTTTCTATCATACCGAGTATATCGACACTTTCCTCCTACAGCATCAATCTAGGGTCATTGATGAACCTTGGAATGCGGGGAAGCTGTGGTCCATATATCTGCAGTGGTGCTCAGCTTTATACCTGGGGACCTTTGGTGTAAGTGAATCTTGCTCACTCCACTCCGAGATTCTACTGAAGTATCCAAGATTCCTGTGGTGACTTTCAAGAAAGACAACAAAACAGCCATGCCTGCCCTAAATATACTACATGGTCTTCAATTGGTGTCACTTCTCTTCCAAGATTCCTTCCCGGTGCTTGATATTTTTCTTTTATCTCTACTCAAATATAGAAAAATGGAAATGGAATTTCTATGGAACTCGAGTCAATTATCCACCTACAAGCACGATTCCAGCTTCCATGCCCATCGTTAGGCCATGGAACTCGGGAATATATACATCCCTTCGGAGGGTTTCTCGGCGCTCTGTCACTCGAGCACCTGCGATTTTGGCCAATAGCTAAAGTGCGATATGTCCGCATGTATAGAGATCTCCGAAGCACAATAATTCAGTAGTAGCTCGATCTCCGGTGAAGCAGCTGGCTATCGTATAGTTACTTTCGTCGTACTTAAGTATCCTTCTAAAGTTTTAGCAGACCTCGGTTGCCAACTTGCCAACGAGATACTTCCTGGCACTCTCTAAGGTTCTCGTCATCTTTTGAAGAAATTCAAATCTCCAGTTCTATTCTACTACGCTGCTTAGCAATCTTGGAAGGTTCTTTTGATCAATTCAAGTCGATGATTTCGTAGTTCATGATTGTTGTTCCGTACTGTACAGGGGGACGTGGTATTGTGTAATTAAGTGTAATTAAGGCGACAACAACGCAGTTGATTGGCTCATCCCGCTGAGTCAACACTGCATTGTGTAATACATAGGTGTAACCAGCATAAGCCCTTGTGCAGGTACTTCATAGCCTACTTGTAAGTACTAAGGTACTAAGGTACGGAGTAGAGTAGATGCATGTCTCAGCTTGGACCTAAAAGCAGGCAACATTGTATACTACCTTCAAACAGCCAGGCTCCCACTTTAATCTCCTTTCTCCCCCATGCGTCTAGAATAATCAAAAAGAGAAGAACGGGTAAGTGGGTCATGTCTAAATTAGGTGCGAGACCTCCTTTCCCCGGACATACCTCCCAACGTGGCCCCAGCACCTTTGTCATTTCACATTCCCTCCTGAAGCCCTCCTTATACACTATACCGAACTTCTCTCTCGCGACATGGCCTTGTGATACGAGTAAGCGCCTACTGTAACCTATCTTCTTCCGTCTCCGCCGCGGCATGATCCCGCATCATGGAATCACTCGTATATGAGAACTCGCCTCTGGCCGAATACCTGGAAGGTTCGTGACATCCAAAACACCCGAGGAATGTTCGCTGACTCTGATAGGGGAGGGAGGACATGACGAGAGCTGGCCCGTGGAAGAGAACCAAAGCGACGATGATCATACCACCCTCAACTTTGCCCCCCGAGGGTCTTCCAAATTCCAGGACCGCGTACGAAACAAACTCCCGAAGCCTCTCGACCTAGGAACACCCCAAGGACAGTTGATCGGGAAAATCTATGAGGCGTGCTCGGTATGACCCCTCATTCTCAACGGCACGCACTCGCGCTGACACGCTTCTCTCTAGTCCGCGCTAAATGCCCGATTAACGCGAAGCGACAACGAACGATTCTTAGAACAATTCGGCTACGTGATTGTTGCCTCACAGCTCTTGAATGAGCACAGCGCCCCCTCCTACACCTCCGCCTCCGACGTCCACTCCGCGAAACAACCCGCAGCACTCCCGTCCCTATCTACAACTTTTGGAATTCAAGGCGCTATTGTCACCGCCTGCACATCATTCTCTATTGCATGGTTATTACATTGGAGCCGGTCGAAGACCGGATCGGGGGTTAGTCTAAAGAAAGTTGGTCTACTGTTGGTACTGGTTCCGGCTGTTGGGGTTTTGTTCTACGTTTTCGCAAAACGCCAGTGGCTAAAGTACCTGCGGCATCAAGCTGTTGAGGCAGCGGGGACTTTTATTGGAAATGCCCAGGGTTTCGATCATGCTGCTTCGGCTTCGGTTGTCTTCATTCAGGAGGTGGAACTGGTGTCACGGGGGTATCGGATGTAAGATTGCGCAAAGTCTGGTCAGAAAACCGCGACCGAACTGACATCATTCCAGAAGTACCCCTTTACCGCCGATCAGCCGACTTGAGGAGGTAGTGCAGACACGGCGCTGTCTAAGACTGCGCCGAGCAGTGTCAGAGTGCTTCTCCTCAATGCTCGAGCGATATATCCAATCTCAAAACACTTTGCGCCCGCTCACAGAGGAGGGTAACCTTGCCAAGTATTACGACATTTACGATATTGGACTGGAGGAACTCGAGGTGATTGAACTCTCGGTGTCCCAGAGAACACACGAAGATCAGTACTCCCTACGTTACCTCCGAGATCTCTTTGGCAAATTGTACAGCATACGCAAAAGCGTTTTATGCTGTTTGTTGGCGCTGAGTGCGGATGGTGGAGGATCTGACATCACGAGATGGAGCTCTGCTGTCGAGGAAATGCGTGAGCTCGCTGCAGTGACTGGTGCTAGCATGTCGAAAATGACTGCAATTCTGAGCGAGGAGGATAGTATGTGGCCTTTCCTAATTTCAAAGAGACCGAACAATTGGGACTGACTTTTCCAGGCGAACAAAACATCCCTCCATCCCCATTACCTTCAGCTTCATCAAGCAAGGATCACCTGCGAGCTCAATACCGACGCCTCAACTCTCTTTCACAGGGGGTCCGTGCCTTGCATGCGAAAATGCACATCGTCAGCGAGGAGTCACATGCAAATCTCGAGCGTGCAGATGCCGAGGAGTTCGAGGCTACACTCCTTGCACAATATGACTCAGTTGGCAGTGACCTGCGTGCTCTGCTCCAGGAGTGGGAATCCGGCAAGACGGCATTGGTAAATCAACATGACCGTCTCAGTGTCGGAGATCACTCAAGACCTTCCAGCACCTTTTTGATGCCCATGTCACCCACTCCGAGCCTTGGGGGCTCCACGGCAGTGGAAGGCAGTCCAACCGACGCACTCAAAGCCTTGAACGGCGATCATCGGCCGGATCTGACGCATACTTACGAAGATGAAGAGATCTTCGAAGCTGTTGTCCTCCCCGGCTCCCGAAATAAGAGGATGTCTTTGACCCGAGACGAACGTCTGGCCCGCGTCCGAGAAGACCGTGTCAGGCAAGCTACCGCTCGCGAAAAGATGGACGCAAGCAACAATATGCTCAAGGAGCTGGAGATGGTGATTAAACAAAGGCCTGGGAATCACTCTTCCAAGCGAGTCACCAGTATCTAGGAGACCCCTACCCAAGACAAGGCTGGGCTCCTTGTCTCTTGATCCCTTCGGTCAGGATCCTACTTTTCTTTTGCGCCCTTGGGCACAGGATTGACTTCCCAGCGCTAGCAGCAGGATGTCATACATTGATACCCACCATTTGTATAGACGGGGAATGGCGACAGTGGCGTTTGGCATGGGCCTTTTGGCGGCCTTCTTTGCAGTTTGCATGTATCATTACTCTTTTTTTCCTATTATTGTTCACCTGTATAGTGAGTTGGGGTGCTTTGGCACGAGATTGTGACGGCTGCCCGACTGTATATTCCGGCAGTGTAAATGAAACACATACTTAAGTAACATTGACCTCTCGTACTCTGTATATAACAACTAGATACTCCGTAGAGTCAATTACACGTATATCATATTTGGCCTAAGGCACCAACGCTAAACCCAAACAGGACATATCGCCAACGAACGCGACCGCGTCTTTTCCCCACCCTTCAACGCGGTTCATATAATTAGGGCGCTGCCTCTTTCCTTTCACTTCTCCCCTTCAAATTTGATACCCGCCACTTCAGTTACTCTTTTTACGATTTAATTTAACCCAATTACCAAGAGTAAGTTGGTTTGAAACATCTACGATCCTGTCGGTGAACAATTGATCAATTAACCCATATTTTCAGTGTTGGAAGCTCGTTTGGAACAGGCCAGTCTGCTGAAGCGCGTACGTGATTCCGAAATCCCACATCCCACGCCATCCTAACGCGATCTAGGTGGTCGACGCTATCAAGGACCTCGTCCAAGACTGCAACTTCGACTGCAATGACTCCGGAATCGCCCTGCAGGCCATGGACAACTCGCACGTTGCCCTGGTCTCCATGCTGCTCCGCGCCGAGGGTTTCTCTCCCTACCGCTGCGACCGCAACATTGCCCTCGGAATCAACCTGCTCTCCCTCACCAAGGTGCTCCGCGCCGCCCAAAATGAAGACATCCTGACCCTCAAGGCTGAGGACTCACCCGATGCCGTTAACCTCATGTTCGAGAGCGCCGAGACAGATCGTCTCAGCGAATATGATATCAAGCTCATGGATATCGACCAAGAGCACCTGGCTATTCCCGAGACCGAGTACGCTGCTACCGTGGAGATGCCCTCTGGCGAGTTCCAGCGTATTTGCAGAGATCTCAACGCACTTTCCGAGTCTGGTAAGTACTTAATTTTCCTTCGGCAGCAATGTGTGGCTGGTCATCTGTCGACATCTCGCTTACTGTTTCCCCTTAGTCGTGATCGAGGCCAACAAGGAGGGCGTCAAGTTCTCCTGCAGCGGTGACATCGGTAACGGCTCTGTTACCATCCGCCAACACACCAACGTTGACAAGCCCGAACAAAATGTCACCGTCAACATCTCCGAGCCCGTCGCCCTGACCTTCTCCCTCAAGTACCTCGTCAACTTCTGCAAGGCCTCCAACCTGTCCTCATCTGTCGTCCTCCACCTTTCCCAGGAGGTGCCTTTGCTTGTCGAGTACGGTCTCGGAAGTGGCCACCTGCGCTTCTACCTGGCCCCCAAGGTAAGCTATCATTCCCCAAGGTGTCTGTCCCGCCATATTCGACTTCGTGCTAACATGTCTCCACTCAGCTCGGCGAAGACGAGTAAACGGACTATATGGGGCGTTGAAGGGATAGAGGCATGGTTAAAAATGAAGCCTTATGATAATCGAGAGGGCCCAATGGAGGGAAAACTCTTTCACTGCATCCTCAATGGGGGATTACAAGATGTTCACGATAATTTACACATTCAGCGGTCGACTTCAATGTCGCAACCTTTTCTAAATCAATTTCAAAAACACTTAACCAGTATTTTCCGTATACCAAGATGGCGGAAACCACCAATTTACTCGTTACAATGTTTGCCTATAAAGCATGATAAATCAATACATTTCGGAAATCTATCTTGATACAGTGAGTTCAATCCCAGAGCCCCCGACACCACGGCATTCAATCACCTATCCCCCCAACTGTAGCTTGCAGCTTGCAAGCAGGACCCTAGAAGGCCCACAACCCCACTAATTAGCAAGGTCGACAAAAAAACACTCTTTCCAGGCCACCCCAAGAAGAGGCGGAGAACGAGAACTGACCTGAAAAAAAAGATGAAGCGCCATCCCCACCAGAATGATCGGAATCGAATGATACCATCCACCCTCCGAAGAGAAGCAGAGCAAGTATGCTGCGTATTGCACTAAAGTGTCATCACACACAATCTCCGCACCGACTCTCCCAAGGGGATCTGAAGAAACGCAAGCGAATCCCAGCCCCGATGTTTCTGATGCCGAATGCAGGTGTGGATACAAGATCACACCAGGCCCTCACGGGCAGAACCGGCGCCGACGCATCGACGCGGGTTGTGGGTTTGAAGATTCCTCCGAATTTCTCATTTGCAAGGGTTCTCGCGGTCTGGGCGGAACCCAGATCGCGAGGACGGAACGAGCCGTCGTGTGTAGCAAAGAAACGCAGCATTGGTGGGGATGGCGCTTGGGAGAGGAAGTTTTTTGTGTTCGGCGTTTCTTTTTTATAGCTTGGTCACGTGGGTGAGTCACCGCTTTGGTGGCGCTTGTCCCGATTAGGTTGTTCGCTTGCTTTGCTTTTATCACTTCTTTTCTTCAGTCGATTGACTCTCTGTTGATTCGGATTATTATCTAGGTAAGATGCTGGCAAGTCTCTAGTTTGGTTATGCATGTAGGACAATTTGCCCTGTGTCTCGAGGCGAGTCCTTCACGGACGTACGCAATGGCAGGAATGAACTGGACATCACAGAGCCATTCCGACCAACAGCCTCAATGGTCGTCCATTCAAAGTAATCATCGCGTTCGATCCTGGTTTCAAATCCGCGTTTCTCAAAGTATCCGACCAGTTCATACCCATCCCACTGCTCCTGCGACGCATAAACTCTCCATCCTTGAACCTCGGTAGCTCCATTCCAAGAAACAAACCAAACTGTCGGCCCAGAGACATACTCTGCCATAGCGTAGAGATCAGGACTTGTTGTCGGCGCAGTGGTAAAGTTGGCCTTGTAGGTTCGATACCAATACCCAGTTGGGTCAGCCAGCCATGCTTCGAAAACAGTACGCGGTCCATCTGGAGTGTGCTCATGCTCGCTGAGGAATGGTGTTCCACCCCAATACACAAAGACATTACCACTGTCCAAGAATTGCACGCTTCCCTCTCTTGTTGTCACGATGTCTTGGGGCGTCGTGTACCGGTGGATCAGAGAGGCGTGCATGGTTTTCAGGTCTAGATGCAGCGCGAGACCGGAAGAAGATGAAGCTGAATGGTGCCATTCATCGGATGCATTGTCGAAAAGTGAGATCTGCATAATTCCTTCTTCCTCGTTCTCGTGATGTACTCGGGCATGGTGCTGAGAGCTGAAGTTCAGTCCGGACTCAAATGTAAAATCGGATCTGCGGCCTCCGAGCCTCCATAGGATGGTCCCATTTTGTCCAGAGATCATGTATATGGTGCTTGTGTGGCGCGCGGAGATCAAATAGTCTCCTCTCTGAGTCTTGTCAACAGAATTGATATGACTAGTCGAATATCAGCAGACAACAGTCAAGGAAGTGAAAAGACATACAAATAATCCCAACCAGTCTCAGGACTGATGCCATCTCCCCATTTTCGCCCAAGCTCCATTTGGGATTCCTCTATCTCGATATAATCCGCAGGATCCCACATGAAACTCACAGCCTGTGTCTCAATATCAAGTTCCTGAAACCCCGCTGTCCGTAGATATCCATCCAAGGGACCCCCGACAGAAGATAAGTCCCAACGCCTGATATCCAGCCATGTTGTGATGATTGCTGTTCCATTATCGACAATATTCAACTCATGCATATCGGGCTCTACACCGATGTTGATTTCGGTAAAGTCTCTTTCTCCCTCGGGGGTGTAGAGACCTAGATCGAAAAGAATAACCGGACCCGACGCAGTAACTCCTTTGCCATGACGCATTTTTAACATGCATAGTTTATCTTGACCTGTAATGTGACATGGGTGAAGGTTGTGTACGAATTCAACGCCAACTGCGCCATACCAGACTAGCTCCTGTATGAAGGTGTTCAGTTTTGAAGGATAGTATCCCCGGGCTTCATCGGTGTTAACTTACTCCGAGGTGATTGAAGATATAAGGACCGTCGTTACATGTTGTCATATCATAGGGTGTGATGAAGAGATACCCTGGAGTTACATGATCTTGTTCATAGTGAGTGATGTTTAAGATCGGGGCACAAATGTCTGGTCGCTGCCGAAATCAATTAGCTGGAAGTCTTAGGGGTTTCTCGAAGAAGGAACTCACCGATTGAAAGCATTCAAATGTCCTTGCAGTGACACTAAGGGCATGCCAGTGAGAGCAAATAGTCCAGAGAATGAGACGTATGTGAATCCTAATGGAAATACCCATCGTGTAAGAGACACAAAGCCCAAGTAGAGAGTACTGATTTGTGTCGAGTCACTATTTGGGCATGAGATCTTGAACTGAGACAGCTGAATGCCTCGGTTTATCAGCTTCTTCTGTGCTACCTTAATACCGCTTCTGTCATGCACGTCCGCATCTCGGAGGCCCGAGGATCGACACTCTGAGCGCCTACGTATGAGAATTCATACGATCAGCGCAATATCAAAGTACTTAATATCTCATCATACTGTGTTGGTCTCATTACAAGGAGGTCTGTAAACTCAAGTTGACGATACATCCTGCAGGATCCGGACGGAAAATGGGAGAAGCCTCATGAGATCTCTTCAAAGGCTCGAACCACATATGTCTGTCCCTGCACCTCAACCTTTTCACCAACCCTCCAACGGTTTTGATCTTCTTCAAACCCAGCCACTATTGAAGGCAGATCACCCACCGACGCACCGACTGTATACTTCTCTTTCCATTCAGAATCCCATTCTTCTCTCCGAGCACTAACATCCAAGCCCGACTTCTTGGCGACGAGGTTTCCCTCCGAATCCTCCTCCCTTGAATGCGTCTGAACCTGTCGCAATGCTAAATATGTTCCCCAAATGCGACCGAGGAACGTCTTAGTAACGGGGAGCTCGCCTCCCGTCTGGACAATCCCATCATCCGACTCAAGAACCCAAGAAAGACCTCTCGCAGGACCTTCAGGACCAATTTTAAATGGCAGCTCCCGCCACACCTCCTCGTACTCAGTATCGGGTGACCCGGGAACACCGGGACGGGGCATGATCCCAGTTTCCAGATCATCCCCATTAGGTAAGGACACAAAAGTGCCACAGTCAGCACTCTCGAAAGAGTTCTGGGAGTCAAGCTCATGAGAAAATGAGACCCGCACTTCATTTGTTAACAATGGCGTTTGGTGGGGACTTGATCAACGTACGCGGTTCTTGACTCTCGACAATCCGTTGCCCTGCGAGTGCCCAGTCGATATTCCCGGTCTCCTTTTCCATTCGAAGATCCAGATACCAGTCCTTCACGGACATGACGATTGTATCTGTGGTTTCTTGAGGGGGCTCAGGGAGCCATCGGATTGAGATGCGGGTGGACAATCTGCATGCAGATTGGGGTGGGTTTGTATTGGCCATTTTGGTTGTGAGCAGAATTTGAATTTTGTCTGGGTTGTGAGACGAAAGTGAGAGGATTCGAGTGCAAAACTACTGTTTAAGCGCTCGGACTTGGAGATGTTGAGATTGGGAATGTCCAAGAGACGCGTATCTTCCCCTCCCCCGCATCGGCAACTTCCGAGTTGCGAATTTAGTGAATTAGAAGGTAATAGTTGTATAGTTGTATATTTGTTTTACGAGTGGGTTAGTATGGTGCAGCAGCTCTCATTGCTCTCACTCTCTCGCTCAGTTTGCACATCCCATCTTCGCTCACTTTCTCCTCTTCTTCCTCTTCTTCCTCTTTCATTTCTTCTCTTCTGCACAAAACTGTTGTTCAAAAACATCCGCACAAGCCAGATCTTTTACTACATACTCATCTCAAACCACTGTTGCACCGCAAATATGGGCAAGTCCAACAAGGCCCTCCTGATACACACCAACTGGCACCCTGGGTGTTACAATGGGATGAGAAATTGGTACTGCAGCTCGACCGAATCGCGCTGTACTGGTGGGCTTCATAGAGGAGATGCCCGACGAGAGATCGTCTCTCTCGGAGACGGTGATGGCATCTCCTACCGAACCCGGAATTATTACTTTCACTCGCATGGGGCAAGTTACATATTCTGATGCCAAGAGTGCCACTATGCACTCAAGAATGGCTCTAACATCTTACAGGTTACCAAAGATAACCCCCCGTTCCATGTCATCGACATTTGAAAATATGGAATATTCGTTTGCAATCTCATGATACTAATAATCTGAACAAAATCATTCAATATCACTAAACACCAGTCTGCAGCTTTGTCCTTCCGGCCTGGAAGAGATAATCTGATCATCTAATTTCATAGAAGCAGTCATATCCGGCGCAACAGTCGTCCAGTAGCGCATATAGACTTGCCGCAGAAGCGTCTTCATTTCAACAAGAGCCAGGCTATAAGATAGCAATTAGCATGAGCCAGCATCAATCAGAGCAATATCTCAACTTACTTCTTCCCTATACACCCTCTTCCCCCAACAGCGAAAGAGAAAAAGAGCCTATTCCGCTCCGCTGCCCCTTCCTCCAAAAGCCACCGATCAGGATTGAAGCAGTCAGGCTCAGGGAATACCTGCTCATTAATCCGATGCACCGAATAAGGCTGACAGCTCACAATCGTATGCTCAGGCATGAAGAATCCATCAATCTGCCGTCCACCCGCAGGCACATACCGAGGGAGTGACATCGGGATAGGCGGCGCACATCGCAATGCTTCTTTGATAACGGCATCAAGGTAGACATAACTATCCAATGGCGCATCCAAAGGAGCAGCCCTCAACTCTTCTTGAAGACGACGCTGGAAGCCAAGATTTTGCGGCTGCGATAGCTCCCACATTAGGAAACATAGTCCGTCGCCAGTGGTGTCAATTCCAGCTGCCATGTGGTCCTTGCATTCGGCTGCAGCTTGGATTTGCTCGAGGGGTGAGTCTTTTCGTTGGAGCCTTTCCATTAGGGAGTGGGTATCGAGGTTGGACTGCGCGGCCATGTCGAGGACGTATTGGTTCGCCTTTGGGGAGGCTCGGGCGTGCAGGAATTTAGGGAAATATGGTGCCAGTGCGGGGAGATAGTATTCCAGTAGATTTTCTGCTTGGATTAGCATGCTGTGTGATGTGTATTCCCGATGGTTCCATACTCTGGAGACTTTGGTGGTAGGTCAGTTCGTGCATGATTTCAAAGTCTTTGGCGTTGTCGAGGGATTTCAGTCCACCGGGGCTGAACATGAAATGAGTTACGCAGTCCAAGGCGTAGCAGTGCAGTAAGGACTGGTATACACAGTCAGCATGGTTTAGGTTGGTTGCTGGATATTTCCAACATCCAGAATTGGAGGCTCATTGACCTACGTATACGTCGACACTTTGTCTTCCGGCCTCATCACACTTTGACACGAACACCGAGGCTCTTTCGGCAATTGCAGCCATTGGTTTTTCCTTCATGATGTTGGTCATGGCATATCTTTCGGCAAATATGCGTTTTCTTTTGCTATGCTGCAGAGTATCTTAAGGTTAGCTATTGAGTAATTTGCTTGGTTTGATGTGATTACCTCGTCTTTCAAAAGTGTAGAGAACATTGTCCTATCTCCGTGTCAACAATGAAGATATCCCCCAAATTCATTATACCGAGATTGGCAACTCACTTGATCTTGAACTGTCTGAAAAGATCATAATATTCGGTTTTGTCATACCCACTACCCCCGGAAGCATAGATCTCCTTGATCGCTTCCAAGCTGGTGAATGAGACCTCATCAGGACCAAGACGGACTACTGGACCGTAGACTTTGTGCATGCGATGAACTGATTCGCGTCGATTTGCAGTGAACTCCTGATACTTGATCCAGAGGCTGGTAAAGCGGGTGTACCATGGTCCTGGAATGTTTGATAAAGGCGAGAAGAAGCCTCGCAGGAGGAGGTAGGCACAAAGGAACACGGTGCCAATCCACAGTGACAGCATGCTGATGGTTACTATCACAAGAGTTTGGGCGTATAATGGAAGGTACAAGACGAGGAAGGCATTATATGATTATTTATACCATCAATCTGATTGACCGATCTGCACTTAGGTAATTGATGCAATCTTCCAAGGTTGGAGATGCGATACCCAAACGGCTAGGGTTAGCCGATATCTTTTAACCCTCGCTATCAGAGTGCGGGGAAGTCGTTCACTGGCGCGGGGCTTAGATATCTGGAAGCTTAGACCCCAAAAGGAAATTCGAGGAGATGCCAGATCCTTTGATTTGATAATCTCGATTTCGAGCTGTTGGTGTTCTTCTAAAGTTCCAAACTTACTATGCTTCTTATCCTGCGCCAACTTTTCAAGTCTTGTGACTAACATATCTCCGACGGCCCCGGGGATCACAAGGGATCTTTATACCTCACAAGAAGAGGACTGGTACAAAAATACAATGCCGGTGGTGCCGAGCGTGTTTCACTAAGTCCATACTTAAGTAATGGTGGAATCAACTTCGATATCAACGCCAAGAAGCAGCAGCTCAACCAAAAACTCTCTGTTAATTAGTTTTGAGCTGTTGATCTTTTCACTGGGATTTATGCGTAAGAATTAATCAGCGACGATATGCGAGGAATTATTTGCAAAATGTCTAAATTCTTTACTGGGATCTCCAGGAATCGATTGTCCTAGGTCTTCGGGAGAAGGGAGCATAGACTATCTTGCAGAAATATAGTGAGTCGGCAAGAAACAGCTGCAGAGCTCGGAGTATGCTTGGCCATTTGACGTTCTAGGTATGCAAGCTGTGCATATGCAGCTCAGCCCCATGGGCCATATGCGAGGTAGGCTTAACGCCTTGAAAAGTAGACTCAAGCATTGCGGACCTGCATGTCACTGAAAAATGCCACTACTTAAGTATAAAAAAGGTGTGATATTCATTGAGAATAAAAGCCAGAGCCACATCATTAAGAGAATTCTCTGGACGAATTCAATTTCTCTCTTTGGGCTGAGTCTCACATATCTGACCTTGAGCCCGCTTACTGGCTCAAAGCACACCCCGTGCCTTCCTCTCCGCACATTCGTTCAAATAGTGCTTATGTGCCACTTTAATGACAGCGGAGACTATTCAATCAATGAATATCCGACAGACGCCATTCTACGCGTCTAAGTGGTCAACAAACTATCCTGTGGTCTGACATCCAAGCCTTCTCGGATGAGTGGCTTGTGGACGGACCCAGGAAGACTAGAGCTGAAGGCCATTTAATACGAGCTGATCTCAAGAGGGGACGAGTATCTGTATAAATCCAGAGCTGTTCCCAGAGCTGTTGAGCGAGCAAGCTCTCACGAACTACTCACCAACGCACTTCCTCTGAATTTCAACATGGACGCAATTTCCGAACAGGTTAGAGAGCTAGCCAAGGACGCCGATGCAAGTCAGCGAATCCAAATTCTGGATCATCTTCGCGGCCTTGCTAGATCACTCGAGTCAACACCAGACACAATGCAAAGACTATCTTACATGGTGAGTGTCCATGGTCACAACATTTTGGAGGAAACGATGACTGATTTAGGATATACAAGCACTTGGAGCCTATTATGATTCGAGTAGGACTAGACTTGAACCTATTTCATATCTTCAGCGAGGAGGGTGGGCCTTTGAGTGTGGCTGAAATAGCTGACAGAGTGGGCGCTGCGCCTACGCTGACCGGTGATTGACCAGCTTGACTTCGCAGCTTTGAGCGCATCAACTGACTTGTTTCAGGACGAATCCTTCGTTATCTGAATTCAGTGGGAGTAATCAGTGAGACCTCCAAAGACCATTTCGAAGCCAACAACATCACCCTGTCTCTGAGTGACCCAGGGGTTCGAAGTGCTATTTACCATAAGTCAGTATCTCCTTTCGAGCCGATCAATTTGAACTGCAATTATCAAAAATTTGTCAGTCCAAAGATGCGTGCTGACCCATCATTCAGCTCGATGAACGTGGGCCCGATTGCTCTGGCCCTGCCCGAATTTCTGGCAAAGCACAAGTATCAAGACATCACCAGTCCAACTGCCACGGCATTTGGACTTGCGTACAACACCGAGCTCCCAGCATTCATCTGGCTCCAGTCAGAACCGGAGCGCTTTAGCCACTTCAACCGCTACATGCAAGCCGAGGAAACGGGACTTCAGCCTTGGCTGGAAACATACCCGATTGAAGAGAAATCACTCAACCTGGAGCCGGAACAGATCTTCTTCGTTGATGTTGGCGGTGGTATTGGCCATCAGGCTGTCGGCGTGAAACAATGGATGCCCCAGATTGTGAACCAGATCATAGTCCAGGACCAGGAGGTTGTCGTTCCTCATGCCATCCAGCAAAATGGCGTGAAAGCCATGGCTCATGACTTCTTCCAGCCTCAGCCTATTCAAGGTACGTTGAACGGAAGGTGTGTATGTTTTCGTTGCTGACCTTGTTTACCAGGCGCTCGGATTTATTATATGCGCCGAATTATCCACGACTGGCCGGATGAAAAAGCCGCTGAGATCCTCAAGAATACCCAGGCTGCGCTTGGGCCTGATTCTGTTATTCTGATTGATGATATGGTGCTTCCCAATGCAGGTGTCCATTGGTATGGGACTGTGCTCGATATGACTATGATGGCGGGCTTAGCGGCGCAGGAGCGCACGGAGGAGCAATGGAACAATTTGATGGAGATGGCGGGTCTCAAGATCCAGAAGGTCTATACTTATACGAGCTTCTACAATTCTATCCTGGAATGTGTTCCAGTGGCTTAGACGTTTGAGAGCAGGGGGCTCAATGAGGGGCAAGGCGAATGTGAATTTCTGACATACTGCATCTAGCAGTAATAAGCATACCAAGACTAGCACAAACCCATCGATATCTAAGCCCACATAGGAGTACAACCTTCGCGTAAATATCAGGAACTGAGGCTCAAATTGTTAATGTGAAGATCACGCATGAATTCAGTGGAGCTCGTTCGGTGAGAGGGTGTTCTCTCAACTTCCACCTAAAGACCTGCTGACAAAACTCGGTTCGTGCCGAGGCCAGGGCTATGCACAATGGAGACAATTTGCCGTGTTCGTGTTCCAATTGCTTTGTTTGTTATTGTTATTGCTCCGCGGAACTATCATTGATCATGTTTCATCTTGTTGTCCTTGTCGAAGTGGATTCTTGCTGAGGTTTCGGCTTCGTCGGAGATGACCGTTAGATGTCAGAATCCGCCCCGGCAGTGTCCTTTCCGCAGTTACCGAGTTTTTTTAGACCAGGACGTCAATGAATCTGATACCAAAGCATTGGGTGACTACGAGTAGACGAGTAGGATGGCTAGTTCTAGACCCGGCGCAAGGGATCAACTGCGGTGAACGGGAGTTCGAGGTCTAGATCTTTGAGATCCACGTTGGAGCAGCACAATTCAATGGAACGTTCTCAAATGGACATACGAAATAACATTGGGAGTCTATCTGGAAAAGCGTGGCCGTTACCATGGAACCCCTCGTCAAGCCATGGATGAAACCCTAGTGAGCCGTGGGTCTAAGCCGCAATTGAGCCACACACAGCCACCAGCCACATGTCGAGAGTAGAGTACTCGTAAAGAGAGAGAGAGCATTCAATACAGAGTAGCATTCTTCTTCACAGCCACATTCCTGCGGCACAGTTTACCCTGGATCCCGTGCCATCGAGAAAGTAAAAGTGAAAGGTGACAAAAACAAGCGAGATCAGGCAGCCGTGTGTGATCTTCGGATCAACAATGGTTACGCAAGAGGAAAAATTCGGGAATCTGGACCTGTACTCGTACCTGAACCTGTCGCAAGTCTATGGGGCTACTCCACTGAAAATAAAGCGTTATGTACGAAGTAGGTTGAGAGAAACCAGTTAGTGTAAAACTCCATATGGCATAGTCATTTCGAATAATAATCCAGGGCTGACAGAGTCTGGGCTCTTATTGCTGGCCCGCCCCATATGGGTATGTGGACATGAACCCCAGATGTGGCCCCTACCTGCCGTTTCTCCTTTCTCTTCTTCTCACTGTTTCACTCTTCGTCACTCGTTTTTCCCGACCTACCTCTCTTGGGTCCCTGCATATCGCCCTTGCTCATTCGATCGCTACGACTAACTGCTTCCCCTCCTCGGAACACCGGAGACAGAAGGAGATCACAAAAAGAAAAAAGGAAATTCAACAATTAGAAGGAAAAGAGAAAGAAAAAACACATCCGGCAGCACCAAAAGAGAGACTGAAAATTGGCTCGGTGATTCTATTCGAATCACCTCGGATGTTCCTGAGCGTCTAAAACCCCTGGCGACAGTCCGCCAAGACCCTCTCACCTGACCCCAACAAACCACCGTCAGGTGGTCGCACTGTCACTGTGTCTTCTCATCTCACCGATCCGAGCTCCCTGACGGAGCCTCCCGGCAAGATTGCTTCACGCGGGCCACGAAGTTCTCTCTTAGGAGGGTCCTTTGATCCTGCCTTTCGACGAGCAACTGGAGGTTTCCGCGCCCGTGAAGGATACGCCAATCTCACGCCTCCCGCGCGCAGTCCCAGGATGTATCTGCCGAATACCACCTGGACGTGGTCCTTCGCGATCGTCACACTCATTCAAACCATCGTGACACTCGGTCTCGAATCGTACGAGTCCCCGAACCCTGCCCGACCCGCTATGGGATCAACTAACGTGGTGGCAGTTATATTTTCGCGAATTTCCAGATCCAAGAACTCCCGAACGACAGTCCCGCCTCTAAAACAATCCCCACTTTCCTTGCCTTGTATGGCTTCGGTTTCCTCTACGAACTGGTGCTGGTCTACGATGCCCTGCGAATGAAGAACACGATTCAGGTTATTGGACTGTGCATTTGCAATATCGGCCTTCTGATCTATGGCGCAGTTCAAGTGAAGCAGATTCGAGAGGCAGTGACAACCTTGTACTATATGAACAAGATTAAGCTGTACGTCTGGGACCAGTCGGAGCCGTTCCTAATTATCATTCCATGCATCGTGGGATTGGGGACACTCTTGATGACATTCGTTGCTTGGAAACTCTACGATGAGTTCGCTTGGACAATCTATAAACATATCAGCGCGGATCTGCAGATGAAGCGTCGATACCTCACTTACCAGGTTTGTGTCTTGCCCCAGTACTTCCCCCAGAAAGGTCACTCATCGGTTTTCGAATAGATCTACATCGCGCTGTTGAAATTCGATTTCTTCTTCTTCCTGGGCTTCACAGTCCAGTTTTTGGTTCTGGTCTCGGCTGGAGGAACTGCTGAGTTCGCGCTTACAGTGACCGCCATTCCGGTGACCATTATCATTCTCCTATGCGGTGCCTGGTTCGTCCGTCGCGAAACAACCGCCGGGATGATCGTTATCATTGTAAGTCACGAAATGTCCCATATGGCGTGGCTCCTTCTGACAGTCTCAACTAGCTTCTTTTCTTCGCCGCCATGGCCTACTTCTGCTTCAAGCTTTACCGCATGTACGACCCCGAAACGATGCCACTCTATCTCCCCGCTCTAAATCCGATGACCTTCTTCGCCGTCATTACCCTCGTCTTAATCACGGTGACCATCATCAACGCCTGCCTGTGCGTGCACAACTTCCACCGCGGCTTGAAGCCCCACATCAACAAGAAGCGAAACAAGGAGGAGGAGAAGAACACCGAGTTAAATTCCAACCTCACCCAAGTCCCATCACGGATGATGATCGACTGATCCGATCCCAAGGGTCATGTTTCCAATATTGCTTTCCTGGGCGTTGGTTTGGAGCGTCTTTTTCTTCTCATGTGTGAGCTTCATGTTCGTATGGACTGAAGCTTCGCCTCTTGCTTTTTGTTTTCTGTTCCTGGGCTCTCTGGGCTCGGTATGATACCTCATTTGCGTCAATTTGTTCGGACCCATCTTCCTCACCTGGCCCTGGAGCTACAAAATATTCTTGTGATTCTACTGTCATTATTTTCCTTGTTCATACCCCATATTCATATCCCCTTTTCCTCCACGAGTCCACCGACGGCGACTTCCCCGAGGTGTTCTCTACGTCTTACGACAGTCTGAATGCATTTCCTTGCAATTGAATGTGAGCTCGTCATTTTCGTTAACGCTCGACAACTCGATGTTCCCCTTGTAATCTCTACATATGCATGTACATAGATAATTACTTTATTCTGGAGATTGTGTCAATGTTTTCATTTTGGGTGCACTGCTACTTTCACGTTCGAGTTCATTTTGATCGTAAGCTTTCTACTCTTTCACTCTAACACACAGAGAATCGCCACCTAGTCATTGCTGTAATTTCTCCAATATTCCAATGCTGCCTTCAGTTAAAATAGCTCAATTGAATACTAACTACCAAGTACTTCGTCGCACTAAAGAATTAAGTGCCCCTAAGAGCATGCATCGAGCCATGTCATTGGTGGGATATTGGTAATAGCCATACGCAAAGTTACGCTAAGTTACACATACTTTAACTGCGCTAATACCAAATGTGACAGTGCGAATACAGTATTACCCAAGAAACCGCGATCGTGGCCTCATCTCCGCAATCCCTTTTCGTTTAGACCAAGCTCATTCCCTCTCTTTCCCCTTGGACTTTAATTCCACCTTTCACCTAATTAACTTCCATTCTCTTCTCTTCCTCCACCTTTAATCACAATGGTAAGTCGTCCGATGCCTGAATTGAACCCCAGCAATTCGACGATCAAGCCAGCTTGCCCCCATCATCCAACAAACCGCCTTCAATGACCACTGCACCACCGAAACAACTCAGATCTAACACAATGCATCAGGCCTCTCCTCGTCCCGCTTCCCCTCTGACCTCAGGCGCTGAGTCCGGCGCTGAGAAGTCCGGCGCCGGCGCCGCTGCCACTGGCTCCTCCGTCAGCCGTCCCTCTTCTCCCTCGACCCCCGGTGGTCCTCGCGCTGCCATGCGTCGCCGTGCTGCTGCCGACCACAAGGAGACTCTGCGCAATGCTCGCCCCAGCTCCACCCGCTCCGCCGGTGCCGGTGGCTCTTCCGGAACTATGCTCAAGCTCTACACTGACGAGAGCCCCGGTCTCCGTGTCGACCCCGTTGTTGTCCTTGTCCTGAGTCTGGGCTTCATCTTTTCTGTCGTTGGCCTCCACGGTAAGCCTGGAATCCAAATCCAGATGTATAGTCCCATACTAATTGCTTCGTTTCCAGTCATCGCCAAGATCACCCGCAAGTTCTCTGCTTAAGCACTGAATCACATCCCGCGCATCAACACCTATCCTTCGATGACTTATAGCATTATCTGATCCGTTGATCGCGCAATCCGACCTCGACCCCGACCTCGACTTCCCCCTCCCCTTCACCTATACCCCATGACCTTTGGGCCATTCCATTGATGGCACCGGAATCAACCCTCCCAACCGAAATAACTGGCGTGATTCTGTTTTCTTTTTGATGTGTGGTGTTTTATTTGCGTTGCGAAAGAGTTATTCAACGACCTATCCGCTGAATAGGCCCGTCTTGGTGGACTGTTCCGTTCGTGTCGTGTCCTCGGCTGTTTGAGTGCTCATGGTTTGTTTTCCTTGGCGATTTTCATGCGCTGGAGAAAGTCATGATGTACACAGCTGGGGCTGCTACATGGCGTGTACTATCTATTTGGACATTTGTCTGTACAATACAAAGACTTCATTGAATCTGTTGACGGCATTGACTTGCATTACTTACTGTGCCTAGAATTATGTAGACTGATTGTCATGCAGGCCACTCGCTGTCTTACAGAGCAATGTCTCTCACACTTGCCACAATGCCAAGTACAAGGATTTATCAGCGCCAACAGGCTAATGAGCCAAGATACACGGCAAGCGAATTTGAGACCATGAGATACCTGAGGCAAGCCCAAGAAGTGGAATGGTTTGCAACACTTTTGTGGGTGTCGCGTGACCGGCAGGGCATATCGAAGCTCACCCGGGGCTCTCCCACCTGGACACATTGTCCTTTTGTTAATTCCATACCAACAATTCAGTTTCAGACATTCATCCCTCAACCCAATTGATGTCCACTTCACTTGGGCCATCCGACGAAGCCGTTGTCAGACCAAGTCGCACCACAGCTTGACTCCACATCGACAATATCATGGCTAAGGAAACGGACACCAAAGCAAAACCATCCATGCCGAAGCAACCGTCTGATGTCGGCTATTGTGGTCCATGGAGGTGATATCGAGGTGATATCAGCACCAATCAACTCGTCCAAGAGCCCTGACTCAACAAACCTCAGATTTCCACCCGGCTTGAAACTCATAGGGGTAGCAGACAACACAAAGCACGACTGTTCGTCTAGCAACAAGCCTGAACCCATCGACAACCATGCTCATGTTCAAGATGTGTGAACCACTTTTTTCAGACAATAGAGATGCGCCGGCTCTGCGTATGCCTTGACTCACCCACAGACCAATTTCCATACCCAAGGTGCTGACTGTTATGCTCTTTCCACTTGGACGTGGGAAGCAGGAGCTACTCTATCGACATCTCGAAATCTTCACTTGGTCTGTCCTCCAAATCCAGAGATTACCCCCGCGGTCGAGAGCGGGAGAAGCACGGTACTTCTTTCTGGATAATTTCTCTTGCTGTATAATACCCGGTGAGCTGGCAAGAAGTGGCTGTCTCCTATCAGAAAGAATTGAATTATCTCCAGGGCTTGATGTGGCGTTTACACTCAAATAAGCAGGCCATTGTCGGCGTCCACCGAGGGTTGTACCCTTTACCAGGTTCGCAGGGTGCGGTTCCGAGTAAAATCCGTCCATTGTCCAATCCTACAGATCTACAATGAATATTTATCAACCTTTGACACTAATCTATTACACGAGGATGATGGTGACAATCTGGAGATGTGGGGAGATAAGTACCGAGAGTGAATAATAAATTTAGACAAGCCGAAATGCCCCGAATTCCCCAGACGTGGACTAAATAACTAACTACTAAATAACTACTAACTACTAGTACATAAGTAACTAACTAAGTAAAGGAAATCGACTAAATCAAGCAACTGCGGGAACTCTTATCTCGTCCCTTTTCTACCAATCACAGCCAACCACTGCCCTAAGAAGTGCCGGAACTGATAACAATCTCGCCAATGACTGCAATGTTAATGCTTTTTGTTAACGGGGGAAAGACTACAATGTACTCCAGATTCTTAGCCATTACGCTGATCACTCGCATCGCGGGTCTAGGTTCCTATCATCCCAGGGTCCAATGCCCTGCGAATTCGGAGCTTTTCTGAGATCACTTTATATCTCGGGGCTCCTCCAGTATTTTTATACGAATAAACTTATTTGAAGTATCTCAATCTACTTCAAGCCTCAGATCTCTCTATAAAGCACGGATCGCTGAAAGGCCTGACAACTATGGCGGAGACGGCGACTTTCACTGCGCCTTTGCCGCAGAGCTTTGGATATGGAATTATTGTTGGATTGGGCTTTGCTTTTGCACTACTGATGATCTTCATCACCTGGGCTTTGAAGCGGTACGTTTGTATATATTGTGCGCTCAAGTGAACTTCCATGCTAACAGCAACCCTCGTGAAGCTATCAAAATGAAGTACAAACGTCAGAAATGTTCTCCACTGCTGGACGGTCAGTGAAATCAGGGTTAGTTGCAGCTGCTGTTGTCAGTAGTTGGACTTGGGCTGCAACTCTTCTTCAATCGACGGCTGTTGCATACAAATATGGGGTTTCGGGTCCCTTCTTCTACGCTTCAGGTTGGTTATGTCAACACTATTGCGTGAACAAATATCTGATATGCTCGTTTGAACAGGTGCCTGTGTCCAAATTATCCTGTTCGCAACGTTGGCGATCGAATTGAAGCGCCGTGCACCGAATGCACACACGTTCTTGGAGGTCATCCGTGCTCGCTATGGAACAACAGTTCACATTGTGTTCATTGTATTCTGCCTGATGACCAACATTTTGGTTACTGCTATGCTGCTCACCGGAGGATCTGCCGTGATGACTTCGTTGACAGGCGTGCCTACTGCCGCAGCATGTTTCTTGCTTCCCATTGGTGTGGTGCTCTACACCCTCTTTGGCGGTATCAAGGCGACTTTCATCACAGACTACATGCACACTGTGGTCATTCTCGTCGTCATTTTCCTCTTCGCCTTCTCTGCTTACGCCACCAATGCCGAGCTGGGATCTCCATCCAAGGTCTACGAAGCCCTGGTGGCGGCATCTCAGCGCCACCCCGTTGAGGGTAACGCAGAGGGCAGCTACCTGACCATGCGATCCAAAGAAGGTGGTATCTTCTGGATCATCAACCTAATTGGAAACTTCGGTACCGTGTTCCTCGATAACGGCTACTACAACAAGGCAATTGCTGCAAGCCCCGTCCACGCATTCCCCGGATACGTGATCGGCGGACTTTGCTGGTTCGCTATTCCCTGGCTATGCGCAACAACGATGGGTCTCTCCGCGCTGGCCCTGGAAGGGACCCAGCGCATGAGCTCAGAGGATGTCACAGCAGGTCTGGTGCTTCCTTTTGCGGCCGTCAAACTTCTCGGATACAGCGGAGCCGTTGCAACAACGCTAATGATCTTCATGGCTGTAACATCCGCCTTCTCAGCCCAGTTGATCGCCGTCTCTTCAATCTTCACCTACGACATCTACGGAGCCTACATCAACCCTAGCGCAAAAGGCAAGCGACTCGTCTGGGTCTCCCACATGTCCTGCATCGTCTACTCAATCATAATGGCCGGTTTCGCAACAGGTCTCTACTACGCCGGCATTGGCATGGGATACCTGTACCTCCTCATGGGCGTCATTATCTCCTCGGCCGTCTTCCCAGGCGCCATGACCCTCCTCTGGAAAGGACAGAACCACATCGCAGCAGCACTCTCACCACCCCTAGGTCTAGCAGTTTCCCTCATAGCCTGGCTAGTCACAACAAAGAAACAATACGGCATCCTCACCGTCGACACCACAGGCGCAAACTACCCCATGCTAGCAGGCAATGTCGCCGCCCTCCTCAGCCCCGTGGTCTTCGTCCCTGTCTTCACCTACATCTTCGGTCCCCAGAACTACGACTACGAGTCTATGCGCGCGATCCGCAAAGTCGACGACAGTGAGGTCGCAGCAGCGGCACACGTGGATATCGAACTCGTCCCTGGCGAAGCATCCAACAACCAAGACGAAGACGAGGAAGAAACTCGCCAGCTCAATCGCTCTGCTTTGTATGCGCGCACACTGACTATCTTCATGGCATTCTCGTTCTTGATTCTCTGGCCTATTCCTATGTACGGCTCGTCGTATGTCTTCAGTCAGAAGTTCTTTACTGGTTGGGTTGTTGTGGGTATCTTGTGGTTGTTTGTTACCACGTTTGGTGTTGTGCTTTTCCCGTTGTATGAGGGACGAGCTAGCATTACTCGTGTGGCGCGCATGATGTCGCTTGATCTTATTGGGAGGAAACCAAAGGTCTATCGGGGTACCAAGGAGGCGGATGATGCTGCTACTCCGGGTGTTGCGACTCCGACTGATGTCGAGAAGGAAAAGAAGACCATGGAAAGAGAGGTCTGATTTGGTGTCTGGTTGATGTTTAATGATTGTGTTTAATACTGTACTGTTCATACCCCTAGTGTTTTCAATTCAAATTCTTTCAAAGGCAATAGACTGATTATACGGAAATACCATGCCAACTGTTAGGGTTCGGATGCTTAATTCTATCCATGGATCTATCCAATACTAATACTCAAGTATTTCTTTACATTGGGATGGTGCAGTGTAGAACCCTCATTTCTCTCTTTCTTTCTCCTCACCTCTCTCTCTTTTTTGCTCTAACCTCTACCCTCTACTCTTTATCCTCTACTTTTGACCTTTTATTCTCTGTCCTCTGCCCTCTGCCCTCATTTTCAACTTAAAAACTTCGCATCGACAGGGTAATCTCAACACGCCACAAAGCAGATAGCAAGCGGGCAGACTATTAAGCTTCTAAATTTCTGTCTTCCACCAACCCTCTATTTCCGAACATGCCCCCTAGTGTATGTACATTAGTCGGGCTGTGACAAAGAAGCAGGTCACAGACGGACTGGAGATATCCACTAGGTGTGACATCCGTTCAGATTTCGCATGTCCACCACGGGCATCGCTACCAGCTACTTCCCGCGATTGCCCATGATAGCCTAGCTCCTACGCAAACCAAAGGGTCGACCGATACTGTGATCGAAAGCATACGGCAACTTCTACAGTCTGGGAATTGGAGCGAGAACACTAGTGACTGGGGCCAGGGTGCACATACTCCCATAGGAGAGCGCTCTGCCGATGCCTTACATGGTCGCCAGGATGCGGAACTCATTTTCTCAACATGACCATCACACGTTGGTCTACATTTTGAATTTTGGGGAGCTGGGTGAGATACTCAAGTATCGGTGGGGCGATCGTCTGTCAACCTCCAAGGTCGTTAAGAGGGGCGATGAGGGATGTAAGTTGATATGTTGATTTGTGGCATACTCTTCTTGGCGGGAGCTACATCTTCACAGAGACCGAAAGTTCGATGAGGAACTTGAGGCGAAGCTCATCCTCCCCTTGGCTCTGACCTTAGTCTTGCGTGCATCCTCTCAAAACATGGATGTGGCCCCGCTCGCAGCAAATTCGGATTTTGGCCAATGTCGCTTCTTGCTATGTATGGAAGACACGAAGAAGTCGCGATATTTCTTGACAGGAGTTAGATCTATTTCATCATTTACATGAGAAATCTCTTCAATGGTAGTTGAATTCAATGAATTATAGCACCTAGACGGTAGGACCACACGCCCTACCCAGTGTCACATCCTCAATGGCACACATTAAGTCATAACAAATATCCTCCGATACCACACTGTCCGCTTTATAATTCTCATGCGTTTGTACAAAGTGTCTCATCCACTTTGCTGTCGTCCACAGATCCCCGGACGCTCTCTTCGCCACAAATTCCAAATAGCCGTCGAGAACAGCTCTGGTTTCGCTGTCCACATTCACAGCATCCAGCATGGAGTGAACCAAGTAGATCAGTCCAGGGAAAGGAGCTCCACCTTCCAGAGAAGAGCCCCACGCATCTGGATCAGATCCACACATGATTTCCTTCAAGGACATCTCTCTATAGCCAGCAGATGCATTGGAGTCGTCTGTGTCGTTACCGGATGAAGGCGAGCCTGCAGAGGCCTCTTCTGGACGAACGACTTCCCTAAACCAGAACTTGTTCTGGTTGACAGCGTCTCTCATCACAGCCCGACGCATATTTTCAGCGACAAGGCTCATGGGAATATAAAAATTCAAATCGAAGTATGAGATTGCACGACGCATCAGGGCCATGAATACAACGAAGGCGGCATTCTCGAAATCAGTCATTTGAACCTCCATGGGGCGGAATTCCACACGCCATCCGATATCACTTCCATCTGGCGGGGGTTTGAAGCGGATATCCGGCCAGAGACTGCCTATGAGAGCGCGGAAATGGTATGTATCTGACGCTGATTCGGGCTCGAGATGTTTCGGGTCAACGACCAAGTGGTCGTATTTGAGCATGTGGGTGAAGAATCGAGCGAGATCAGGATCCATGCCGGATTTCTCTAGAACGGCTTGATCATCGGGGTTTCCACTGCTGTAGGATTGGTAATCTTCAACGGAACAATGGCCATGTCCGGCGTACAATGGGCTGAATGACCATCGCATCTGCGCAGCGGTCGCATTCTCGTCTAGTCCCTTCTATAATCAACATTAGAATTATCAGCGTGTGTTCAAGTGGATGTACAGCGACAGGAATTGAGACATACGTGGCTCAGTATTTCGCTCATCGAGCGATCATCATTCAACGCATTGGTGACATGCCAGCGAGAATCTGTGTCGACCAAATAGCCTTTGTAGCAAGGACTTCCTGCGGTGAGGGCCAACATGAGCGCACTCAGCGGGCATAGTTGATCATGTAGTGATCGTGCTTCCTCCATGTTCTTTGCTTGAAAAGTCGCCTGCAACCCACAAGCCCCGCCACTCCACGAGAAATGGTCGACATACACGCAGTTGGGGGCGGGCGTAGGAAATGGGAGTGGTGTTTCCTCCTTGCTATGTGTCCAATTCACAGATTCATCTTTCCACGGCCAAGGTGTGTTTACATCGCGAAATATCGGGATGTTTGCGCCGGCAATAGTACCTCTTCGGCCTCGCAAATTGTCGGACATCACTTTGGATCGTTCAAAATGGCTAAACAGGTCTTCGGACATGACGTGCGAGTATAGTCTTTTGCTGCTAATGGTCTCAGTGCTGGTGAAGTTTCCTGCTCCTAGTCGTGGAAACATGGGGATGGTGAGAGGTAGTTCATCCAATCCCAAGCAATCCTGAACTGCACTTCGGCTATGGCACATCAGCAGGATCCCCAGAATTTCATGTCAGGGTAGGTCCTACCGCTCCCTCATGTCATTTTCCGCTGACAGCATAGCCTTGAAGTCTTGCCCATATGGAGGCTCAGCTACACCTTCCACCATGAATATCATAGACTCGGGATGTAGCTCGGATGTAATCGGCAGACTGCATGATTGCCGTCAGCCTCACTGAGCAGTTTCATTTTCCAAAAACGGTGAAACTCACTTCTTGTATGACTCCTCCCACTTTTTCAAGACCTCCGGCTGCTTCAAAGCCACAGTGGCTGTCTTGTCCTGCCGATTCAATGATATAAGGAGGTATTCGACCTGTCATGCATCAGTTCGTTGGTCCTTTGCCATCAACAGGGCTGCATACTTCATCACCCCAAAGAGGTGGAAAATCTTCAAGATGTTCATATTGTTTCCAAAGTGATATACATTGCTGGGTGTAAATGATTAGCAGGGCCCTTCCACTGAACTATTTTTTTTTTTTTTCTTAAAGAAAAAAAGAAAAAGATCAAAACTCACCTCCAGAGCGAGACGGTGTAGGTGCGATTTGTTGGCGTCGATCTCGTCCCATGAAAGACTACAAAGATCAGCTGTTGGCCACCATGTTTATACAGGGCACTCACAAATGGGCATCTTTGTCTGCTGTGGTACAACCCATATTGTTGAAAGGGGAGGATCACACAATCTGCTGAAGAGATTTCGCAATAATATGGCAACCCAAGGTTTATAAACCGCTCAAATCCCCGATCTGTTTCACTTTTTTCTTCGCTATCTGGGAAAAAGTGACTTTGATCTCTACTTCATGCAGTTGGCCACTTCACCAGCTAAAATCGCCCCCGCTTCCCCACTATTAACCCCAATGACGACACGAACACTTATCCGTGCATTTCAGTACGAGTATTCAGGGAATATCCCTTCCAAGGTTATTACCAGCGGTGAAGAATGCATGATTTGGTCATAGAAACTGACTTTCACATACTCGTCACCTGGATCAAATGCGCTGAGATTTGACGGAGCAGATAAGAACGGCCCTGACAACCCTACGAAATAGATGTACTGCAACTGTCGAATGATGCCGTCCGGAGCTTGTCGGAGCAGAAACCTCGGAATATTTGAAATTCGAAGATCTGATACTTGTACTTCCGACGCACAGGTCAGCCCGTCGACTTTCCCATTGGCGTTTATTGCTCACATGCACTCACTTATGCACTCACTCGGGCACTCACTTGGGCATACTCACATCGCGGGTCTAGAAGTCCTATGGTACAGGAGGATATGAATAATGTTTTGCTTCATTGTTACACAGATCCATGATTCGGTTCATGTTTCCTATAGTCATTTAAGCCAATGAATGTCCCGCCGAAATCCTCTAGCAGAAACTACACTCTAGGATCAATTCTGCTTCAACATGTCTGATTTCACCACCATTCCGACTCTAGATCTCTCTTTGCTTAGAGATCCTGAATCCAAAAATGCACTCGCTGAGGAGATGTTGCACATCGTTCGTGATGTGGGAATGTGCTACGTGACGGGTCTTCCCTTCGGTCCAGAAGTCTTCGAAAAGGCCAAAGTGGAATGTGAAGCTTTCTTCAACCTTCCGACAGAGGAAAAGACAAAACTCGATATTGCCAACGTTCCAGGCTTCCTCGGATACACTGCGGTAAGCCCTGAAGATTCTTACTTTCTCTGTCCGCACGCATAGACACATAGCTAACAACGCAGGTGGGCACGGAATACACGGACAACAAAATCGATACTCGGGAACACTTGACCGTGGCACACCCAATCCCAGGAGAGATTGTAGGGCCAGAATACCAGTGTCTCTGGGGACCTAGCCAGTGGCCAGATACCTCGGTGCTCCCCGACTTTACTCCTTCCTTCAAGAATTATATGGAGGAGGTCGCACGCGTAGAAAAGATACTGCGTGATCTGATGGCCCAGGCTATAGGAGTCGATCCCACCGAACTGAGCTCATTGTTCGATCAAAAGCAACAGTATCGTATGCGCATGATCAAGTACCCCGGTCCACCAGCAACAGCATCGGCAGAGGACTTACAAGCACTCGGCGCGCACCAAGACCACACATTCACCACCTTGATCTACCAAGTAACCGACCATTCAGCACTACAAGCTCGAAATGGGAAAGGGGAGTGGATTGAATGTCCTCCCAAACCAGGATCCTTGATTTTCGTCGTCGGTAAGAGCGGCCAGGCAGCCACCTTCGGGGCATGTTCTTCCGCCGTGCATCGCGTCGTGGCTTTGAATCCTGGAAGCACAGATCGCTACAGTATCTCTGTGGGGACTAATCTGCGATATGACTTGTCGACTTTGTCTCCATCCTTCAAGCAGACCTTGGACTCTATCCAGCGAGACGCTAATGCTCGACGACCTGGACATGAGGGGCAGTTGGATGGATATTTGAGTCCACTGGGTTCTCTCGATACACTGGGCATGAAGGTGCTGAACAACTATTGTATCAGTTATCCTGAGATTATGAAACGATGGGTGAGATGCAATCTTCTATTGGGCTTACTATTCGGCTAATTGATGTGCAGCACCCTGAAATTAATCGGATCGCTGTAGCCGATCTTTGAGATGAAAAACCCCCTGCATACATCGGACCAACACATGCCTGCCGTTCGGTCTCGGACTTGGTCTCGGTCTTTGGTGTAAGTGGATATCTATGCACCTTTCCATTCCCCGAAAACTACATGTACATATGGTTTTTCAGGAACAAAGTTAGGATTTGCAATATTGTTATCACCAGTAAACCTGGAAGTCACTCAAAAAGGTCCCAGTTAAAGACTTAAATAACCATGGAAATATCAATACCAAGGCTAAGAGGAAAGACTTCAGGAGGATAAGACTTCATGAGTGACCATGCAAATCATGAGAACCACTGGAGCATGTACGAGTACTGCAAGTGTGATACTCGTATAACCTTGGGATACATGCAAGATTATGCCACACGGGCAATATGTGACATGCATTGACACGGGAAAATGTGACATGCAGTGTAACAAGGGTTAGTCTGCATATTAGTTACGTGGCTTCACAGATGTAAGGATCCTTTGGGAGTCTGTGCGTAACGGCATTGGGCGCTCCTTCACATAGAAATTCTCCTATCTTGCTGTATAAGATGTGCCTTTACCTGGAGTGACGTTGGAATCTTGGAAGGATTATGATGCGCATTTTCTGTCTGTTAATCCCAGCCCTGGAGTAAGATCTTAGAAGGAGGGGTGTTTAGCCAGCATATAGCTTGGCGCGTCTATCTATACTACTTGTGTATTACTTGGTATAACAGCCAATAAGAATGTGTAAGAGGTTCATGAATATTAAGCACCATTAAGGGTTCTAACCCCCGCTTGTAGACGTGAAAAATTTGCCATCATGTCGCTGGCCGATCACAGGAGGTCTGGTGGCAGAGTGGTTTGGAATAGAAAAGTTTCTCTATTTTAGTGGGGGATCCGTATATGGTGCTCCTGTATGGATTGGCCCATGCATCTGCCGTCGGTCAGTCGACAACGAGTTGGTTCCCAAATGGGTTCAATGAGTCCACCGTTATACTCACCTGGGTAGCTCTTCAAATACTTAGTAACCTGTGAATTTGCTTAATACTAAGTAGCCAGTTGACCGTGAAAAAAACAAAAAAATGAAGAGCGACATGGGGATCGAACCCATAATCTCTTGAGAATCTGTACCGAAATCAAGCGCCTTACCATTAGGCCAGCCGCCCATGCTTATATAACCTCGGGCCGCAATTTTGCCTATTAACAGCAAAAAAGTGGTTCAGCCCTGGACTGCGTGTTGAGAGCTGCTACTTTGTATTTGCAAGTGCCAACCTTAGAATTGATGCTTTCGTGAGCCTTCCAAGATTGGAATATCAATATATTTAGGGCTATATATTCTAAGTTTGGAGGAAAAGTTCACGGATTCCAAGGTTTGAATTAGATAAATGTCCATCCATGGGCGGGCTGCCCAGGAGACATATATATCTGGCCTGCTTCACAATGTCGAAGTCATTGAGAATAATATCTAAATCCTCCAGGGCCGCCGAAGTTGGTTGAAGAACAGAATCCGACAAATTCATCGTTATATTTGCGTAGATAGGTAACTGCTGTCTATGGCATCTTGCAAAAAATAAAAAATAAAAATAAAGACATGGGGGTATAGATCGACGTGGACTGTGAGCTAAGAACGCTTTTTTCCAGACTCCGCGAATTGCGTTGTCCTTTGCCTCCTGTAATCAACGCCCTGTAACGACTCTTCATCTTTAACTTTGTTCCGTCTGAAAAGGGCTCTTAATCGTTCCTCAATCGAATCCTCCAGCTAAGCATGAGGTTAGTTTCATCGCTTGATTTCGCCACTCATGACAGGAATGGGACATCTCGCTACTCACGCCTCTTTTGGTCTTGAATAAAATCCATACAGCCATAGTCAAGATGATGGTGCCTGCAGCAAATGGGATATATAGCCACCAGGACGGGTTTGATTCAAGCAGATCGATATTCATTCCGAAGAGACTCTGAAGCCGTGTTAGCCAAGTGAATTTTGCTGATTTGCATTTCCTCTATGTGAGTGCTTACCGCAATGAACATCAATGGTAGGAAAATAAACTTTGTTCAAATCAGTACTCGATCGAACGAGGAGAAGCCAAATACCCACAGTGATCCAACTGAGACGCTTCATACTCCTGTTCATAGTTGTCGATTTCTGGGCCTCTGCAATTGAGGTTAGATTGAATTCCTACCAGGATATTAGTAGATTCCAGAAGTGGTAGGAGGTGAGAATGACCAGTTGAATCAGCTCTTGAGAGCCCTGATTAAGAGATGAAAATCGTGCGTTCACCACTTGCTCCGTTAGGTCTATTTCAGTCGAGAATCTTTTACTCAAGTAGTTGGTCCATGTGACACTGTCCCCCCGAGCAGCTTGTGCATTTGTTTGATCGAAACTGTTGCACAACGACCGAAGAATTGACATTTGCGTTGTGAGCAGCTTATTAAAGCCTGCCCAAGCTTCTGCATCTTTCAAGTGGACCTCAATCAGATCTGTGTCTCTTCCATTGGAGCGCAATGTAACACTTCGCTATTGAAGAGTCAGTGAAATTGCTTGAGTTGGAGATTGGATGCCATACCATGTTTGAAAGATGGCTTTCTGCAGCTCGACAAATGTTGATCCATTCTTCCCTTAGCTGTTCGACGCAAGGAATGAAAAAATCAGTTGGCGAGTTAGAGATTGTGCAATAATCCAGGGTGGTGAAAATGATTTTGTTTTCAAACATTGTCTTTCCGGCCTGGGCTGGAGGGGGATTCTCGTCGGACTTGACCATGATCCAAACCATGGCGTGGTTCTTCGGTCTAGTCGTCAAGGGTGACGCCGAGAGCTGGGTAGATGTATGGAGGATTTCAAATGAGGGTATAACTACACGGCATTCAAGAAAGCCTTCGAAGCCATTGGTATCAACATGTAGAAACGAGGCAATGTGTTCGCACTTACATTCAGTTCGAGAAGGCTGGCCCAGAGCTACGGCGTTCGGAATCTTATTGAATTGTACTTTCCAATCCCACTGGTCACGCCAAGTCTGCATGGTGGGCTGGTCGGGACGTTTGTTCAATATTTTACGCCACCATCGCCAAAAGACTCCCCCGGAAGAGTGACCAAGAAGGCTATCGTTTGGAAGAAGCCTGTGAAGATAAGCAAATGTCCAGATTTGTCGGCCAAGAAGATATCTTACACCAGTGCCCTCTGAAAAGGAGCAGCTGCGATACATTCGTTCCCTTTTGTCGATATGCTCAATGCGGAGAACCTCAGGGGATATGACATCGTATGAAAATATAGCGTCAATTCGTGGCCGTCCATAACTTGCACTGGGGATATATCTCGTGTATTCAAGGCCAGTACGATGTGATCCTTCCACTTAGAAGGCGCACAAGCTTTCCAATCTGATCCTTTTGTGGTTTGATCGATCGTTGCGAGGCTTTGGGTCGCATGAGGAAAAAGGCAACTCATCATTTTGAAATTCCCCAACTGAGCGGCGCGCTGGAATGGGGTGACGTTGTTGAAATCTTGAAGGTCGACGCTAGCACCGTGATTGACAAGCCATTCCGCGGCTTGAAGAGAATCTTTTTCAACAGCGCGGTGCAATGGGGTACACCCGTCACCGTCGCCTTTATTGATAGCAGCACGAATGAGGGCCAGTACGTCTTCATTTTCGTCATTGTGAGCTTTAAGCAAAGCGCGCTTGAGACTTTGAAAAGACTCCGGGCGGTCCACAGAAATGTGAAGCGGCGTTTGGTTGAAAATGTCATAATCGCCCAAGTCAACATGCAAGCCAGCTTCAAGAAGTAGATCCAGGGTGTTGATATCCTTACAAGCGACAGCAGCATGTAGTAATGATGCACCCTGGAGATCAACCGTATAAATATTAATATCGACACCATTTTCAAGAAATAACTTGACAACTTTATGGCGGCCCATCGACACTGCAGCTTGAAGAGCGGAGCCATGCCAGCCACCTCGAGCGTTCACGTCTGCCCCCGAATTGAGGATGAGTTTAATGAGGTCCAGATTTTCACATGCTGCAGATGCTGCAGCCTGAAGGGCAGAGCCAAACCGACCTCCCAGGGCGTTCACATCGGCCCCCCAATGAAGGAGAAGCTCAACCAAATCGGAGGCACCTTGGGGTGCATATGCTGCAGCTTGGAGAGCATTGCCAAACTCACCACCTAGAATATTGGCATCTGCTCCCCGGTCGAGAAGAAACTTCGCAGTAGCTAATGCACTGTTTCCGTATGCTGCAGCTTGGAGAGCAGTTCCATAATTACCACCCTGAACATTCACGTCTGCTCCGTGATCTAGGAGCAGCTCAAGGATATCCAAGGATCCATCGATCGCTGCAATATGTAGAGCAGCTCTGCTCCGACCCTTCACGTCTACCCCATGATCGACAAGCAGCTTGACAAAATCCAACTTTCTAGTGTCAGCAAACAGTGCGGCTTTTAGATAGTTTCCAAATTTGCCAGCCGGGGCGTTCACGTAGGCCCCCCGGTCGAGAAGTAGTTCTGCAACACGAAAATTCACGTTCCACAGTGCAGCTCGGAGAGCATTTCCACGCAGACCACCGGATGCATTAACGTCAGCTCCGCGATCGACAAGCAGCTTAGCAGCATCAAAGTGTTGATCCCACACGCCGCCGTGAGTTGCCGCTTGGAGCGCATTTCCACATTCACCGCCGGAGGCATTCACATCAGCTCCCCGATCAAGTAGTCGCTCCATAATCTCCACGTTTCCATTGAAGGACGCAGCCTGGAGTGCATTTCCGTACTGACCACCTGATGCGCTCACATCAGCCCCACGGTCAAGCAACACCTGAAGTATCTCTAGTTCCCCGTAATACGCGGCAGACTGAAGTGCAGTTCCAAACTGACGGCCAGAGGCGTTCACATCAGCTCCTCGGTCGAGAAGTAGATTGACGGTTTCCACACTCCCGCGTGCTGTTGCTGCATCTTGGAGGGCTGCGCCGCCGATGCCGTTCACGTCAGCCCCACGGTCAAGTAAAAGCCGAATTGCGTCTAGCTTCCCGCCTAGAACCGCATACTGGAGAGGAGTTTTGAAATCACCCCCGGGGGCATTGGCATCAGCCCCCCGATCAAGTAGCAAATTGATAGCATCCAGCTTCCCGCGGGAGGCTGCCGCTGCAAGCGCATTTCCGTACACACCCCCAGGTGCGTTCACATCGGCTCCTTGACTCAGGAGCAGCCTGATGGTATTCAAGTTACCATCCAAGGCCGCGGATGTGAGAGCAGGCCTGCGTTCATCTTCTGGTCTGATGGGCAGATCGCCATCCATGCTGGTTCAAACTTCGTGGGTTTGAAAAAGAAAAGCAGACCTATGTGACAAAGCGACTATTTAAGCGCTGGGATGGTCCAGGTCGAGGACTGGCCTCTGCTTAGTTGGGTTCTCGGCGAGAGACTTTTTGGCGTCGGGGACACGAGAAGTGGGAAAAGGAGTCAAGTCTCGACTCGGGAATTGCGTTGTTGGCGATTGGCCTCTCGTGGTGGCTTTGCTCGAGGGGTGTAGGGGTGCTGGGCCCTGCGCATATACTACGATAGCTGGTGCTCCAATTTGACATTGGAAATCGCAACACGAGAGATCCTGTCCACGAGTAGGCGCCTGGCTTGCTGTTTTTAGGATGAGGTACGGGTACAGAGTATTCTGTCCAGCCTCTCAGCTCTCCCTTGATAGCTTATGCGCCAGAGCACGCTCGGTTCTCCAAGTCTGATTCGTGGCCGAAAAGCCCGGGGGAATCGCATCTGGGTGAGAATGTCTGCCAATCATCTCCATACTAGTTGGTGAGATTGGCCTGAAGAAGTCTAGCGCGATAGTACACAGGGGGCCAACTGTTTGGAGAGTGTGAATTTGTTGCCTAATTTATCAGGCTAAAATAGTTTATGGGGTTTGCACTGTCTGCATTGTTTGTACTATTTGCAGCAATGTTTACCTTTCATGGATGCCTCAGCCTCTAAGCATCTCTACAGACAACCAAGACCTTCCAAGGTTTCTTCTTGCGGGAAAATTTCCGAAGGAGAAACGAAAGAATCATCCCTTTGGTTATTGGAGAAGAATGGCTCTCCAGTAAGTCCACGGGCCAGCTCATGCACAGCTTGCGAATAATCATCGAGCAACCCCTCCACAATCTCCGGCGAATAAAGCCGATCATCGAAGCACATTCGAACAAGGAAGCCGTTGGTTGGTAACAACGTGCACTCCACAAGAAGACCATACCAGTGGAAATGCCGCATCTCCCGAGCCTCAACACGGGGACCTGAAAGAATAAGTCCAGGGAAAGGGGATTTCGAATCCAAAGTCAACCCTTCCGGAATCGGCTGGATCACAAGCAAAGTTTGCATATTGTCACAAGCAGCGCGCACTTGATCATCTATAGCGCGAATCCGGTCCATCCCGTCGTGTTCGAATGGAATCATGGCCGTCGCCTCGGCCTGGATCTGAGACAGGAACGGAGCTGGGTTCTCATGTTGCAGGGAAGACATGCGGACGCGGATTGGCGTGTGTGCCAGAGTTGGTGCGACGAGTGTGTCGACATCGGGAAGATGAATGTTGCGGCCTGTCAAAATTGTACCGAAGATCACATCCGATTCGGGACTCTGATGGTGCTTAGCCAATGTGCATGCCCAAGCTGCGCGAACAAGGGATGCTTCTGTTAGCCCGTGCTGTTGTAAAGCTGGAACTGCATTGGCTTGGAAAGTCACCAGACGTTGAATGCCGGAATTCGCGCATGGTAGAGGGCCAGAGTTGTCATTTGAAGGGGCGGTCTCGTTGAATCCCGGGGCCAAAGACAGATAAGATCGCCAGAACTGCTTTGAGTCGCTAGAAAGATCGGTTTGGAGTGGATCGATCTTTCCAAGGAGGGTTGAAAAGGCCAGGTTGACCGGGGGGAGTGGAATGGATTGGTATACGGCATATATGGAGCCTAGAATCTGACCCAGTGAGATTCCATCAAAGATTGAATGGTGCATCGTCAATATCAAATGTGTTCCATCCGAGGTCAATGCCCACCGTGCTAGTGGTCTTCCCAAAGAGGGCTTCTCCTGGGCATCGGCCTCCAGATACTCGGCAAGAGATTCTGGCCGCTGCCAAGGGAGATCTTCCCCGACGACAACTTGAAGAAGCTTCCCTGAAGCTTCCACAATTCTGGTCCGCAGGATAGGAAATCTTTGGAAAATCCGTGCACAAGCATTCATGTATCGTGGAAGATCCAAGTCGCTAGAAAGCTGAATAACTTCCTGGCCCATTTGTGTCCGCTCGCTGTGAAGCGAATCCCGCATCATTTCCTCCTGATATGGAGCACAGGGATAGATATCTTCGACTTTCTCAGAGCTCAGCTCACATTGATTTGCCACCGAGTCCACCAATTCTTGGATTGGCAGATCCGCGTCCATCATCAATTCAAACGATGCAACGTGCTTTGTCTGGATAAGTGGCCGGAGCAGTGCCGCTTGATCAGCCAGAACAGGAGACTTGAACACATCTGCGACAGTCAAAGTCAATCGTAAGTCTCTTGCCGCGATATTGACAAGCCTCATTGCCGCCAGTGAATCTCCTCCTAGTGAAAGAAAGTTGTCAGACCGCCTGATATTTTCACTTTTCTTTTCCAAGACCTGGGCCCAAAGCCGCACTAGGCCCTCCTCAGCTGGGTTTGCGCTCTCAACAGCAGTGAGATCCGAATCCGATGAATCTTGTTCCTGCATCTCCGGATTCAGATCGTCAAAACTCCTCAGAAATTCATGAGAGTATTGCGAGCAGAAATAACGGAGTGACTTGCGATCGAGTTTGCCGGATGTGGTCAATGGGAGTGCTTGAATTGGGATGAATAGAGAAGGTATCATATATGGTGGCAGAGATTGCTCGATGATAGCCTTGGTCTTTGAAACCAAGTCTTGGAACTGCTGCCGTGCGTCGGATGTCAAAGCTTTCACGTCTTGTGGATCGAGTCCCTTGTCCCAACTGATGAAAGCAGCCAATAGCGGTGCTTTTGAATCTTTCGGACATCCAAGCTCGACTGCAACAGCAACCTGGTCAGACACAGCTTGATGCAAGCGATACTCAATCTCGCTCAGTTCAATCCGCTGGCCTCGAAGCTTGACTTGGGTATCCTTGCGACCCTCAAACAACAAGTCACCCTCGGGGCCATATCGAGCCAAGTCCCCTGTCTTATAGAATCTACTCCCGCCCGGAGTTGGTCCAAAAGATGCCAGCCAGGCAGGAGGTTTCAACAGAAATACTGCCTCGGATTTTGCCGAATCGTTGAGATATTCTCTCGCAACTAATGGCCCTTCGATGAGCAATTCCCCAACAGCGCCAACAGGCATCAAGCGATCATGGTTGTCCGGGTGAACGATCCAGGTCCGAGAACCAATACCGTGCCCGATGTTGGACACAGAGATATCCTGAGACAGATCGGGTTGGATCACACACCAAATGGTACACTCTGCAGGCCCATAAACATTCTTGAGGGCAACATGCCCACTCCAAATGTTGACACACTGCTGTGTAGCTGGCTCACCTCCCAATGTGAGCTTCTCCAAACCTGGAACCTCAGCTGGTGACAGTATGCTCGCCACTGTTGAAGTCAAACAAGCTTGATTGACGTTTAAACGATTGATGGCACCGGCAAGGTCATGGGATCGCTCCCACTCGGATGGAATGCATATGCACGCGCCGCAAGTGAGGGCTGTGAAGATATCCCCAACACTGACGTCGAATGTATAGGCTGCATATTGCAGAACGCGTGATCCAGGCATAATCCCCATTGCATTGGCTTGTGCTTTTACGCTGGTAGACAGTGAACTGTGCTCAACAACAATAGCCTTCGGGATTCCTGTGCTACCTGATGTACAAACGACATAAGCAGAATTTTTTGGACTGAGAACCTGAGAAGATATGAATGCTTCCTGATGCGTGTGATCGGGCTCAACAGAGAATGTCTTGCGGTCAATGACCATTGATGCAAGGCCAGGGATGAATTGAAAGATCACGCTGCGTGTCTGATTCGAGCATAAGACCAGTTGGGCGGCTGTTGTTTTGATCATGGCTTGTTGTCGAACAGCAGGGTGATTTGGATCAACGTGTAGGAAGGCTCCTCCTGCTTTGACCACGGCCAACATAGCCACAATCGCCCAGACCGACTTCTCAAAGCAGAGCGCAACCACAATTTCCGGTGTGACACCAAAAGACTTCTGCAGCATTCCAGCTAGCCGCGAAGACAGGCGATCAAGTTCTCGGTAGGTCAGCTCGCCATCCCACGCAGCCACTGCGTGAGCGTCTGGCCTTGCGTCAACCTCGTCCTTGAACAGATCATGTACAAGACGATTCGTCTCCTCGGGGTAATGAGAGTTCCACTCCAGAATTTGCTGGTGGTCCCAAATGTTGAAGAGATTGAGGTTGCCGATTTCAAGATGTGGCGTCAGAAATATGGCATGGATGGCATTTTCCAATGCTCTAGTGAGGTAAAACGCATTACCGGCGACTTTGGATTCTGGATGCCAGATGACACGGAGCCAAGGTTGCTCTGTCGATGGATGGAAGCACATCCTTATTCCAATCCCTGTCTATTGAACGCCGTCAAAATCAATTTCGCTTGAATGGTGTATTCTTTCTTAGGCTTCACTTACCTGAGACCCTGTCGGGCTCAGAGTATCAAAAAATGGATGCTTCTTCACAACCACCATTATGGTGGCAGGGTTCTGGCTCTCTCCGGAGAGCTGGCTCGTTGACAACAATCGATGCACAGAGGGATCCTGCCAGTTCTGAAGCACCGAGCTAATAGTATGATGCTCATTCAGTTCAAGGCACTCCCATTTCATGGCACGGGCGTTTCTATCTGTCCCATGATTTTGGTAATTGACTGTGCTCCAGCATATCGATGACGTTCCCAGGAAAGATCTCAAGACCAAAGCCCAGGCCAGGTGAATGAGGTCGGATTCCGGGACTCCATATACCTTTGCCAGAAGATGCAAATGTGAAGGGAGAGCAACGGATGCAGAGAACTCTGGGAGATCTTTATCACCAGACAACGAGGTAGTGAGAGAAACGCCCGAATCTGCTCTCGTTCGGCCTTCAGCGGGATGCATTGCTGCCAGGTGTGTGCTGATAGCAAGAGTATATTCGTACAACAAATAGGTATTAAGAATGGAGGAAGAACTTGGATTTGCTAATGAAAAATCGCAGAGAACTGATGGCCTTTAGGATTAATTTCTCTTTTATACAGTGAGTGGTAGGATAGGGAGCCTTGGGGCGAAGGATCTGACACACGAATAACCAACATAGAACCAAAAATAATAATTTAACAATTAAATGACAATTACGAGGACAAAACAGCAGTACGAAATGTATATGCAACTCATCCAGGATGGTAAATGGGGCCCAGTCAGCACTAACTGGGAGGGGTGGGTCTGGGTGGAAGGACTAAATGCTACAAATAACTGGGCAACATTCAGCTCCAAGCCCGTATATTCTCTCTGTCCATTACGCCGCAAAAAAAAAAGAAAATGAAAGCTATCATCAGCACCAGCCCCGGATTAGCAGCACTTGTCCACGACAGGCCGTTCCCTTTCTTGCGAGATGGCTATCTTCTGGTGAAAACAAAAGCCATAGCACTGAACCCCACAGACTGGAAGCATGTTGAGCTTACTCAAAAGCCAGGTATTTTGTTTGGCTGTGACTATGCGGGTATTATCGAGGAGATCGGGCCTGACGTCCCGTCACATTTCCACATTGGCGACCGGGTGGCTGGGTTCGTGCACGGAGGCAACTCCCAAGAGCCCCAAGATGGGGCCTTTGCTGAGTACATTGTCGCCAAAGCCGATGTTCAAATTCACATCCCGGAGAACATGAGCTTCGAGGAAGCCGCCACTCTAGGGGTGGGCGTCACCTCGGTGGGACAAGGGCTTTTTCAAAGCCTGCAACTCCCTTTCCCTACTTCCCCGCTGCAGGAACAAGAAATTGAGAGCGACCAGCGAGAGCCAATCCTTATCTATGGGGCATCCACTGCCTCTGGAGTTTTGGGTATTCAATTCGCCAAACTTTCAGGATTCGCCCCCTTGGCTGTCTGTTCTCCTGACCATTTTGACTTGGCAGAGAAGCTCGGAGCCGTGGCCGTCTTTGACTACGCAGATGGTGAGGAGGCCGTTGAAGAAATTCAAGATTATGTTCAAAGTATGGGCAGGCCCCTACTGAAAGCATGGGACACGGTGTCGATTCCATCGAGTGCACGTTTCTGTGGCGATGCACTGTCCACCGGAGACGGTGCCCGGTACACATCTTTGCTTCCAATCAGATGCCCCCGACCAGGTGTGACTAGTACCGTGACAATGGCCTATACTGTTTTTGGCGAAGACTGGGCAATGGGGGCCACCGATTTCTCGGCAAACACAGCGGACGCAGAATTTGGCCGACGATGGTGGGCCTCGGTGCAGGCACTCTTCGATCAGGGTCGTATCCAGACACATCGAATTATCATTGGAGAGGGCGGATTAGATGGAGTTCTTGGGGGATTACAGCAGTTGCGTGATTCTCAAGTGCGTGGTGGTAAGCTGGTGTTTCAAATTTAGAAATTAGGGCATTGTTCCAAGTTTACTATAGCAAAAATCTTGATTCAAAGAATATTTCTTTTCAAGTTGTATCTCTTCTTGAAATTTGACAGGTGCTGTTCTTGCACAACGGTATTGGTGAAGCTTCACTGACAAATTGACCTGAGCTCACGTCAATTACATTCCGTTCAATCGCTTCTCCTTTCCCCTTTGGCGGGCCTGCCACTCACATACCACGCCGCGGAAATCCCGGGGCTGGTACAGGCCACACGTTTCAGCTACCACATTAGGCTTCCGGCGGGGGTTGATCCCCAAATCGCGGTAGAGCATGTCTACATACTGTGTCTGAGATTAGCGTCGTGACAAGAATACCGAGTAAAATGATACTTACCGGGAGGAAGTCAAATAGTGCAAATGGAACTTTGCGTCCACAGATATATCGACGGCGAATCCAAGCATTGGTTCGAGCGACTTCACGTTCGCGATGAGCTGTCTCCGGCACCTCCAATGTCCCTGTCAAATAAGCAGCTGCCCATAGAGATTGGGCCTCGTAGACAATCGGGGCTCCCGCTGTACGGAGGAACCCAACAAAGGCTATAGACCGTTCATGAGACGGGGTCTCGCTACTGGGTGCTATGAACCGGTAGAGATGATAGTCATCTTCACACCGTAGCGGTGGTGGTGAAATGGGACATTGTTGAAGAATCGGCAGCTCCTCCAGGATATCTCGATCCGCATTGAGCTGAAGATCATTCCATTTAATTTGAGACTTCGGATCAAAAGACGTCTCGGACGGCAATCCAACGGTCAGCTGGTCATCTGGCGCAAAGAACGAATGTCGAGCATGCCATCCAGTGGCACACACCACTAGATCCGCTGAGAACTCGTGCCCATTGCCTAAGATCACGCGTTTGTCGCTCCCGAGTCCCTGGATAGTCTCTCGGTGTATCTTCACTCGCTCCCCAGAGTGAATTTCATCCCACAACTCCGGGTGTGTCATGACCCCCAGTGTGGCAGGACTCCAAAAAAGGCTATCCAGACCCAAAAGAGGCTTGAGTTGCTTTCCGTTGGGACTCGCGTCGTATCCCCACGGACGCTGAAGCAGCCACGCCATAATGCGCCAGAAGGCGATAATGAAGAACTGCGCCCATCGTCCAGCATTTAGGTGAATCAATCGCCGCCACCAAGAGGACTCATTCGGGGTCTCAAACGGATTTGGCGAGAGAAGACCCAAAATGCGACTGTTGTTAAGTCGGAAACTTGGCTGACCCAGGACTGACAGAGGCGTCATCATCGAGGGTCCTCCTCCTCCTTCCCGAATCACCCAGTCCACTGTCTTTCCAGCACGCAACAGCAGATAGACCGCATCGAATGCTGACTTGGAACCTCCATACACGACTGCATGGCGGATGGATGAATCTGAGATTCTATCAACAGTTTGCGGATGACCAAGTGATTTGCTATGAAGCACCTCGCCCTCGAACTTCTCACGTCCTAGAAGAGGCGGAATGAGTGGTTCCGATGTCAACCCTGAGGCGATAATGATTTTCTTGGCTTGAAGTTGCTCTTCAGTGCCAGCCACGGTGATCACCCAGTGTTGATTTCCCTTGTCCGTGGGAGAAATGGGCTCACGCCGTATATTCTCGACCCAAGTGTTGAGTCGAAGCCGGTCAGTGAGTTGGAATTTGGTTGCATATTCCACAAGATAGTCATGAACTGCTTTACTTGGGATTCTTCCGTCGGGCAGAGCGCTGTCTTTCCTCATTGGAAGATCCGAGAACTCAAACAGTCCGTGATGTGCCTCGGCGACAAGATGAGGATAGAGTCGGTCCTCGCTCCAAGTGCCGCCGATGCTAGAATCACCGTCGACAATGAGTATGTTCGCATCAGGACATACTTGAAGATAGGTCTTTGCAGCTACGAGACCACACCACCCTACAACGACGATAACAGATCAATATAGGACTTTGAAAACGCTCTACTTGGAAGTACATACCAGCACCGATGACTATCACGTCGTACATTATGAGGATGAGAAGTTGTGATGATTAACTGAAGGACCAAACTATCTACCGTTCTATTTGTTAAGTGGCACATATCCCATCCAGTGAATCAGCTCTTATTTCCACAGCTAACCGTCTCGATGAATCTGACCTGACCTAACCTCATGATGGTGGATCTTGATGCAGACTAATGCGTGCGCCTATTCAGGGAAAATGAAGAGCCCATAGCACTGCCCCAATGCTATTTAGATGGAGCCATACTCATGAAACGAGGACCAATCTTCCCTTCATTGTTACAGCGTACGAGCAAGAATTCCCGACCGATACACTTTCCGCTTCAGACCAGTGCTCTCCATTCTTCTGCCCCCAAAGTATGCTTCGTCCAATTACCATCATTCTCATCAGCCTCGCCATTAGCGCAGTGGTGGGGGTTTGGGGCGTCTTTTCTTGGTATGCGGGCTTCGAAGAGCTGGATGCCATTGTTGACAGATATCCCTCAACGCGCGTTCCTGGATTGGACCAATTACCCGATCTAGATCGCGGCCTCATGTCAATGGTGGCCTTCAATCTCCCGGTAGTTGGCCGAGAGCCTGTCTTCACCACGGGACGTTTCTTCATGGGGCAGTTCTTGGCGAATGTTTTCGCTATTCCCATTATCTTGCTTACGGAGGACTTTCGAGCGGAACCGGGTAGCTTGGCAGGCCAGTAAGTCCTCTACGAATAACTCTATTTGCAAATTCATGCACCTTGGCATGGCACGAGGTGACATTCGACCTTTGGAATGCGGGCTAACGCATCCCTAGCTCAACTCTATGGGGTGTATTCTCGCAGCTAGCGACATCAGCCGTGATGTGTCCGCTGTATGGGATCGCCTTGGCACGAGAGTCCGAGTCTAGGCGAGTCGAGGTTAGAAACCAGCATACTACCTGGCTTGTGATCTCCAGCGTTATGATCGGTTACGGAATCCCGGCCGTGCTGACGTTTGATCCACTGCAGTGGGGTATCAAGTTACAGATCTGGGGAATTCTGGCCTTTACATTTTACCCGCTCTGCGTGTTTTTGACAGCCTGTATGCTCCGAGCCTTATTCATCGGGAGATCCTTCAGCCCCATGCGAACTGGCCCGAATTCGACCATCCCGTACGTCTTGGCGGGGGCCGTGGGGACAGTCGGGCACTGGGCGTATATCGGATTTAGCCAGCGGGACGGTATCGGATCGTCCGCAGACCCGATGCGGGCCGCGCAACTCGTGCTTATGTTCTTGCAGGTCGACTATGTGATCACTTTTGCAGCCATGCTGACCCTTGCCTGCCACGAACTGAGGCATTGTCTTCTTCTGCCGTCTTGGCGCATTGCTGGTTGTCTGATCCTTGGCTGGCTTTGCATTGGGCCAGGGGCAACACTCGCCATGGCCTGGGCCTTGCGTGAGCGGTCGATCAGCCAAGAGAATCAGGGGCGGAAGAAGACTTGACTCCGTGCCAAGCATACTTGTGTGTTACACACAAACGAATGGACGCGTATGAGGTCGTACGGTATGGTATGGAAGTTTACGGTCTTGTACGGGCTAGTACCGCGGGGGGAGTGGGGCGTCAGAAGAATTTCGTGGGCGGGCGGCCCGCTAGTGCATGGACTTTCATGCAATCCAATCCATGGTCACGATGTAGATGATTTTCCGTGCTATCAATCTACACTACATTCAATAATCGCATCAATTGTAGGCTTCATTCACTCGGCAAATTAGGCTAATATCTCTGAGACCACTATGCCGCGTTGAGAGAGGAATTCTTCCATTTCCTTCCATAATCGACGTTGCAGTGCTTGACCCTGCGGACTTTCTGCGAACTTTGATAGTCTATGAGAATGTGTTAGCTCTGCGTGAGACACCAGCCAATCCGGTACTATTCTCTATTTCCCCCTCATAGTACAGTGTGGGGACAAGGTGGTCTTACGGAGTCGGTTTTCCATCACGTAAATACGCCCCGTGGATGTCGGAGCCTTGTGCTGTAGCCGCGAAGACGTGCAAAGCTCCACCTTGCTGAATAGACCGAGCAGAGGTAAATTGAATCAGGCGGGTCATCACATCACTAGGGAAAAAATTGGAGGCACAGAATCCTGGAGTGGTGATGACCACAGTAGTGTCGGTTTTCGCTGCGGTCAGCCTGAGAGAAAGTTCTTTCCCAAACAATGCAAGCAGAAGCTTGGCACGGTAGTATTGATCATCTGCACTGCCAAGTGTTTTCTTCTCCCGGAAAACAGACAATATAGGCAGGGTATTTTTGTTCTCGGGTTCAGGCAGATCGGGAAATGTGGTCCAGGCGTGGCCCTCAGAGGTAACCAAGACAAGGCGTGGAGATCTTGCGCTTGTTTCGGACTGGATAGTACTTTCACGAAGCAGAGGCAGAAGTCTCAACGCAAGATAGGCGGTGCCGAGAAAATTGACCTGAAACAACGGGCTGTATCCGTCTTCGGTCATCCGGTCATCGTGACCGAAAAAGCCTGCATTGAGAAGTGCCAGATCTAGATGAATGGAGTTGGCGTTTAGCTCTTCCACAAATCGGTCGACTGAGGAAAGGCTCTCCAAGTCCAATTCAGCCACCTGCACAGTGAGATGAGGCATATTCTCTTGGATCTCACTCTTGATGCGGTTAGCCTTGCTGAGGTTTCTCACCCCAAGGATGAGAAGTCGTGGACCCAGCTGGGCAAGCTGACGTGCTGCTTCAAGGCCAACACCGGAGGTAGCCCCAGTAACTAGCACTATTTTGGAAGCAACGGGGTTATCCGAGTTCACGGAAGGTGGGTTTCCAGTGAACTTTTGGCGCATTGCATATGGGATAGGACCATCTGAGGAGAAGTCCCAGAGAGCGGGGTTGGAGACCAACATCCTCAGTGGTTCAGGTAGAAAGCCTGGCATGGTGTGTGGATATCGAGATATGAGGGCTGTGGTAAGATTGATAGTAGACTTGGACGGGTTTTGGGATCCAAAAATTCATTATTATAGACGATGGCTCGTAGACTAGTCCTTTCATAGTAAGTGTCATGCAGAATACTACCTCACCCCTGCTAGGATAATATGGACTTGGGGGCCTGAAAGAAAAGTAAAATCAGCTAGCTGGTTGTACTCGCTGCCGCAGCGGAATGAGGCTGGCTTACCCTCATACACTAGTCTGGTACAGATGGCAGACTGTAATCAACGGAACTTCTCAACTTCCATATCAAGAGGGGCCCACAACAGTATCCGCATACTGCGTGCCTCTAGGCACATTGAGTGGCTCTACGTTCACTTGGCTGCATCAACGTAACTTGGGGGCGCTATCCGATTACTCGGTCTGATATCGTAGACTGAGGGTAGGCCCTCGTGCCTCGTGTACAGAGCTGGTTAGAGATTTTTGGTAAGAGTTCGGCCGCTGAGACTGTGATCATTACACGTGCCAGTGATAAGTATAAAGGGAGACGCTTTGTACCCTGAAAAATCTAGCAAGACACGAGCAACTTAAGATAGGCTCAAACTTCTTCTTTCTCTCTTTTTTTAAAAAAATAATTCGCAGCCATGGCCTCTTGCGATAACAGCCCCGAGCCTATTGCCATCATAGGAATGGGTAAGTTAAGACAGTCCTTGCAGCTTCGAGTCTTGTCTGACAATTGGATAGCATGTCGGCTCCCTGGCGAGGTGACTTCACCTTCTAAGCTCTGGGACCTACTAGTTGAAGAAAGATCTGGCCAATCTGATGTCCCAGCTAACCGATTCAACGTGAAATCATGGTATCATCCCGATAAAATGCGGCCTGGAAGTATATCAACACGAGGTGGATACTTCCTTGGTGAAGATGACTCGTACCGTCAATTTGATCCATTCTTCTTTGGGATCAACCCTAAGGAGGCTGCCAGCATGGATCCTCAGCAGCGAAAGTTGCTGGAGGTTGTTTATGAGAGCTTTGAAGCAGCTGGTGCTCGCCTGGAGGACGTCTCCGGCTCAAAGACTGCTTGTTATGTCGGAAATTTCACATGGGATGTTGGCCAAATGCAAGCTCGAGATATCAACCACGGTGCTCCGTATCATATGACAGTAAGGCCCATACTTCCTATCAGCCACGAAGGTGTTCTTCTGTATTGATCGCTCACCCAACTTCTAGGGTGGTGGCTTGACGATATTAAGCAATCGAGTCAATTATGTGTTCAACCTGAAAGGACCAAGCATGACAATTGACACAGCATGCTCTAGCACAATGTATGCTCTGCACTTGGCCTGCCGCAGTCTGCAGGCTGGCGACTGCTCAGCTGCCGTAGTAGCTGGCACCAATTTGATTTTTGGAGTCGAGCAGCAAATTGGCAGCGTACGCCTGGGTGTGCTGTCCCCAACTTCGATCTGTCATACATTTGATGAGTCCGCAGATGGATATGCGCGTGCCGAGGCTGTTGGCTCTTTGTATCTGAAGACTTTATCCCAGGCTATTGCGGACGGCGATCCAATTCGTGCGGTCATTCGAGGCACATCTATTAATGCGTGAGTGTTGAAAAAATATTACCCACTCAGTTGAATTGAGTAGTGCGCTAACTTACGCAGCAACGGAAAGAGCCCTGGCATCAGTCACCCCAGCGCAAAAGATCAAGAGATGGTTATCAGACAGGCATATGCGAGCGCAGGCCTGGATCTGAACCAGACCGGATACTTCGAGTGCCATGGCACTGGTACCCCAGTAGGAGATCCACTGGAGGTTTCGGCCATTGGAAATGTTTTTGGGAATGTGAGAACTACCGAAGATCCCTTGCTGATGGGATCTGTGAAAACAAATCTGGGCCATGGAGAGGCAGCCAGTGCGATCTCCAGTCTGATCAAAACAGTTCTTTGCTTGGAGAAGGGAGAGATCCCTGCGACCATTGGCATCAAGCGACTGAACCCTGCCCTAAATTTGCGCGATGGTCGGTTGCAAATTGTCCAAAAGCTCTCACCATGGCCCACTGCACAGTCATACCGCCGCGCCAGTGTTAACTCATTTGGCTATGGTGGTGCCAATGCACACGCCATCTTGGATGCAGTGCAGTCGTATCTGGGTAATTTCCACCAGAGCATCCCAAACTCTCTCCCTGCATCTGAAGTGGTCTCGTCGAAAAAATACCTGTTGCTGCCATTCTCAGCCCACAGCGAGTCAACATTGGGGAAAAACATCAAATCCGTCTCTCTAAACTTCCAAAAGAACCTCCATCTCCGCGACCTCACGCATACTCTGAGCTCGCGCCGCAGCAACCACTCCGTGCGAGCGTTTACACTGGTTCCTGGAAACTCGAACACTGATCAGCTTACCGATTCTCTGACATCGGAGAAGCTTACTCTTGGAAACGCTATGGGAGCTCCTCCAAAGCTTGCGTTCGTCTTCACTGGACAAGGTGCACAGTGGGCACAGATGGGCTATGGGCTCGCACAAGAGTTTGCGGTCGTGCGCCGTACACTGCAAGAGCTGGGCCACACCATATCCAAGTTGCCTAATGCCCCTGAATGGGATCTTTTGGAAGCTCTGGCCCAGCCAAAGTCAAAAAGTCGCGTCAACGAAGCGGAGCTCTCACAACCTCTCACTACTGCAGTTCAGATCGCCATGGTTGATCTCTTGCGCTCCTGGGGAGTGAATCCTACAGCCGTCGTCGGCCATTCTTCTGGTAGGGATACTGACTGACTTCCAGTTTTTTCATCACTAATTTAATCGAATAGGAGAGATCGCTGCCGCTTATACCGCTGGGCTAGTTTCAGCCAGGGAAGCCATCATCATTGCATACCAGCGTGGCGCAGCAACTGTGAAGAGTACACAACATGGTGCTATGTTGGCTGTTGGACTGGGCCCAGAAGAAGTCTTGAAGGTGATCGAAGATATCCCCGAAATAGGAATTGCATGCTACAATGCTCCGGATAGCGTCACCCTCAGCGGTACCGATGAGGCGATTGATGATGCCCGCGGTCGCTTTTCTCGTGCTGGCGTCTTCAATCGGAAGCTGATAACTTCTGGTAACGCCTACCACTCTAAGCTAATGACCGAGGCTGGAGAACACTATGAAGAGTCACTCAAGGAGTGCCTACTTCCTAATGATCCGCCATCAGCAGGTCATCCGTCAATCACCATGTTTTCCTCAGTCACCGAAGAAGAGCTTTCAACGGTCGATCTGGATTATTGGAGGAAGAATCTCGAGTCCCCTGTCCGGTTTGACCAGGCAACTCACCAACTTCTCAAAACGCGCCCGGAGGTAAATTTGGTGATCGAGATTGGCCCGCATTCGGCTCTGGCTGCACCGCTCAAGGCAATCCGGACAAGTTTGAGCTATAGTCCCGAGAGACTGGGCTACCTTTCGGCCCTCAAGCGTAACACCGACTCAGTTGAATGTCTGCTTAAGCTTGCAGGCTCTCTGTTTTTGTCCGGGTGGCAGGTTGATCTCGCCACAGTTAATGCAGACGAGATAGTCCACCAAGACCACACTGGAGCCGAGACAATTCGATACTCGCATGGCTCCTTCATCAAAGATCTGCCAACATATCAGTGGACATACGATGAAGCGCTACTGTGGAACGAAAGCCGTCTGAGTACTGACATCCGTTTCCGTGAATATCCTCACCACGACCTATTGGGAAGTAGACTCCCTGGTACGTCGAATGCTGCACCAGCATGGCGAAATCTTGTTAGTTTGGAGAATGTCCCATGGCTCAAGGATCACCGAGTTGGCGATGACATTGTCTTCCCAGCCGCTGGATATGTTGCTTTGGCTGTCGAGGCAATCACTCAAATCCGCGGTTCAGCGGTCGCAGCGACGAAAGACGTATACACTCTGCGCGACATGAGCATTAAATCCGCAATGGTCCTCAAAGAAGGCATCAACACAGAACTCATGTTCGATCTTCGGGCTGTTCCCGGTCTATCTGCCACCTACCAGTTCACGGTGAGCACTTTCTCGCAAGGGACTTGGACTGAACATGCTACCGGAGCGGTCCAAATCGACAATGAAACTACAGACGGTAATATGCACTTTTGTTTTGAATGGGAAACTTGCTGACCTCCAACAGATCGATTGCTCTGGGCTGACCACAGGAATCTCGGAAGTCGCGGTGGTATGAACAAAGACAGCTACGATCGCCGTTGGTACTCTGCCATGGACAAAGTCGGATTGGTTTATGGACCAGGCTTCAAGACTCTGTCTGATATTCATGCAAGCTCCGATCACCATCAGGCAACTGCAGAGGTTTCGGGGAGTGCTACTGAAGATCTTATGGGTCAACAGTCAAACTACATTCTTCACCCAACAACCCTCGACGCCTGCCTGCAGCTTTCAATCATCGCGGCTCATCATGGGAAACCTGAAAGTCTAAAGAAGGTTTACCTTCCTGTCGCTATCCCGAAAATGACAATCTGGCCTCAAAATATTGGCGGTGACCTCCCACTGGCAGCATGTGGGCGAGGATACCACCGAGGACTTAGATCAGTTCAGACGTTCATCGACCTCTCATCGCCAAGTAACAAATCAATTCTTCATGCGGAAATCTCGTTCTCGTCACTGGAAACAGCATCCGATGAAACGACAAGCAAAAGCCCCCAGCCATACACTCGATTGGTCTGGAAACCGGACTTTGATCGCATGACAAACGCTGAAGCCAATGTTCTGTTCCATGGCACCGAAGAAGACATTTCGATCTCCAAGCACTTTTTCTCTGCACTGGAACAGATTACCAGGCTGGCAATTCGAAGCAGCGCTGAGAGGCTTCCAAGCGATCTTCAAACAGATAACATGCCTAGCCATATGGTCAAATTCCTGGCGTGGCTGAGAGCAGAGGGACAGGCTCTCTCCATCAGCGAGGGTCATGACGGCCTGAACGGAAAGAGTCTCATTGAAAAAATTGACTCTATCGCCCGAGAAGTCGAACATACTGTTCCTGAGGCCGCTATGGTAGCTCAGCTCAACTCTCGAATGCCAGAAATTCTATCTGGAACCGTTGGAACACTGGACGTCATGGTTGAGGACAACCTCCTATCCAAGATCTATGAAGATGGCTTTGGACAGGTTGGTGCATACGCCAAGTTGAGTAGCATTATGGAGCTCGTGGCGCACAAAGACCCTCGCCTCCGTATTCTCGAGCTAGGAGCAGGTACTGGCGGTGCGACAAAGCCTATGCTCCAAGCCCTTCATGGAGACACTTCGCTGCCAAAATTCGAAAAATATGACTTCACTGATGTGTCCAAGGCATTCTTAGGAGTTGCTCAAGAGAAATTCCAGGGCTATCGCAACCTTGACTTTGGCATCCTCGACATTGAGAATGACCCTGTTGCCCAGGGCTTTGAAGAGGGATCATATGATGTTGTCTTCGCTTCGAATGTGAGATTCCAGGCTCCAATTTTGATTTGAGTTTTCCACTGATAGCTTTCCAGGTCATTCATGCAACACGAAATGTTGCATCGTCTCTTCGGAACTGCAGAAAACTCCTGAAACCCAACGGCAAGCTTGTAATCATCGAGACAACCAAGCAACGACAAGTCACCGGTTACATGCTTGGGGCTCTGCCTGGATACTGGCTTGGTGCGGATGATGGGCGACCTTCTAGTCCGTTCCTGTCCAAAACCTTATGGCACCAGCGGCTGCTTGATGCTGGGCTTTCGGGGGCAGATATAGTGCTTGATGATTACCCGGAGCCCGCTGATTGCACTACCCTGATGATTTCCCGCAACACCGACGCTTCTACTCACCAAAATGGTACTAACGGAGTGAACGGGGTCAATGAACAGAATGGGTTGAACGGAATCAATGAAGCGAACGGCGTCAATGGATCTAACGGCCACCACGCCACCAACGGGCAGAATGGCACCAATGGCACCAATGGCCACCAGCAACCCATGGTCACTCTGGTATGAGATTATCTTTCTGTTCCATTTCTTCGATCCATCATTGACCTGCTAACTCCATTTTCAGATCTATCGCAATAAGCCCCAGCCTTTCCAGGAGAAGATTGAACAGCATTATGCAAAGCTTGGCACATCGACTCGGTCGATGGCTTTAGAAGAGGTCCCCACATCACTTCAGCGTGATTCTCGAACGATCATGCTCGGTGAATTGGAGGGTCCGCTTATGGCACGCATGACTCCAGCCGAGATGTATGCTATGCAACGTTTCACTCAGCTGGCCGCAACCGCTGTCTGGGTAACAAACATCGATGTTCTACGTGGCCAGGATCCGGAGAAGTCTCTGGTCTTTGGATTAGCAAAATCCATCATGACTGAGCAGCCCTCTTTCCATATTTGCAGTGTGGACGTTGATATCTTCGATGGGCAGACTGATTATCAGAATAGTGTCAAGACCATTGTCGAAACCGAAGCTGCCTTCCACAAGGATCCTAGCGGTGAGCTTGATACAGAGTTGGTCGAGAAGGATGGCTTGGTCTATATCAGTCGGTATGTGACCGATGATGCGGAGAATGCCAATTTCGAACGCCACTTCACTACCAAGCCAACTACCACAAAACTTGTGGAAAGCAAAACCTCCAAATATTCACTTGATTTTGAGAAGGTTGGCCGCCTGGATAGCTTCTATTTCAAGGAGCAGGCCTTGAGGCCACTCGGCGATCATGAAGTCCTCCTCGATGTCCAGAGTGCTCCGTTCGATATTCTGGTATGTGCCTTTTCCTCTGCTTCTTTTCATTAAAAATTCAAAACACAAATCTAACACATTTCCAGTCAATCCCAGCTCTCAAAGGACAATCCTCTTCTCCATGCTTTGGCTTGGAGATGGTGGGAATTGTCCGTGCTGCCGGCTCTGAAACATCAAAGTTGATGAAAGGAGATCGAGTATGCTGCTTCTATCCTCATCACTTTGATACGGCAATCATCGTGGATGAGCGTCACTGTGAATTACTTTCAGCGTATGAGCGTTCCGAGGATCTGATCAGTCAGATACACCCTGTCGTCATGTCCCTGCATGTGGTGGAAACACTGCTGCGATTACATCCAGGCGATCGGGTTTTGATCGACTGCCGCCAGGCACATCTTGCCTACGTCATCTCCCAGGTTGCTCTTCTGGCTGGCTCCGACATCCATGTCACCTTCAGCTCCAAGGCCGGACAAGTTTCACTCCAGCAGCTTGGCGATGAGGCTAATTTAGTGGATCGTCAGGCTGGATTTGACAACATGTTGCTTGACAATTCATTTGATGCCATCCTTACCGACTCGAAGAGTGGCTATCAGCTGCTCGGTAACTCTATCAACCATGGAGGTCGCATCGTTGTTCTATCAAATGGTGTTCCTGGTGATATGGCAAGCGCCGCGGTCTCATTCCTTAACAAGGGTATCACCATCGGAGTATTTGATCCCATTGATGGGTTTGCAACTGCTCCGCTTCAGCACTCCAGGTTAGTCGAGGAAGCATTAACGTTATACGCGAAGCTAACGAATCCAAACAGTCTTCTTGTCAAAGCTCTGGACCTTCTTCGTCGCAATGCCATCCGCCCGATCTTGTCTACGCAATATGACTTGTCTGGTTTCGCAGATGCTGTCGTCCAAGTCTCCCAGGAAGACTTCGTCGGACGAGTGGTTCTGACACGAACACCGAGCACTGTTGTTCCTGTTCATACAGTAACCGCACCATTGTGGTTCAACCCCAATGCTTCATATCTCCTGATTGGTTGCCTAGGTGGACTAGGAAGAAGTCTAGCGTAAGTGTTTCTCCTTCACGTCAATACCGGCGTTACCCATTTCCGATCAATCCCAAAATATTATTTTTGGAAGTTGGCTAACTCTTCAAACAGCACGTGGATGGCCTCCCGTGGTGCCCGTCACTTCATTTTCCTTTCGCGAAGCGGTGCCGACAAACCAGAAGCAGCTGCATTGGTGCAGGAACTGCAAGAACTCACTTGGACCCAGTACCTCGGCTTGACAGTGCAAGTTGTTCGAGGTGATGTTTCGATCAGGGAAGATGTCAATAGGGCCATTCTCTCTGCTAAGCACCCCATCAAAGGAGTGGTCCAGGCCGCGATGGTACTCAAAGTAAGACTACATATCTCAGTTTGATTCACGAGGCCACATCTAACGTTATACTTTCCCAACAGGATACACTGTTTACTGAGATGACTCTCGGTCAATTCAACCAAGTCCTGCATCCTAAGATGGTGGGCACCATTAACTTGCATGAACTTCTTCAAGGGCACGATCTCGATTTCTTCGTGATGACCAGTTCTGTCCTCGGTGCAATTGGTGCTGCTATGCAAAGCAACTACTCTGCCGCAAACGCGTACCTTGATCACATGGCACGTCATCGCCAAAGCATGGGACTACAGGCTACATCCATCGCATTGGGAATGATTCTTGACGTTGGACACGTCGAAGAGCATCCCGAGGTAGAAAAGGCCCTCAAGCGAAATGGCATGTACGGAATCAGCGTTGATGAGTATCTCCTCATGATGGAGTTTGCCTGCCGCCGCCGTGATCTTACCAGCATCTCGAGCGAAGGACCATTCAAGTATGACCCCTGCGCATCTTCCCATATTGTTACTGGTATGGATCCTACTCGTGTTTCTCGTGCGGGAGGTAAATCCCTCTGGTTGAAAGACAATCGACTCCGCAACCTTGTTGCGGCACTGGGTGGTGGAAGTGATGGGGATGTACTCAATGCCGAGCAGTCTGTGGGTGCCAATACCCGGGAATTGTTGGAGGCTGCCCGGGCTGAAGGAGGTGATGTGGCTGTCAAATCAGCCATTCTGGGGTTGATTTTGGCGCGATTCTCGAAATTGGTTCTCTTGCCCGTTGAAAAGATCGACCCAGGCAAATCCCTATCCCACTATGGAATGGACAGTATGATTTCGGCGGAGCTGAAAAGCTGGGCCTGGAAAGAGTTTACTGTTGACTTGCCCTTCTTGGGGTTGTTGGATCAGGGCCTCACATTTGATGCATTGGCTGATCAAGTTCTTGTCTTGGCCGACACCAAGTCCGCCTGATTTGTGTGAATATCTCTGTTCTTCATTCTATATATCTTCTTTAGATAAATCAAATTTGTGTTGCATGCCGACCTCAAGAGTACTCCAGAGATGAATAATTAGTATGTTTTGGACCCATTCTATTTGCGTAATGCTAATATGAATGACTCGATCGGTCTCTTCCATTACTGTCCATCGTTTAATTTACCTTTTGCGGCTCTAGCATTTGAATACATGCCAGCACGTGATACGACAGGGATCTGATCCTTCGCCCCCAAAGTCAACGGTTGGACCACTCGGGATCTCTGGAGGCCAAGAGACTAGCGGATGCAGGTAAGCGTACTGAATTGATACAGGTATGACTTTTGGGTTGCCTGATTTTTCCCCAGTTCATCTCTCAGCCTTGGCGCATGCAGGGGGTGATCTACACCAATCAAGTCAGCGTTATTTTTGACAGCCTGTAATCTATCATACAATACAGTACAGTCATGTCGGGTCACGCCCGGTTTTACTGCATCCTGCGCCTCTCATTGGCTCAGAGCAAGAGTACCACGAAAATGCTGCTGTTTGGGGATGAAAACACCAAGATGTGCCAAGCCCAACAACGTACGGTGTCCGTAAGCACATGTCGTTCTTTGTTTGCCCTAATTGGATTTTTCCCTTCCAAATGCACTGTTCTCTTTTCTTACCTACATTTTTTTCTCTCCATTCTCATTGGATTTCCCCCTGACTATTCGCTCTGCGCGGCCTACTGGGTAAATCCTTTGCTACTCTGTACTCGCCATGTCCAAGCTGTGGATTGGAGCCTACGGCCTACTGGCCTTTGTGGTAGTTGTCGCGTTGAATGTCATCTACCAAGGCCTCTTTCGGGCATTCTGCAAGACGAGGCCGCCATTGGTATTCCATTGGGTCCCGTTCGTGGGTAGTACAATTCACTATGGCATGGACCCATATGGCTTTTTCTTTTCGTGCCGTGAGAAGGTAAGCAGCTGGTTATGGGTTACATTTCTGCCAGACGTGGAAAGCTCATTTGATTCTCTTCACTTAGTACGGTGACATCTTCACGTTCATTCTTCTCGGCCGCCCAACCACCGTTTACCTCGGAACTAAAGGCAACGAGTTCATTCTCAATGGCAAGCTGAAGGATGTCAATGCGGAGGAGGTCTACAGCCCTCTGACCACCCCGGTCTTTGGGTCAGATGTTGTCTACGATTGCCCGAACTCAAAGCTCATCGAGCAGAAGAAGTTCATCAAATTCGGTCTATCACAGGCGGCACTTGAGGCCCATGTGCCATTGATTGAAAAGGAGGTTTTGGATTACCTTGCCATGTCACCCAACTTCCATGGAACATCAGGAACCGTGGATATCTCAAAAGCTATGGCAGAGATCACCATCTTCACGGCAGGCAGTGCTCTCCAGGGCGAAGAAGTGCGATCCAAACTCACCACCGAGTTTGCAGTTCTATACCACGATTTGGACAAAGGTTTCACTCCCATCAATTTCATGTTGCCATGGGCTCCTCTGCCTCACAATAAGAAACGCGATGCTGCGCATGCACGGATGCGCGCAATCTACGTTGATATCATCAACAAGCGCAGAAACGCCGGCGACAATGTTCCCGAGAAACTGGATATGATTGGGAACCTGATGCAGTGTACCTACAAGAATGGACAGCCGTTGCCAGATAAAGAGATTGCTCATATCATGATCACACTGCTCATGGCTGGTCAACACTCTTCGTCTTCGATTAGCTCCTGGATCATGCTGCGCCTCGCCTCGCAACCTTCTGTCGTCGAAGAGCTCTACCAAGAGCAGCTCGCCAACATTGAGCGCACAGGCCCCAACGGTACTCTGCCCGCTCTTCAGTTCAAGGACATTGACAATCTTCCTCTGCATCAAAATGTCATTCGTGAAACTCTTCGTGTCAACGGCTCCATTCATTCACTCCTCAGAAAAGTGAAAAACCCAATGCCAGTACCTGACACTCCATATGTCATCCCTACCTCCCACGTTTTGCTCGCTGCCCCAGGAGTTACGGCTCTGAGTGACGAGTACTTCCCTAACGCCATGGCCTGGGACCCTCACCGTTGGGAGACGCAGGCTCCGGATGAGGACAACAAGGAGGATATTGTTGATTATGGATACGGCGCAATGTCCAAGGGTACCTCAAGTCCATACCTTCCATTTGGAGCTGGACGTCATCGTTGCATCGGAGAGAAATTTGCATACCTCAACCTTGCTGTCATCATAGCGACTATGGTGCGCCATCTTCGATTCCACAACGTGGACGGCAAGAAAGGTGTGCCTGAAACAGATTACACGTCTTTGTTCTCGGGTCCACTCCAACCAACACGAATTGGCTGGGAACGTCGCAATGCAAAGCAAACTTAGAATTTGCCTTTGAGGTCAACCTGGCGTGGCTCCAAATGTAACGATAGGATTATCATGCATCGTGGTGGGATGGAGAAGGGGTTCACATTCGCCACGGTTTTTCTTTTGAAAAAAGCCCACATACTTACGCTAATTAGTAAATAATTTAATCGAGATCTTTTCAATTTGAGTGATTTATTGTATCTGTTCATCTCTTTCTGACAATTCAAAAACCCTAGATCTTCGCTAAGTGAGCATGTCATTGGCCTTGAACTGGCTTCCAGACCTCGGGATTCAGCCCCGTCTTACCCCGTCTTGGCTGATATCCAGGCTTTTCCAGTGATGATTTACGAGCCTTGTACAGATTACGAGTCTAGTAAGTTACTTTGGTGGGGCGAGGCTATGCATATGCAGCCGAGTGCGTAGTGAGATTTTCGGCCTAGAGGTGTACCCAGCGAGACGGGTACAACATACACGAATTTTGGTTTTATTATTTTACTCTTTTTATTTATTTTATAGAGTCATTTTTGAGAGAATGGAGGGGGTAGTGCTCTGCCTCCGGTCTCACATCCAGACTATAAATTCGAAAAGTCACTCACGATGTGAGCATACAATTCTTCTATCTTTTCAGAATCTCTTCACTCCAAAGTCTTTTTATTTCTCAAATTTCTATTCCCTTCACTTGAATCCCATTCAAAATGACCCTCCAACCAACTCCTACCGATGTCGGTACTATGTACGATGAGTACACGAGTCTTTTCACAGATGTCATGGCCGGGTTCATCCATGTCGGCTACTGGGAAGACCCAGAAAAACAAGACACAATGGAGGTAGCCACCGAGAGAATGACCCAAGAGGTTGGTGAGCGCCTTGCCTCCTCAAAGGGTCAACAGATCCTCGATGTCGGTTGCGGCACTGGCAAATCTGCCGTTCAAATTGCCTCAGCGCATGATGTCCAGGTCACCGGAATTACCGTCAGCAACCACCAGATCGAGGTTGCTCACAACCAGTATGAAAGCAACATTAAAGCTGGCCAAGTGAAATACCAGTATGCCAATGCCATTTGCCGATGCCACCTTTGATGGAGCTTACGCAATCGAGTCGCTGGTGCACATGGATGACAGACGGACGGCACTTTTGAACATTGCGAGAGTTCTGAAGCCCGGCAGCCGACTTGCTATCGCAGATTTGCTTTTGGATGCCGGTTGTCCCAATCCAGAGGTACTTGCACGATTCCACGAGCTGTTCCAGGTTCCGCCTATGCCCTCTGGTGATGAATTACAAACTCTTCTCCGTGAGACGGGCTTCAAGGTCCTCGAATTTACCGACATCAGGGATAATGTCCGGCCTGTTTGTAAATTCCTGGAGCAGAAGGCCTACTCGCTGGGTGGCGAGGTTGGGGGAAAACTCCTTGAAATAGCAACCAGCATGGCAACTCTCAAGGAGCTTGGTTACGCTTTCATTACCGCAGAGCGCATCTAAAGGAGTTAAGCCATTGAATGAAATGAGGAAAAGCTGTGCCAGAGGGGCTTTTTGATGTATTTAAAGATTTTTCATCTAGCGTCAAAGCCTGCATCCTCTTCACGCTATGTGATTGATGCTGCACCAATATAAAATAGTCAAGCTCTCGTCTCGCTCTTTCGTCATCACTAGGGCAAGACTTCCCAGAATTCTCCAATCTGCCGCAGATCTGCTAACAAAGCATCGGGATTGTCAACGCCGGGGAAGTGGCCACCGAACTCATGATCTAGGGCTCCCAGTCAGTTTAAGATACCGTCAAATGATCAAATATACTCACTTTTGTAGTAGACAAGATTCCCGACCTTTGCAACTAATGCTGGCGGCCAAAATCCTGGATTATACTTGAATGCGCTGAAAAGCAATGGTGCATCGTTATTTGCTTTTGAGTATACAGAGCGGAAGCCATGCGGATTCTGTGCATATATCACCACGGATGAGGCAAAGGTTTCTGTGAGGAAATAAAGAGATACGCTGCGAAGAATCTCATTGTGACTCAATAAAGAGGGGCCATGTCCAGCATTTGGATCGGACCCTGGGTGAGTGGGTGAGCTTCACGATTTCCTCTATACGGAGTAGGCCCATGGTCGGTACTTACAATTCAAGAATTTCTCCCCAATCCATGCAAGTTGTCCTACTGGACTATCATATAAAGCCAGTCCAATAGTATTGGGCTTTGAGAAAAAGAAGGGACAGTCAGTTACTATGACAGATTGTGGCATGTTGAGTGGATGCGGTCGGTACCTTTGTAGTTTGTTCCGAAAAATACCCAGTGCCTGAATTGGTCCATTCTATCGTGTTCGCTTCCTCAACCCCTTCTAAAGAAGACAATGTGATGTTTTCAGCGGCTAGTTGTTCCAAGTTCAGCGGGTAAAAGGGAAGGAAAGCCAAATGAGCCGCGCGGACCGTCGTGTTGAATTGATCATACATCGAGTATGCGACCCCACTGCCCCAGTCAGTACCAAAGACAGCGTAGCTTTCATATCCTAGGACGTCTTTTAGAAGCGTATTGAACACTCGGGCAGAGTCATCAATTGTCCAGTTGGTGGGCGGAGCAGAAGAAAAGGCAAATCCTGGCAGCGAAGGGACAATAACATCGAAAGCAATCTGTTTCCCCGAGTCACTCTTTGCCGTCTTCGTGAGCTCATTGATGATGGGGGCAAATTCCAAGAAAGACCCGGGCCACCCATGAAGTAAGATTAGTGGGATAGCGTCTTTTGAGCTCGACCTTTCGTGGATGAAGTGAATATCCAACCCTTCAATTTGAGCTGTGTAGTGATTGAACCTAGGATGGCATAAGAAAGATGCGAACAACGCGTCACTCGGATAAAGTCGGATTTCAAACTCACTTGTTCAGAGACTTCTCCTCCTTCTTCCAGTCGAACGTAGTCAACCATTCATCTTGTAGGGCTTTCAGGTCACCGAGGCTTATACCTGCGGAAGATCCAGTACTAATGTATGGTGATTGCGCAGGAAGTCTTGTTGTGCGAACCAAGTCCAGCATTCGGGGGAGATTTGATGAAAGATCAATTTGAAAAGGCTGGAGTTTGAAACCGGCTGTGGTTGTCGGAGTCGCTTGGCTTGTCCTGCAAGCCACGCCTAAAGCCAGGAATGATATCCAAGGTGATCTCATGTTGAGTTATGAGAATGAACGAGAGTATATTTTCTTTTGTCAGTTCGACTAGAGAGAGAGAAGCTCTCAACTCGGAAATAGCCTCCATACTTATACCCTTTTGTCGCTTGAGCAGGTTCTGAAGTTTGTGGCTTGAAGAAGCCGGCAACTGAGATGCATGATTGTCGGCAGGCAGTCTTCATGATTAGCGATCGAAAAGCTTTTGCTTCCCAGGGTGCCAATGAGATCGGCGATATTGATTAGATCGCGCCATCGTGCATACGAGGATGACCAAAATGGCTCAAAGACCTTCTATGCACCACACAACACTGCAGGGGATGCAGAGTAGAGTAAGCACTAGTCCGATCTGTAGACCATTTGCCTTCTTACAAAGCTAGTGCAGATGGCAACGAGCTCGCAATTTCTTCCCTTACAGCTCGGATATAATTTCCAAGAATTTTCCTGGCGACAACTAGCAGACAAACCACAGCCTTCAGCTTTTTATTTACCGTAAGCTTGCCCAGGCTGAAAGCAAGGCCAATCTGAACGTTAAGATAACTGCACGAGAACACTTGGATGAAAAAGAACTCTTGGTTCGAGGTATGATGCGACAGCTGAGAAATATATTGTACATGCCAGATAAACAAAGATTACACTTAAATCTTACCACCAGTGATTTGCTCTCCGAGCTGCTTGACACGTTCCTGCATGATGTCCCAGCGAGCACCCTCATTCCTGTGGGTCTGGTTGACAAGGTTGTTGACAGTAGGAGGGTTACCCAGGTTCCAGACGTTCTCGCCGGGCTGGTGGTCGTTGCGCCAAGCCTTGTTCTCACCCTCGGGGAAGACACGGTCGATCTCGGCAGCAAGTTGCTCCTCGGTGGTGATGAAAGAGCGAGCATTCATGTACAAGAGCTGAAGGTCTGCTTGGCGAACTGACTCCTTCTGAGCCTTCTTGGCTGCCATGCGGGCCTGGGACAGCGCAATGCGCTGCTCGCGGTTGGGGTCAGGCAGAATCGGCTGCTTCTGAGGCAACATGGCAGCAATGGTCGAAGGGCGGGTAAGGCGCTCGTCCTCACGCTCGGGTTGTTGGAGAATGCGCTCCCGTCGGCTCTGGGCCTCATGACTGCGGCTGATCATCCTTCCTTGTGTGTTACGCTTGCGCGCGTACAAGTCCCGGAGACCCTCGCGCAAGTTTTGTCGGCGCAGCTCGGCCATCTTGTGCCTCCATTCTTGCTTTGCAGGGTCACTGCTTCGGGGGTTCACTGTTCGCTCCGACTGGGGAGCGGGTGTGGCCGCATCGAGGTATGCTTTCTTGGGCTTGTCTGTCCGACGGGCTGGGAACAGCTCGCGGGGCACAGGGAGTGTACCCCGGACATGAGGTCTGGTAGGGTTTGAGGGTTGAACGATCTTGGGGACATCGATGAAATGAGGTGATTCGGGTCCGACTCGAAGGCTGGAGGAGGTAGCAAATCCACGGACCTGCACCGAGGCAGTCCGGCTGTTGCGGAGGACAGACATGCGGCACAAATGGAGCTGTGGAAATATAGGATCAAAGAAGACCAAGTAGTAAGATAACTGTCGGCTCAACCAACTCAGACACCTCCAATTCGACAAAGTAGCCTTGACGATAACCGGACAATCAGGAGCAACGCGGTCAGTCGAAGAAGCGATTTTCCAGTTGGCCCGTGCACGCTAATTCTTGGCGCCAAAAAAAAAACTTCCTTCGCCGCCTTTTCTTTTCCTTCTTCTTTTCTTTGCACTCTGCCATTCTTTGTGTTTGGACTTGCCTTCGAAACTTTTCTTTTCGTCAGGCACTTTTCTTTTTCATATTCCTACCAAGTACTTCATCATGGGTACAGGAAAGAAAGAGGCCTCTCGTAAAGAGAGGCAGGGGAAGCCTAAGGATGGCATGGGCAATGTCAAAACCAAGGGTGAAAATTTCTACCGGTATGTATATCCTCTCAAAACAAACCCAAAATCAGTACTGACAGTTCTCCCAGCGATGCCAAGAAGATCAAGACCTTGAACATGTTCAAGGATGGCAAGGCTCGTCGTAACGCTCAGGGTGAGATTACCGTGTCGGCCAGTTATCAGTCCAGAGACCTGCCCACAGCTCGCATCGAGCCAAACCGTAAATGGTTTGCGAACTCCCGAGTTATCTCACAAGAGGCTCTTACCTCGTTCCGCGATGCTGTTGCCGAGCGTGCTGCCGACCCCTACCAAGTTCTCCTCAAGACCAACAAGCTCCCCATGAGCTTGATTCGGGACGGTGAGGGAATCAACGGACTCAAGCAGCACGAGGCCAAGATGGCCATCGAGACCTCTCCCTTCAACGATACATTCGGCCCCAAGGCTCAGCGCAAGCGTGTCAAGCTCGGTGTCTCTTCTCTTGAGGATCTTGCCGGCGAGTCCGCTCGCTCGCAGGATAAATACAGTGAGAAAAACGATGAGGGATTCCATGCCGACGGAAGTGCGATTGTCCGTGGTGATGATACTGCCGCCGCCGAGGACCTTGGTCTGCTCACAACCTCTCGCGAGTCTGTCTTCTCCAAGGGACAGAGCAAACGTATCTGGAACGAACTGTACAAGGTCATTGATTCTTCCGATGTCATCATCCACGTTCTGGATTCTCGTGATCCGAACGGTACTCGTTGCAGAAGTGTTGAAAAATACATTCGTGAGGAGGCACCCCACAAGCACTTGATCTTTGTGTTGAACAAGTGTGATCTCATCCCGACCGGTGTTGCTGTAAGTTTTAAGTTTTTTCACCATGTCTCGTCTCTGTTTCTCTCTTTTCTTTTCTTTTTGCTTTTTTGCTTTTCATCCCCCCGTTCCATCGCTAAGTCAAGGCCTTTTCCTGCGACTCACGTCGTGCATGACCTCGGTTGTGCTTTTTCTCAATGGAACTCCGTCTGTTACAGCTTTGGTATATTAACGCTGGCCCGCACCGAACTTCGTTATGAATCTAGGTTGACTTGTTTTCGTCTTGAAAACCTGTCGCAAGGGCCAGACGTGTTTTGTTTTTGAGTTGAGTTCTACTTCTGCCTTTTCGGTGGCTTAGTAGTAGAGCTCTTAGTAACATCCCACACATGCATCTCTCAATGTTCACTCATTGCTGGTAACAGATTGCTAACTATGCATCTCTACCAGGCCGCTTGGGTTCGTCATCTCTCTAAGGATTACCCTACTCTTGCATTCCACGCCAACATCAACAACTCCTTCGGTAAGGGTTCGTTGATTGCTCTGCTCCGCCAGTTCTCTTCCCTTCACTCCGACCGGAAGCAGGTCTCGGTTGGTTTCATTGGCTACCCCAACACGGGCAAGTCTTCTATCATCAACACACTCCGCAAGAAGAAGGTGTGCACTGTCGCTCCCATTCCCGGAGAGACCAAGGTCTGGCAGTACATCACTCTCATGAAGAGAATCTACCTCATTGATTGCCCTGGTATTGTGCCCCCCAGTATGAACGACACTGAGGAGGATATTCTCCTTCGTGGAGTCTGCCGTGTTGAGAACGTCGAGAACCCTGAACAGTACATTCCTGCCGTGCTCCGTCGTGTTCAGCCCCGTCATCTGGAGCGCACATATGGAATCAAGCACCAGGAAGACTACCTCGACTTCCTGGCCCTTCTTGCCCGTCAAGGTGGTCGTCTCCTGAAGGGAGGTGAGGCTGATTTGGACGGTGTCGCCAAGATGGTCATCAACGACTTCCTTCGTGGCAAGATCCCTTGGTACACACCCCCACCTAAGGGTAAGGGCAAGGATGGCGAAGAGATTGAAGATGGTGTTGACGGCCGTGAAGGCCGCCTCGGCGAGATGCCTCGCAAGCGCAAGTTGGATGAAAACAACGAGCCTGCCGAAAAGGAGGAAGCCGAGTCATCCGATTCCCAGTCCGCTGAAGATGAGGAGGCCGATGGTGCCGAAAGTGACAATGACTCTATCGCCAACATCGAGGTCAGTGACGTCGAGAGTGGTGAGGAGGATTGATTCATTCGCCCATGACTTTTTCGGCACTCGTGTGCCACCCCAGCCCATGAAAACAAAAAGGCAATATGCCGCCATGAGGCCAGCCACGCCCAGTCTGGAAACAGACGTTGGCTGGTCACTTAAAAGCCTCGAGCCGAGTTAGCTGCATCAAGCCACCCAGCCATTCGACGCTTAGCCCTGAACCGTGCTTGCCACACGACCAAGCCGCGTCATTACCGTGGCAGGTTCAGTCAAAGAACTGTACCAACATTGGGATCTGGTGTCTCACCACCAACCCTACCTCAGATACCCGATTCACCAAGAATCATCATGAATCAAAATAGTTTTCACAGAAACTTCTCGATGCATTGTTTCTGTACATTTGACCGTAGCCCAGCTTCGGAGGGCCAATTCGTTGTGCTCGCCCTAGGCTCGAATACTCTTGGCCAGAACCAAAGGTATGTTATTAACTCCCTCTTCCATCTCCCTCGCTTTATCTTCACTTCATTTCCCCCGATCACATGATGAGAAAAAGCAATCCGAAATACTATGTGGATCAAACCTTTTATTTTTCCAATTGTTCCTGCTGAGATCACCCTCAATTCTTGCCTCATTCAATCAACAATTTCGATCATCGAACTGACTCGAAACAGTACACCCTTGAGAAAGTCGATAGCAACATGCTCGAGCTTATTCCGCCTGCCCACACAAGAATTTGTCAAGCACCCGGAATCATCACTCAAGATGTCTTTATGTCATTGAATCATTCCATCTTCAATTTCATTTATAAAATGTAAATGCGTAAATGCGTAAATGCGTACGGGCAGGTAGATAAAATGTCAGTATGTGCACTCAATCACACATCGATTGCAAAGATCAATTTCCCACCTTCTCCTTCCAAGGTGCCGGTTTCGCCAGTATAGGCCTCAGCCCATTATAGTTCCGCCCAACAGTCGGAACCATCCTTAAAAGATCAAGCACATGAAGCCCACTTCCAGGATCTCGAATCGTCGGATCAGCCCCAGCAGCCAACAGAATCTCTACCACCTCGTAATTGAATCGTAGACTAGCTATCCACACAGACGTCGCCCCAACACGACCACCAGGCGCATTCACATTGATATTCGGATCCTCGAGTATGGACTTAACCACGGGAACCATCCCAAATGAGCTTGCGTAGTACAAAGGATGCGTGTTGTTGATCGTTGCACGATCCTGCTCCCGTGAAACGGTCTGTCGAAATAGAGTCTGTAGCCATGTGGCATAATTGCCTCGGCCTGGAAGAAACCTTGTCTCGAATAGCTTGTGGACCATGTCTAGATCACCGAATTGACACGCGTCACCGTGTTCGGGCCAGTAGTTTGCTGCGTAGGTCAAGAAGGGATGCTGATCGCGCAGTTTCAGGTGGTTTTGAGTGTTGTACCCATTTGCGAAATTGTCCAGGCACAGGTAGGTCAGGCACCTGTTCATGATCTTGAGGTCTGCGGTCGTGGGATAAAGGCAGAAATAGTTGACGCGGGAGGAGCGAATCCAGTCGGATGTCAGGAAGTCTTTGACAGAAGAGTGAGCGAGAGTCACGCAGCCGTCTTGGTCTTCTGTGATGAGTCCTTGACATATTTGGAGGAGGATATGTGGAGGGACGAGCATCATGTCTTCGTCTAGGACTTTGTCTGCTTCGTCCAGAACGACGATTTCGTTCAGTCGGCTTAGCGTGAGTGGTTTCTTGGCGAAACTTATCCAGAAAAGAGCCTCGCGGGCGATATTCCAATCGGCTGGTGCTATTCGCTCCAGTGTGTTTGCGTAGGTTTCTCGTAGGGTTACTGGGAGACTGCGGAGTGCTTCTCGCATTGCTCGGATGGATCGTTGGGTACTCAGATTATCCAGGGAGAGTTGGACCCAGCGGAAACTAGAGGGCGTTAGAAATCGTGGAGGTCTTGTCACTCAATATCCATGGATACTCACGAGCTATCTGCGTTGCGAAGGAGAGTCTTCTCAATCTCCGATTGGAACTTTGGAGTCAGACTCTTGAGAGTATCGTCGGTTTGGAGGCGCCATCGAATGAAGATATCTATATCCCCGCGCATCTCTCTGCTTATGTTCAACAGCGATCCACCGCGATAAGTTGAGACCAATGAGTTTGTTGTTGTTATGAGCACACGGATATTGGGGCATGAATTCGCAAGCCTGAGGAGAGATTCTTCAATCAGGTCCATATCCTTGCTCTCGTTGACTGCATCCACCAACAGGATGACCTGCGTTTTTTGGGAAGCACATTTCAAGATAGCGGTCTCCAGGATACTGATCTCCACCGGGAAGCGATGGGCTTGGCTTTTCGGGACCTTGTTGTATGTAGACCAGATATCGGTCAATATGGGAGGGTCCACACCAGACAGTTGGGCAACAAGTGACCCAAGCACATTCCTTGCAACCTGAGACGCCTGATCACCGATCGTGCAATAAAAATAAGCAACACATATAGATGGGTCTTGAGAGGACATGGATGTAAGTTTGTCTGCGGTCTGGGCACTAGAAAGAGTCAGTACTAAAGAAACCAAGTCACGATAGAAACTTACAATAGTGTGGTTTTTCCAGTCCCAGCTTCAGCATCAGACATTAGTAGGAAGTCATCAAAGAAGTATCGATCCAGACATACATTTTCCTAAAAGGAATAGGGCCCGATTATCCTCAAGCAAAGGATTTTCCTCTGTCTTGAGGAATTCCATCAAATGGCCAGACAGGAACCAATTACCAGTCTTCATACGATACCGCTTGGAGGCTCGCAAATGAGCGCTCTCTGGACTTACAGGGGCCATCCATTGGAGTAGTTCTCTATTTGCCATCCTATTACGCTCGCGATCTCGAATCCGCAAATCTTCCTTCAGGGCACTCGTCAAATCATTAATCTCTTGCTGGATGCCATGGTCCGCAGAGTGATGGTCTGTCATGAGGACCAAGATCAACCAAGATTTGACTCTCTCCAGTCGAACAAGATGCTCACTGACTTGCTTTTGCGTGAAAGGCCATCTGAGATTCCGTTTGAGATGCTTAAATTTAGTCTCCGGCGGCTCTAGATCAGCGAGCAGGGTTCGGATCAACTCATTTGTCGTGTACAGCACTCTTGACATCACATCCCCGTCAAAGGAAAGCGATTCGGAGCCCTTCTCATCGCAATGAGTCTGCTCTGTTTGTATTGCCAGGTGATCCAATATGCCCTTCAATGCAAATAGCTCTTCGCTTAGCCTCCGTACTTCGGAACTTGCACTCTGCACGGCTTTCGCATATTCAACGAGGCTAGCCAGGACATGACTGACCTCTATCACAAGACCGGTGATAGAGATGGGATCCATTGTGATTGGAACACGCTCCCAGGTTCGTCCCACGATGGTTTTGTTCGAAATCCATCGTGGGATGTGTGCTGTCAGCACGAGTACCCACCGAAGGATTAGCCCCGGAGTTTGTTTCAGCGCTCATCTCGGCCCAATTTGGGCGATCTCTCGATCAATCTGGCGAACGTCATGATGTGATCTTGATTTATCTGAACTTGATATTTCTGGGCATTTTTTTTAGCTTCTTCACCAAAAATTGGAGAAATTTGACGCGAAACAAAACATTAAAGGGCCGAAGTTCACAGGTTAAACTCGACGGTCCCTTCACCGCCCGGTCCATCGTCATCGATCAGCCGCGTCTTCACACTTGAACATGCCCGCCGACATGTCGATGGTCCCTTATAACGGGGGCAATCATGTTGTTCTGTGAGTGATGCGGGTGATATCTCATACAATCTGCTAACCAGTTCATAGGCGGCACAATGACTCGGTGGTGGTCTTGGATCACGACTCTCAGCAGCTCGTTCTCCGCAACACGTCAGATACAGATGGAGGAGATATGGAACTGGCCAACTGCCCACTCTGTCACCGGCCTATGAACGACACTAGTAGGGGACAGCAACGAGGCAATGAGGAGCCAGAAGGCGAATTCGTCAACCCGAACTACTTTCGCATGCTCAACAATAGCCTCCCAAACTCCGCAAGCTCATCGTCTCCCCCGTCCCCACGTCGCCGTCTGGTTCAGCCCGCACTTCCCGGAGGACCCACAAACGAGACACCCCATTCCACCCCGGCACCACAAGGCATCTCATCTGCGGCATTTAGTCCAGATTATTTCAAGAGATTCTTTGTGGAAGAACGGGTGTTAGGAAAAGGCGGGAAAGGTGTGGTGCTATTGGTGAAACACGTGCTGGACAGTGTGTCGCTGGGCCACTACGCTTGTAAGCGTGTGCCCGTGGGCGATGACCACGAATGGCTGGAAAAAGTGCTGGGCGAAGTCCAACTTTTACAGCACCTTTCACACCAAAATCTGGTCTCCTATCGCCATGTTTGGCTGGAGAACGCAAAGATAACCACGTTTGGTCCCAGCGTGCCATGCGCGTTTATTCTGCAACAGTACTGCAATGCCGGTGATTTACACGATTATATATGTGGCGCTGTGCAAACATCGACGACAGCGCAGCAAATGAAGGATCGCCTTCGCCGGAAGTCGAAGGGAGAACCAGAGCCTCGGTCTAATCTGGGTGGACCTCGCAAACTTCAGCTTGATGAGATTTATTCATTCTTCCGAGACATCACTTCGGGGCTACGCTATTTACATGCCAGCGGGTACATCCATCGTGACTTGAAGCCAAACAACTGTCTTCTCCATGAAACCGGTGACGGGATCAGGGTACTTGTCAGCGACTTCGGTGAAGTGCAGCAACAGAATGCCCAACGCAAGTCAACTGGTGCCACCGGGACACTTTCGTACTGCGCACCTGAAGTTTTGAGGCAAGAGTATCCTGATGGGCCCTTCGGGAATTTCACGTTCAAGTCGGATATTTTCTCCCTTGGCATGATCCTCTACTTTCTGTGCTTTGCAGCTCTCCCATATGCCAACGCCGACATCTTTCACGAGGAAAAAGAAGATCTGGACCAGCTTCGTGCTGAGATCACCAGCTGGGCTGGATTCGATCATGCACGAGCTATTCGTCCCGATCTCCCCGAGAAGCTGTACCGATTCCTAGAGCGTTTGCTTTCCGTCGATCCAGCCCGAAGACCATCTGCTGAAGAAGTCCTCAATGGAATTCAAGTCGGCGCAAATGCCAACGACAACTTTCGGTTCCGAAAATCAAGCACGAGTTCAACGAGTCCAGATATGCCAGGTTCTCGGATTCACCCTCTCGACTCACGGCCATCTACAGAACGAACCCTTTCCCCCATTAAAAAGCCCATCCGAAACCCGACATCATTCCGGCGAGACTCAGGGTTCGGGTTCGATTCAAGTCAGTTCCGAAGCACTACTGCACCTGCACCGAACACCGCCGAAGATACCTTGAGCACGAGTCCAGATCGAGACATTGTTATCCGGCACCGGAACTCTACTTCGCCACCTGTCTCTCCTCATCACTTGCATGAAGAGCCACCCTCTCCAGGATTTCAGCCTCAACCTATCCCTCAGCATCATCTTTTACCCCCACCCCCGAGCCGCTTCCCTCTTCTTCACTCTTTTATCTCCGCCACTTCATCATCACCCATGGTACAAACTGCCGTGTTCCTCGCCAAGATTGGGTCGCTTCTGCACCCCTGCTCACCACTGGCAGTGAACTCTTGGATTTTATACCCTCTTCTGCTCTCTGCAGCATTGACTTTTAGAACACGCAACATTCGAGTGCAGTTACTTGCTGCTTTGGTGCATCTGCTAGTGGTCGGGCTGGGCTACCGCCTAGGTGGTCTTTGTGTTTGGCCCAGAGAGCGAGCGCACGATATCTGAACATGCCACTCGCTGTGGACATTATTTATCTATACCTATGATTCATGCCTTTGATACCTCTTAACGATTGATGATCTATTTCCCGGCACTTCTGTTTTTTTGTTTCCCCGGTCACTAACGTCATCTGGCTAGGATGGTATACTGATATCATGGGTGCAGCTCTGAGCGCATCAAGCGCCGAAGCCGAAATCTAGTTCCGCCGAACCCTTCGCTCTCCGCAAGGGATTCTCCTCGTGAGCAGATTTGCGCTTCACTCATTATATGCACGCATTCCGACCTTGAGGGCAAATGGTCTCAAACCCGCTCAATCCCCGCTCATGCATCGTGTCTGGATTTAAATTACATTACTCTCAACATCTAGCTATCAACTCATTGAAGCAAAGCATCTCAGACAAGACTCCAAACCCAATTCATTTCTATCTCCAATCCCACTATGTATCGCAAAGTATGGTGGAGTCCCATGAGATATTCCACTCGTTCATACCACAGCACAACAAAATTCAAGACAAATTATCCAGAGACCAATAGCTCATGGCCTTCGACGAAAAACCCCACGCCGTATGATATCCTTGGCGTGCGAAAAGGCCAACCTTACCACAAAAGGAAATATTACAACCTTGTTAAAGCCTATCACCCAGACCTGAAGGGCTCACCTCAGCTTTCCAGTGAAACGCGAATACACCGATTCCGTCTCATTGTATCCGCCCATGAGATTCTTTCGGATTCTACAAGAAGGGCTGCATACGATATGTACGGGGTTGGTTGGTTGTCGCATCCTACGCCACCTCAAGGTGACTCCATGTCCACATACCGAGGGCCTTTTAGCAGAAAACACCATTTCGAAGAAAGATCAGAGGGGGATTTCGATGCCTGGGAGTTTCTCTCGAAACATAAAGATCTCCTACGGCTTTTGGCGGTGATTTTCACATTTGGTCAAATTTGCCTCTTCCTGGTCACTCTTTCCAAGGCGGAAATTGAATTGAATCGGATAGACAGAGCGTGTCGAGAAATGATATTGCATCGCCAGTTCCGCTCGCTTGATGCACCTACTTTGTTGCAGCTGGAACGGTTCTTGCTTCATAGGGATCCCTCCGGAATGGGACTGTTGCCGGATGAAATGGAGTCATATCGTGCTGTGTCTCCTTTTTGCATGTATTAGAAAACATTGAGTCAATGTAAGGTTCTACCTATTATTAACTTTCAGTCGTTAATCATAGGGTGGCTGCCGAAGGCGAGGAATTACCCGTTAAATCAAGGGGATTCGTGGCCGTTCAAGACAATGATCGCCTGGAATGCAGCATCTCCGAATCTTCGGTGCCCCTTCTTTCGGGTCTCTTGAGAAATTCAATTTCTGTCATCAATCTCTTGGTTTATTTTCTCCAATCAATGTGGCTGTTGCATTCTACAGCTCCACAAGACATTGAAACTGGATGTCTGTGACAGACCCTTAACGCATCGGCCTTTCTCAAGCCCCCAGAAAAAGCCAGAGTGATCATGCACCCGGCCATGGATCATGATGCACACAATGCGAATACCAGTTCCCACTCCATGGAAATGAGAATGCCCTTCGTCTTCTCTACCGACACAAGAATCACCATCTTCTTCCCTAGGTGGATTACTTCATCAATTACCCAGTATATCCTGACACTGGTATTCCTGTTCATGCTGGCAATATTGAACCGCTTCCTCGGAGCTTTCAGATTTCAACTCGAGCAAGCATGGTCAAACCGCGAGTCTCATTTACGCAAAGTTGAAACCGAGGTTTCGGGGAACCGACCTCCGAGATCAAAGCGGAATGCACTCCCTGTTTATACACAGGTTAGTGAGTCTGATGATTCTGTGTCTACGGGAAGAGAGAATTCACGGAGAGAATTTTATCCCTGGAAATCAAGTGGGCCATGGGGTCTTCGTAAAGATGGCACGCGTGCGTTGTTGGAGTTTGGTAGGGCTTTTATTGGATATGTCCTGTGAGTCCTGTGTTAGATGATTATTTTTGAAATTTACTAACAGATTATAGGATGCTGGCTGTGATGAGCTTCAATGTTGGTGTTTTTGCCGCAGTGCTTCTTGGTGTGTTGTGTGGAGAATTGGGCCTTGGGAGATTCAGCCAAGGAATGGCCGGGTGGTAGGATTCATGCTAAAGTGATAGTTGAGCTTAGAATTTGCTGTTCATCATGAGACCAAATGGCTGCTTCCATCGACGTGTTGGAAAAATCGGATTGCGAATAGAATGCAGATACAATCAGCGGCACAAATAGCCTATCCGGTTAACAACAGCTCCCATTTTTAATGACCAAACAAATCCACCGGAAAACAAATCTCAACCCCCGAGGCCTGAAAGAATATCCACTTTCCCATGTTCAGTTCGCTAGTCCATGGATCAAAACTGCCTATTTCCCAACATTATACTTCTTAATGTATCAGTTCACCGGCGCTCTGTCACTTTCATTCAGGCTATCGCGGCGTTCAGAAGGAACCGGCGACTGGATCCGAATTCTGCATAGTGTGGACCCTAGGACACGATCAGACGACCGAAGGAATACATGGGCTTGCTCGTAGTATACCTTCAAGTGGAACCATAATAGCCCAGACTTCACGGCAATTACAGTCCGCTCCGCGAATATGGACACAATTAGCCAGAGGCCGACCCGCTTTGGGCACCCTCTTCATCGGGCGGTCATAGTGTGCACACTTAGAAGACCGGTGGCCTCGGATACATGATTCACTAGGTGGAGGTGAGACAATATCCATGGTAGGTCAAAACGGAAGCTTTACCAAGACCATTTGTCGCCCTGAGAGTCGAAAGGCATTCTAGACTGGGATAACAAAGAAGAGACGGAGCACGAGGGAATGAGGTGAGATCCGCTTTTGGGCCTACTGGCTTGGCCTCTATGAGGCAAACCTGTTTCATCTAAGAGATCTAGGATATAAATGAGATTTTTGCTCAATTTTGCTCAAACTCACGCTGGTACTCCTAGTGCGGTGTCATCTACTCCAGTGCAGTGCCCCTTGCTTTCAAGGATGTCGCGGGTCTTTTGTGAGCAAGTTTCACATTACTCATGTCAGCGAGGCCTTGTGCCAGGAATCGATCAGCGGGGCCTGATGTCCTTGAAAATATGCGATACGGGTCTGTTTGATCTCGAAGGCACAGGGCACGTATGGTAATATTATGACGCACTAGCTACCCGCCTTTGTTCAGGAACACCTGCATGCATATGATGTACTCCCGTAAAGTACCGAATCTAGCATACAAAGCACGCTTGCCCTTCATATCACTCGCTAGGAACCTCCGATGCACGCACAGAGATATTCGATGTCCCAAGGTTCACAATTTATAGGTGATACCCTGTATATGGAATACTTTGATCTAACATTTAGAGCACAGATGATAGTGTAGATCATTGCCATTTATTATGATATTAACAAGTTTCCTTCAAGGTCCTCGTTTGACACCGCCTCAGCAGTGCATCCATCGACTATCAGCAGCGATACTTCCCAGCATGAAAGTTCCAAGCCAGACGCCTGCAAGCACCGAAATAAAGTATCCCACGTTCATCGTCATCACCGCTAACATGCTTTATCCGTAGTCAGCGCTAAAGCTCCAAATACAAAATCGTACAGACTGGATCAGGGTACTCACAGTAAATAGGCCACACCTGCCAGAACCATCTCGAATGTTGCCCTTCCAGCCGCGGGGTTCACCCGCCATGAAGACCACCGGTGACTAACTTCCTGCATGCTCGATCGTAAACCGGAGGGAGGTTGAGGGGGCTTGCCCGCTTCGACGTGTGAATGCATTTCCGGCATATGGTGATGATTGCTGTCTGTCCAGACACGGCCCTCGAGAATTGGTTTCAGGGCCAAAAGTACGCGCATGATGACTGCCAGCGCGATGATGAAAATACAAGTACCGGCGTACTGCCCCTTTGTGTCTGGCGTCCATTCGACAGAGAAGAGAGGTGTTTGGAAAGAGACAAAGAATGTCATTGCCATATCGGCCATGCTCATTGACATATCTGAATGTGACATCGACATTGACGACCCGGTTGATGTAGCCATCGACATGCCTGTTGTTGTGGCTGTGGACATGGACATAGTCATGTCGGACATATCGGACATATCCATATTGGCGATTTGGGGAGGTTCTGACAGCGGGAACCAGAGCCGGGTAAAATGTAGAGATATAGGAAGTTGGGAGATGACAAGAAGAAGAACCCATCTGAGCAAATGCCCAAAACAGGAATAACACGGCCTCTCCCGAAAATCCACATGGGACGATCTCCACCACCCACGCGTCCGAGCAATCGAAGCGATTGGTCGGACCAAAAGATTCAATGGGTCCGCTAATGCGGCTATATCAAAACCTTCTCATTCTTGCTCAGGCTAACTTTGGCGCAGCCAATCAAAACATGCTCGTCTATACAGAAACTCCGAGCAGAAGACCCATAAGCTTGTGTTCCTCGAGGCAATTTGAGCACATGGCGACCAATAGGCTAACCGTCATACCACTCCAATGTTCTCATAGTCTCAACGCTCATTTACTAATCCAACTTATATCTCTGGATGTCCCGATTTGTCTGAAATTGTCCGACTTCACATCTTTCGTGTACCGCCTACAACCGCCAACATGCAGATGTCAGGGGCAATGAAGATGGTTCCATTCCTGGACCAACCCGTGATGTTACACTCAGATCGGGATCCGGGAAAATGCACCATGACACCAGAGCAATGCGCTTACAAGTTCTCGTACTGGGTATTTTGGTATGAAGCAGATCACCGATATGCTCTACCGACAGTTGCCTTCTTCCTCGTGGCAATCATCCTATTCACAATCTCCCGATTGATCTCCAAGGTCACACCCCAGGGATTGAAGCGGAAATCACTATGGTCACGGCTTGTGGCCGGGCTTCGATTTATCTCCTACAAGAGTTGGAATATTTGGGGATGGAACACGCATTCTCTGGGAACTTATATGCTTGCAGCTGCGGGCGCAGTATTTTTCCTAGGTGAGCCAATACTTCCAAAGCAGCTACTGGGGGTTATTACTGACAGGTCTTCATTGCAGCCATGACCCTTGGGCCACATCCTTACTACTGGCCCAATACGAAAGAAATTAGTTATGGCGGCTCACCCCCTATCGCCACTCGTGCTGGATTCATGGCCCTGGCTTGTTTGCCTTTCTTGATGTAAGACAATTCATCCCTGTGGTTTGCTGCTGGGCCCTAAAATTGAGAAACCTTCAGTGTTCTAGGTGCAAAGGCAAACCCGATCACCGCGTTGACAGGAATCTCCCACGAGAAGTTGAATATTTGGCATAACTGGGTGGCCTGGGCTATGTTTGTACTAGCCCTGGTGCATACATTTCCTTTCATCATTGTCCACATTGAGAAAGGTGACTTGGTTGAAACTTGGAACACAGGTGGTGTTTGGGTCACCGGTGTTGTTGCCCTCATAGCTCAGGCTTGGTTAACCTTCATGTCTATCCCCTGGATCAGGTGTGTTGACTTTTCCTTTTTTTCCCCATTCTTTGATATTGTTACATTTCCCAGTATGCCCGGGCTAACAAAATTTTCACAGAAATCGGTACTACGAATTTTTCAAAGCAACCCACCTCTTCATGGCCCTCGCCTTTGTCATCTTCTTCTTCCTCCATTGCGATTTCCGGATGTCCTCCTGGGACTACTTCATCGCCACCGCAGTGATCTACACGATGTGTTTCCTCTACTCACAATGCAAGACCTACATCGAGCATGGATTCAGACACAAAGCCAGCCTAGTCCCAGAGACGAATGATACTTTGAAAGTAACCATCGACACAAAAATGACCTGGGCTCCAGGTCAACACATATTTATTCGCTTTTTGACCTGTGGTGTTCACGCATTCACAGCTCACCCGTTCACTATATGCTCGGTACCCCAAAAGGACAACAAGAACCAACTCGTGTTTTATGTCAAGCACCGCGGCGGGTTGACAGGACGACTCATGAAACTAGCCGAGAAGAACCCTGGGGTCCAAATCCCTGTTATGCTGGACGGACCCTACGGAGGAATTCCAGACAAACATATCGATCAATTCGACAAGAGCCTGATTGTTGGAGGCGGCGCCGGCGCCGGGTTCACTCTCTCCTTGCTTGAAAACTTCATTTATCTTACCAGTTTCGTGGGATACAAAGCCGAGATGAAAGTGGTGGTCGCAACACGCGACCCAGGAATGCGAGCTTGGTTCACGCAAGCAGTGGAGGACATCGCGGCCCGACACTCTCGATCAGGTGTCATTGATGGACTGTCGATTGATATCCATGAAACGCATCATGAGCAGGGCTCAGATACTGCTCTGGATACTCTTGTTCACCATCCTAAATCGGAAAAGGACACTTCTGAGACTGGCGAAGAACGCAGAAGAGCAGAAATGCTGGGAATCCGATTCTTGACTGGTCGTCCCGATTTACCAACGCTGACCCGGGAGTTTGCAAGCCAAAGAGATTCCTCTGTGGCTGTGGTGGTTTGTGGTCCAGCATCCATGAATTATGATGTCAGCGAGGCTGCTGCTACGGCGCAACGAAGAATCCTTGCCCAGGGGGATTGTGCTCGGGAGGTTTGGCTTCATACCGAAAGTTTCTCGTAAGTTTGTTCTATTTTGAGTGGTTTTATAATATACTGACATTCTTCTACTAGATACTGAGCATTCTTACTGTTTCAATGTGTTCTCAAGCTGGGCTCTTCTTTTATGTGAAGAATCATACCCTTACCTGGCGGCGACAGACTTACCAAGCATAATACACATTACCACTATTTAAAAAAAAAAAACAATTCAAATATTCCAGGGATGCCAATACTTTCCCTTGTATTAAGGCGTGACGCTAGATTATTGCCTCTCTACAGACCTCACATCACGCCGTGAAGAGGGGAGCGATTAAGTGTTTTCAACTTCTCTTTCCACTTTTTTTCTATTTTTTTTTCCTTTTCTTTTCGCTTCTTCATTGATTTACATCGTTCCCAGCTGACCTTCATGATAACCACACGATTCCACCGTGGATCCCCCGAACGGCCAAAGTGTGTCAAATTTCACGAAGCACAGCCCATCTTCAACAACTGTCCATCAATTTAACAAGATTTGCACCTGGAGAAAGTACCTTGGAAAGAGTATGTCTTTCGATTCTGACACTCGCCCAATGTACCAGGACTGATCACAATCCGTCTCACATTACCCTTTGAAAATTGATGGTGTGGCCAGGGAGTCATGTGCAAGTACTCCGAGCTATCCGTGTTCTCAAACTGTACACTGAGGTATGCGGTGGCATAACTATGGCAGTGACCAGAGAATGACGCTTCCAGGTCAACACTTGAACAAGAGGTATGGTCTGACAGATATGTCCAGTAGTGGAGCGAGAGGGTCCGGGGCTCATTGCTTGCCCTCCGTCCAATGCTTGTGCCATTGGTCGAGCTTGCAGCCTCTGCTCCTGTCTTGACTTTCCTAGCAGGTCGCGCTCCAACGGGTGATTTGCCAAGCGCGCCCTGCTCGATCAACCATTGATGGGTGACGGATTTGATAGGGGCTGCATTCTCATTTTCGTCGTGAGGGTACACGGCTGATTCGGCAGCCAACTGCATTTGATAATTCGCATCAATGATGCATTGAAAAAGTCCTTGGTCTTCGCCGTCGAAGTCCACGTCTCGGGATGTGGTGGGCACCACCACTGTGGTCCCGCTGTCGACGAAGAGATTGTATTCCACACCAGTGTTGTTGAGACAACCCAAGAAAACATTTGAGACTCGGTTGTCTAGCTCAGCAGGACCGTATATCGTGACGTTGTTGACGCTCTGTGGCGATGCAGTCGCCAACATGCCCATGGATGACCACACTACCAATGCCAGAGCGGAGGAGGTACTCATAATGGAGGGTTGGGAAAAAGTCATCGCAATCTAAAAGATTGAAGTGAGAAACAGAGACGAGTTTGGTTAATGGTTATCATGTTGGCGCTTTCCTCTTCCTTTAAGTAGGCCGGAGTCATTCGGTCGAGACCTGGAAGCCTCTTTACAATCTCACGCATCGACTGATATGCGCCTTTTTCTTGCAACTTGCCGGTACGTTTGCAAAGGGACAGGGAAGCTGTCTTGTTGCATCAATTGATCGATTAAGCTTTTTGGACCTTGATAAATATCTGGTGGACGTCATCATAGCAATTGGCACCCAAAGCAATCAAGCTTTCCTAAGCTTTGTCACACAAATTTGATGCCCAGGTGAGCCATTTGTATGATTGGATACTATGAGCGGCGGCATATACGCCTTGATCCATCGAGATACCCTTGTGAGGCTGTGTATATACAAGTGAAGCCCGCCTAAATCCCCCGGCCCCATTGGCCCCCTACCCGTAAACAAGCCTTTTAGTCCGGCCCCTGCCGGCCCCCGGGGCCCAGAGGGTCCACACCAAACTTCCCCACCACGCAACTTTAGGGCCTATAAGACCTTTTCGTTCGAACTTCGCCAGTTATTTGCCTAGAATGGTACTCCTGAAATCTTCGTCCACACGGAACAGATAGCCACGAAGGAATAAAGTGCCACACAATAGGCAAACGGCTTCTGATATCTGAATTCATTCACAATTCGCCAGAGATTTACTACTCGTACACCCAGGGCTAGCGTAAACCCTAGCCTGTCAGGTCCCGCCAAACAAAAAGTCATTACGCGTACTTAATTAGGCCCCAAAACCCGAGACTACACATCTCGCCACCCATCACGTGCAGAAACATCCGCCAACATTCAGTAGCGCTTTTCCTGTTACCCACTTGACACCAAAGGTGACTCACAAGAAGCCACGAGAATGGTGTCCATGAACCAAAGAAAATTTCTCGAGCAATATGTCTATGCCTTGGAGCATGACTTCATTTCTCCGTCCGGGGAGCCCGCAACCTGGGCTTCGAATCATCCGAAACACTGGGGTCAGGAAAAGGCAAAGATTGCTCTCAACAAAAGTGCCAGCACGCCTACCCTCAGTCATGACAACAAGCTTCTTGCGGTGGGCATAAATGGAGACGTTCACGTCTTTCATGTGGCCACGCAAGATCGTCTGCAAGTTTTGAGCAAACATACAGATGTGATCGAGAAAGTTGAATTTGCTCCGTGTGCAGTCGACCACCTCCAGCGACAAAGCGAGACCCGTTACATACTATTATCGGAGGGTCCTGTTGGTGAGAAGCACATGATTTTCTTGTGGGGGCTAGATGAACATGGGAATCTCGTGGAGAAAAGAGAAGGTAAATCGGCCCTCGACAATCCCGCCGGAGCCGGAGAAGAGATGCTATGTCTTGAAGGCCACCTGGCCCCCATCGGCAATGCCGCTTTCAGCCCCGACAGCAAAACAATTCTTTATGTTACCCATAACGAGACGACCCAAAGCGAGCCTCGCGAAGCTACATCTCTCCCTTGCATCAATGTATGGAACACAGAGAGTCAACATCAGTTGCTTGGACACGAAGATACCATTATGTGGGCTGCTGTAAGCCCACATAATCTGCACATTGCATCTGCTTCATGGGATGGCACCGCACGGATCTGGGATCTAAATTCTGGAACCTGTCTCCATGTTTTAGGCCCCCTCGGTGGACAACTTTGGAGCGGCGTCTTCTCCCCGAACTCAAAGTATCTTGCTATCAGCCAAGGGAATCCAAAAACTTACATCCACATCTACGAGACTGGCACCGGACATCCGGTATCTCACTTCGAGGGCTTTCATCGCGCGGCACATTCTCTAACTTGGAGTCCCGATGGGACCATGATTGCATGTGGTGCCGATAGAGGCGAGCTTTGCATCTGGGATCCGTGCACGGGAAATGAGCGCATGCGATGGCGTCTAGCGTTTGACAATCCCTTGATGAGCCGCCTTGCAATAGTCCGAAAGGTGCAATTCGTGGACGGTGGCAGGAAGCTGATCTTTCAGATCAACGAAGGAACGGTCGAGTTGTACGATTTCGAAAGCAACACCAAGAAGCAGTTTACGAGGCGTGTGGAGGACCATATCGATAAATTTCCTCCTTCGGAAATGGTTTGCTCTGGGGACTCAAGACTGCTTGTTGTTCCTGATGCAGACGGAGTCTTGAGACTGTGGGATCTCTAGCCAGGCCTCTGTTTGATGTTGTTGGAAGCCTTTAATATCGATAGAATACATGTCATGCCTATCTCGGGGACGGACAGAGTTTTCGAAATTAGGGGTGATATACAATTTAAACTATAGACCCAGCGTGATTTTTACAATCGGGCCGTACTTAAGTATGGGGCATCCGGAGCATACGAATGTGGGGGCATAGTATGGGGGAAAACCAACTTCAACTTAGAGCATCGTTCCATACTTAAGTGCTGGCTTGCTTTCACATTCAAGTGTTCCCTCTCCGCCGTAATACTTAGCCAATTTTGGTTCTTCTTGTGCAACTCGGTCCTAACGAAGTTAAATCAGAAATCAGACCAACCGTCGAACTCCTTAGCCACACGAGAGTGGCGCTCGAGCGTATTTGACTGGCTGCGGTATAAATAGCCAGCCTGCGGGTGCCTTGCTACCTGAAAAATTTGGCAACCCTGCATCTCTCCCTCCATCTCTCCCTCCATCTCTCCCTCCATCTCTCCCTCCATCTCTCCCTCCATCTCTCCCTCCATCTCTCCCTCCCATGATGTATATATATCTAAAGCCCCCCGCCTTTTTCTCCCAGCCAAAAAAAATATTCTTCGCAACTTTCATTCGCGATGTCATTCGGCCTATCCATCGGTGATATAATGCTTTGCAGTCAAATAGCCCATCGACTCTTTGTCGCGGCAACATCAGGCCGAAAAGATGCACCTCGCAAGCTCAGAGAGTTTGAGCACATCCTTTTTGGTTTGAATTTCTCTTTAGATCATCTACAAGAAGCATGCAATGCTGTACTGTCAAGGCCAAACACCGATGCTAGCAGACTTCATACTCAATTAAGGATCATGCTACTCTCCTGCCGCCAAACATTGGAAGAGCTCGAAAGTGCAACAGCCCCATACCGAGAGGCAGTCGATGATCCTATATCAACATCGATAGACCCCAGCAATCTCAGAAAGTCCACACACGGGATCATCACCCATGTCAAATTTCAATGGCGCAGATTCCTATGGGACTTCCAAGGGGAGTCATTGAGTCAGTATCGATACAGACTTCAGTCTCATACTGATTCAATCAATCTTATATTGGGATCGCTGATATTGTATGTCCTCCCCATGTTTCTTGCTTTCATTCGTTTGACTCCAATACTAATCCATGATTACGGGTGAAGGTCAGCAACTGATCGCATCGAAGAGAATGGACGGCACCGGAGTGAGAGGATGGAGGGAATGCTGCGTCAAGCATCACATTTCAACAGTGCATTGTTTCATCTGATACAGGGCAGTCATCATCCCCCCAAACCTGGTCGCTCATCGACACTTCCTGATATGTCATATTCCACTGTATCGCAATCGGGCTTTGTCCCGCCCCTGTATGAGAGAGTGTAAAGTGAATTATGACCGAGATCCATTTATCAAGATCGAAATATTAAGTTGTCATGCATTCTCGTCATTATCATCAAAGGCGAAATGGGAAAGGACTGCAGTTTTCTCCACCTCAGTGCTTGAATGTTCCATCAAGCCATCTTTAATGCCCTGGATGATAGCCCTGCCCCGTTCAAGCTCATCATCATCTGAGACCCAACCTTGAGCATCAGTTCCAATTAATTCTTTCATTTCATTCAATTTCTGTAGCCTCTCTTGTTCTTCGAAATAATACTTTGAACATTTCTACATTTCTTTGAAAACTGAACTGAAAACTGAACTGAAAACTGAACTGAAAACTCGACAGACTTCATTTGTTTTCTGTCCAGTGACATAGATCAACTCTTGAGAACTTGTGATATAAGATACTTATGGATCGCAATTAATCTCTAAAAAGACTTGTTGTCGATACTATTATTTGCGCAATTTGACTAACAACGATATTGTTCGAAATTGAAACGAAACACTGTAAATTGTTAAGATCACAACGATAGTAAAGACTTTCATTTGCTGAGAATCGTATACTCATAGATTTTCTCTTCAAATCGACAATTTATTTCATTCTTCTAATCCGAATTCTGATTGCGGGGCGAAGCGAAGCAATTATTTCACAGTAACCCCTGATCACGTGACGTGGGTATGTATTGGGTCCCTACTTACAGGGAAAACAGCTTTGGAAAAGTAGCTCTGTAAGAAGTGGCAGAATGATGCTGTTGCCTCGCTATTCCCGTTTCGGCCACAATTCACGTTCTGGTCAATCATATGCCCAAAAATATAGAGAGAGAAAGAGATAAGGAAAGAAAAAGAAGGTGCACTAAGCGCTACGCTCTGCAAATTCTATCTGGGGACCAAAGACCCCATGATCCCTAGTAATCAAAAGAGAGGAGGGAGGGGAGAGAAATAAAAAAAAAGGGTGGGAAGGCTGGATCGAACTCCCCCCCTCTGTTTACCCAGGTAATCCTGACAGAGGGGAGCTTGCGAGTACGCGGTATTTAAATCCTGAACTCCTTAACCCACTGAGCTACCGGAGTAGCTCACAGAAAATAAGGAACTTTTGTATCTGATATAGACCTCTGTACTTCCTAATCAGGAAGGTGGTCCCACCATCGTTATCACGTGACATAGAGCCTCACTTCGAGTGGCTGCCTGAGAAGTCAGGTTGCAACTTGGCATCGCCTGAAGAGGAAATTGATACTGGGGTGTAGGACAGATCATGTACCAAATGATGACCAGAGGAGATGAAAGACAGTTCCGAATCCATAGTTTACAAGGTTGCATGGGGCTGAGTGGTCCAACCGTATGCGTCCTCTACTTAAGTACACACTTTTCGTCCTAGGCCTGGGAAGATTGAAACAAACAAAGCATGATTCTACACGAAATACATGTGATGGAATGTCGAGTGAGAAAAAAATAAACCACATCTCCATATGTCCGAAACCCACATCAAACCGGATCAAGAAGAGTAAGCTCGTAGGTACAATGAACCCCCGGAGGAGAACGAGCACAATACAAACAAATCCGCAAGAAGACAGCAAGACGGAGAGACGAAGGTGATGCAGCCAGAGAAGCCCTCATGTTAATCTTGGACTTCAGTTCATCTGGTGATACCATAGGAAAGGTATGCACCTTGTCGTATTCCCGCAGATTTGCATCCACAGGAAGCTGAACTCCGGTTGGTCGGGGAGAAAGGAGAAGAGGAGAGGAAAAGGGGGAGGGGGGAGGTTTTATACAGGTCTACAAAGACAAACAGGACAAACGCTTTCGGATCATTTGTACAAACGCAAATCTATATGCAAGTAGCTGATCCACGCCAATGTAGTTTATTTTAATTCCTCATCCGAGTCGAGAAGCCTTGAACTTGCTCACTCGCTTTGGTGGCTCCTCTGGGTCAGGGGGAAGAACTTGGGGTTCTTCTTCTTTTTGGCCCGGATTCATGCGTTGTTGCATACGGAAGAATTCCGACGCAATCTGCTTCTGATGGAACTCTTCGTCGTAATGATCTAATTCAGGAGCCTTTGCGGTACCTGATCGGATCTTTCTTTCAAGCACATTCTCGGCGAGAGTACGGTCTTGAGGCGGCTGCGGTGTCACGGGCTTCTCAACGATGTCCGAGATCGGGGCCGAGAAGGGCTTTGGTTCTTGTGGTGTCGCAGGGAAGAGAGCAGGTGGTGCCGCGGATGGAGTGCTGTTTGCTTGTTTGCGAAGACGAGACTCGGTGATTTGGGAGGGGTTCGCAAATGTGGCTCCGGTGGTCACGGGTTCACTGGCAGAGGTATTGGCCCGGGCCGCCTTGAACCGCGAGGTCTTCTTAGGGACGGAAGGAGCAGTCGACGATTCTGGGTCTTGAGATCGGCTTGAGCGCTCGACAACGGCATCGGCGAGCACCGGGGGCTCATCTTGTGGAGGGGTGATCTTCTCAGCAGGGGCCGGGGGCGCCTGGGCTGGTGCGATATCAAGATTCTCAGCGAAGGCAACACGCTTCTTCGGCTTCTTCTCCTTGACGGATGGCTCAGACGAAACCTCGGCAGGTGCCTCGATCTCTTGCTGCACCTCCTCGGGGAAGGTCTCCGTGTCTTTGCCCATGTTCATCAGACCTCTGGCGTTTAGCCTAGCTTCCAGTTCAATCATCTCTTTATGATAGTCCGCCGGTAGACGCGTGCGAGATCTGCCATGTTCATCTTCATCTTCCTCGTAATCATCATCATAATCGTATTCTTCATCAAATGAAATGTCGCTTCCGGATTCATCCATTTCCAGTTCTGCAACAATAGCGCCAACCTCATTGATTCCATACTCGAGCATTTCGCGGCGAAGTTTGGCTTCTTCGAGAGATTCATCAACATCAGTGACAGGCGGGACCTTGCGATCTTCATCAGTCACCAAAGACTGGGGCTGAATAACGTTCACCCCGTTCACGGGCACATTATCTGGCTGCGAAACTGCGGTTTGTTCGCTTGAAGTCTGCTGCGTTTCCGGCGCCTTTGAGTTGCTAGGCGCTCCAGCCTCAGCCGCCTCTTTGGGCTCGGGGGCAACTGGCTTTTCCTGCGCATCGGTTTCTGTTTCCGAGATATCCTTGACACCAGCCTTCTCCAGCATTTGAAGCAACTCCGATGCCTGGTTACCAGGAGCATTGACAGAGCTCGAGACAACATTTCCATCCTCATCAAGCTCCTCCATAATCTCCTGCATTGGGAAATCTGCTGCGGGTTGTGCCGCAGGCACATCGCTCATATACACGTCCCGCTCATCTTGGGCTTTGCGCAGCCTCTTTTCCATAGTCGAAACATTTTGCTTGACATAATCGATTCTTCGACCGAGAAGATCAACCACCTGGCCGCGAGATCGTGTCACGCCTTGCGCCCCAAGTATCGTGTGCATTTCCTTCTCGTCCACCAGTGTGCCGCCAAATTCAGAGGCCACGGCGAGGAAGTCTTCGGTGGAGGCGTCATCGTCGAGATTGCTGATTTCTTCGCGGACACCATCGTACTCGGCTTCCCATGTCCGCCAGTGGTAGAGTGATTTCTCGAGTTGGAGGATGTTTTCTTCGAGAGCAAGGCGTTGCTCCTCGAGAGCGTCGAGGTTATGATTGGGAACCCCCATACTTAGAATCGTGAGTGAGTAGTGGCAGCCTCACCCTGACAGTGCGAGTGAAATGGAGAGAAAGAAGAGCGCGGGACCGTCGGCGGAGAAAAAAAAGTCGCAGAGGCGCGCACATGGTCCGTGCGTGGAACTGCTTATCGTCAACTCCGAAGCTCATCTCCCTCTCCAACAGCACTCTATACTCTCACTATGGCTGCAAATGCGGTGTCCCGTCGGGATGAAGACGGTAAGATCTCTCATCTCACTCAGAAGAAGCTAGACTAATTATATACTGTTCCAGAGGTTTGCCCCGTCTGCAAGTCCTCGCGATATCTCAACCCGGACATGCGGTTCTTGATCAACCCGGAATGCTACCATAAGATGTGCGAATCATGCGTGGACCGGATCTTCTCCTCTGGTCCAGCCAACTGCCCAGTAGCCGGCTGTCGAAAGACGCTGCGCAAGAACCGTTTCCGCACACAGACCTTCGAAGACATCAATGTGGAACGCGAAGTAGATATCCGTCGGCGCGTGATGCAAATGTATGTCTCTACCTCACTATCAAAGAAAAACCAAGCTAACAGACCAAAAGTCTTAACCGCCGCGAAGAAGAGTTCGACACAAAACGCAACTACGACGACTTCCTCGAACAAAGAGAAGAAATAATTGCAAATCTAGTCAGCCGCATCGACGTCTCCAAAACAGAGGCACAACTCCAGAAATACGCCTCAGAGAACATGGCATCTATCCGCGCAAACCAAACACTCGAACAAGAAGAAGCAACCTCCTTCCAAGCCCGTATAAACCTCGAACAAGAACAAGCCCGAATCCGCCGACAGGCCGCACGCCAAGAATACGAGATCGAGCGCCGCGAAGTACAAGCCGGGCGCGAAGATTTCCTCACCCGACTTGCCTCAGGCACATCAACAGATGCAGCAGCAATTGCACGCGAAGGCCACAAGGTCCTGCTAAAGAAGTCCTCTGCGCGGCGCAGTGAAGAAGACCGAATTCGACAGAAGCAAGCTGCGCTACGCTCTGAGCCCACGCGTGCTGCGGGTGTGTCGTCTGGTGCGGATACGGGTCTTGTTAAGGGTCTGCGGAAGATCAAGACGCCTGAGCCGGAGAAGCCCTATGATCCGTTCATGGGCTATGTGCCTGAGAAGAGAGACTACTACTCTTTGCAGGACTCTTATCCTTCGCAGTTCTTGGATAATTATCGCAATAATATCAGTGTGCTGGCTGGTGGGTATGATTTGCGGGAGTATTACTCTCGTACGCTGCTTGAGGCTTTTGCGGGGTTGAGTTGCTTTGTTGATGAGGAGGTCTCGCAGCGTGATGCTGCTCGTGTGTCGGCGCCGGTGGCGACTGAGGGTGCTGCTATTGCTGCGGGTCAGAGTGGCGAGGGTTCCGCGTGATGTTATACATATGACCTGGGGTAGGTCAATGGCACGCATCTACATCTGCATCTACGGATGGGGTTTTGTTTCTATAATTCATAGCGATGGCGTTCTTCCGAAATGTGAAACGGGCTTTCTGACAGCAAAATGGACGTGTGGTAGTCCTGATAATTTCTGATGTACGTACACAAAAGCAAGATGATTCAATGCAAGGCCACACTACGGCCACAATAACATTTGAGTATCGCTATCCAACAATTCATTATTGAATCCAGTAATGATAACACAGATTAAACCGGACTCCAATGTTCAACGCCAAGTAACACCAGGGTGATCAAAATAATAACAATCGCAATGACATGCTATGCGATGCACAAATCAATGTCCAAGAGAAAGGTGGCCAGTCATCTCGCCAGTGCTTTCAATGCCTTCCCAGGGCAAATCCTCTTCATCGTCCAAGTCAATCTGGCCACGAGAGGACTTGTCAGTGGTAGCGGTGACATCGACGTGGCCAACATCGATTCCAATAGATTCCAAAGTCATCTCCATTTCTTGCTCAGTCATCTCATGGCCATCCTGCTTCTGGCCTTCGACGACATCATACAAAGAATAGATTTGATCGGATTTCATGTCAATGTCCTTGTATAGCTTGTCGATCTTTTCTTGCAAGGTCTTGCGGGGACGCTTGCCAAGAGACACATCGATCTTGTTGTAGGCTGCTTGGTAGGTAGCAAGCTGCATCTTGAGGTGAGAGAGTTCGTCCTCGAGGGCCTTGAGAACAGTCGCAAGTGCGACAGCAGGGGGTTGCGAGGGGCGCATAGTGGGCTCTTCATTGTAGACTGATGGCTTGGGCATACGTTCAGAGACAGGAACTGGCTTGGGTACCTGTACTGCCTCATGGTTACAATCCTTGGAGTGACCCTTGCAAACTGTGCAGTTATTTCCACTGTGCTGAGCAATACCGTCCAAGGCCTTTTGTGACTCCTGGGGTAGCTTGGACGGGTCACTCGCGACCAGATCCACGTGGTGGAGAGTGATGTCAGGAAGGATGAAAGCAGATGTCATTTCGGGGACATTTCGCTGCTTCTTGCGTTGGGTGGGGGTTAGCAATGAGTGGTCTGAGTGGCGTCGGGTGCGCTCTGGAATTGGGACTGAGAGGTTGCTGTCTCCCTCTGCATTTGCGTTTGAAGCCGCAGTGGTATCACCAAGGGCTGACGCTGGGCGAGGAATCTCCGGTTTGCTTTCACGGAGGGAGGATTTGCGTGGGGTGGGGTTCTTGAGGATGCTCTGTCGGGTTGTGTTGATAGTCTCAGTAGGATTGGCCTCCTTGGGGTTGCTAGAGCGTCGCTGCTTTCGCACCAACCTCTCCTCTTCCAATGTCTTGCGCAGACGAGCAATTTCATTCTCGTCAATCATGCTCAACAAGGTGAGTTCGTCTGTTTCAGAAGCCTTGGTTTGATGAGACACTTCAGGCTCGGTAGTGTCCTCGAGCACCACTCGTTTCACACGCTGCTTGCTGGTGTTTGGTTGCTTGCGAGTGCTCTTGGGTTCAGAAGAGCGAGACGTGTGAGCCTTTGGCTTGGATGCAGATGCTTTTCTGGAGACCTCAATGGAGAAAAGAGCATCATCGGCACGTTCTTTCTCCAGGCGAGTGATCTCCCGGTCGACCTGATTGGACACCTTCGCACGAGAGTCATCATGGCGCTTCGTCTTGGTGTGAGAGCGGGCACTCTTCGATGTAAGGTCTCTGGTGCTTCGGCTCATATCTCCGCTGGGCTCGGTGTAAACCTGGCTTTCATCGGCATCGGAGCTAGCTTCAGATTCGACGGTCGTCTGTTCACGGGATCTCCGTTTCGACAATCGGCTGATTTCAGACTTGAGGTCTGCATTTTCAACTCTAAGCTCTTCATTCTCCACCTTAAGTTCTCGACCTTCCAAATAGGCAGCGCCAAGTTGGGTGATCGCGGATTCTCTGTCATGATGCAAGCGCTTGATGGCAGACTCCTGGACCTGGGCCTTTCGATCGGCAATATCCAACTGATTTTGCAAATCCAAATTTGCGGCTTCCAACTTCTGGTTCTCCGCAGCCAATCGCTTTGATCCCTTCTTATACTCATTGTCTTCCAAGTCATATTTGGCTGATTGGCGGGGCTTGCTCGACTTCAGAGCGGCGTTCTCCTGGCGGTAACCATCCATACGCTTCTCTGCGTCAGACTTAAACATTTCCAATTCAGCCACCTTGTCCTGAAGCAATCTCAGGTGAACAAAGAGGGCCTTTTCATCCTCGGGGACGGGGACCGCATCCAACGGCATATGTTCATGGGGGTGGGATACATCCGTGTGGTCATGGAGCGGCGAGACGAATCGCGTAGAGCGCATCTTGCCCTGGCGAGAGTAAACAGGGGTGCCATCTTCATACACACCAGAAACAAGTTCGGAAATATTAGGGAGGTCGGGGAGGAGGAATGATTGATGTGTCATGGTATCGCCAATAGTGTTGTTCGCATTGGCATTGTTTTTGCGGGAAGTGCCAGAGTTAGACGTTGATTTCCGTACTTCTTTGGCGTATGCCTCGCGCGAAGCGCGTTCAACGGCGTCGGCGATTTCTTGTGAGGTGTTGGCGTTTCCAAAACGTGTGGAGCGCGTCTTCGTAGTAATAGGGGCAGGTCGTTCATCTTCCAAAAATGAACCCTCGTAGCTGTCCCGGACTTTGGCGTGCATGTCTGAAAATGTGCGACGCTGGTCCCGTTGGGTCTTGGCTACCTGGGGGCTCATAGTCTCTTTCTGAGCTTGAGTGGCTCGCCGGACCTGAGCGTTCTTTCGTAGATTTTCGCTTGCTGCGCGACGTGCCGGACGCGTTGTTGTGGCTTTTTGTGGTGTTGGGTATTCAACCCGTATGGCAGGTGAAGAGGAGCGTACACTATTTTCGAAGCTCATCATGGAGTTTCGCGAGTCGTCGCGAGGTTGATCCACACCACGTCCCACCTCAACAGACATTTCGAGATCGCTTTGTGTCAGGTCGTCCTCCATTTCCGGTTGTTCTTCCTCTTCTGAGGTCTGTACTTGGGAGAAATCAGGGAAGGCACGGTCGAGAGTGGAAGTGTTGATCTCGTAGTCAGGGTCCTCGTCCACACGACGCGTCGATGTGCCCATTAATTCGTCATCCAAGTTTGTAAGTGAAAATGAATCATCATTATATGCAGAATGTCTGTTCATAGGCATATTGGGGGAGTTGTGAGGTTGAACGTTGGAGTGACGGGGAGGCTGGTTTGTTTTGGAGGAAAGTCGGAATGTTTGGGTCGCGTCTCGGCAACCCCGGGAACGCTGATTGGTCAATCCATTGAAGTACATCGTGTTTATTTTGTTCGCAATTGACTGCAACAGTTGTGATGCTGCTCTTTTTAGTATGGAATACATGAAGTGACTGTTGTTTCTTTCTTTTGTCTCTTGGTGGATATTCAAATGGAGGAGAATGTTGGGCAAATTAGGCAAGAGTGGGAAAGTTGATTCGTACTTAAGTACTTGAATATACTTCGCAATCCGATGAGCATTATATACATCGAGGACATTAGTAGCATACACAAAAGCTGATCAGAGTGTGCATTTTCTAACTCTAGAACAATTTACTTCTTCACCAGATTTCGAGCCAATTGACAGATCTCTTTCCTTGCCTTTTCTGGGTTGCCACGGAGATCCTTCAGTGCGCCTGTACGTTTTTCCAACGAGGACCAAATCTCAACATACTTCTTGTTTTGTCCTTGATCAGCACCAAGCTGTGTGAAGGCGTACTTCATGCCCTCAACCTCTTGCACAGTCTTGAGATCATGGTTTTCTAATCCATCAAGCCTTCCAACGTGCCCTTGGGGGTCCTGGTTCTCCAACGAATACGCAATTTCAATCTTGATAAAACAGATCACCAGAGCAGCAAGTCCGGCCGCTAGAGCGGTTGAGATCGACGAGCCTGTTTCACCTTGGTCATCAACGCCCTTCAGTGTAATATCTCGACTTTTCGCCCGGACAACATCCACGCCAGGGAAAATATAGTCAACTTGGCCAGGAAAAACCCAACCGGAAGGGTTTCCGTCAGCTTGGGCAGCACCAATCCGAAAGAACTTGTCCGGTCCGTGTGCTACTGGGTAAGTTTTGTCATGAAATTGACCTTTGTCCGGGGATGAGCAGAACATTAAAATCCCCGCCTCGGTAGCTTTCGACAGAGCTGCATCAAAAGCTCTCTTGGTATTATTGTCATCGGGTTGGTTGACTGTCCACGACATGGAAATGATATTCACTTTCTGGTCAATTGCCGCCTCAATGGCCTGCAGCCTGAATGTTAGTGGACTACTTTCGGAGAGCTGACACTGGGATAAATTTACCTCTATTGCGGATTCAGGCTGGATTCGCACAGGCCCGCCTTGTAGATCGTCGGTGGTATTCAACTTGATCGGGTAGATCTTGGCCATGGGACAGACGCGCAAAATCATATGTGCCATGGCAGTCCCATGGCCTGTATCTGACACGTACCACTGCTTCTCTCGAAAGTTGCTCGAGTGGTATCCAAAAGTCTTCCCAGATATGATTCTACCCCCGAAAGACTTTTCATCCATGTTCACACCGTCATCTATTAATGCCACCTTGACCTCATCGTCTCCATGCCTTTTGTCCTTAATGCGAATCAGGAAGTTGTTGAACTCCGAAGCAAATTCATCGATGGTGTCCAGCCACTTGTGCGCCGAGCCATCCAACGGTTTGTTTGTTGCGCACAATGTTCCCGAATGAGAGTTTTGCCCAAGCCTTTGACTTCCTGTAATAGAGGAAACCTCGATTGATCGAACCTTGGATTTGCCCTCATCTGTAGAACTCTCAGATAGCACGCTACCAAGACGTGTTCGGAAGTTCTCAACTTGTCGATTAACTCGGTCAGAAACCTATCTTTCATCAGAAAATTCTCTCGCAAAAGGGATTCAAGGGATCGGGTCTTAGTATTCACCTCGTCGTAGTCTAGTGTGATCTTTTGCAGATCCTTTAGTCGAGGCAGACCATCACGCTCACTCCATGCTCGTAAGATTGCGTTGTTTCCACCCCAGCGTAGTTGTATTTCCCGAACACGAGGGCATGCAGTGCAAAGAATTTCGGGATCGAGGTCAGCCTTAGACCAATTCAAAACATCAATATCAAAAAGTGAAAGACATTTTTCAATAATATCGTCAGAGTGGGGGTTCTCGAAGTCGTCCACAACAAGCTTGATGATCTGTTTAACCCCCTTTTCTGTCGACAGCCAGGCGAAAAAGAAGAGAAAGTCATTGCGCCCAATCGTGTTGGATTTGTAGAGTTCCTCATATGATCTGAAAAACCCACATGGTGGTAAGATCTCTTTATCCTTTTTGAGTGTGATTGCCGGGAAGACTACATATTGTAGGATGCTATCGAACTTGGTCTGCTTAAAATTGTTGAAAAAGGTCACTGGATTTACGTCCTTTGTGACAAGACCTTCGTAGTTAAAGGAGAGCTGAGGACCTATATCGATAGAAGCTAGTATCAGCCAAAGAAACCACAGCCCAGTGGAAAGAGCTGCCTACCATCGCCTTTCGTCCGGTATAGGAACTTCTTGGCCTGATCAATGGTTCTAGTCCGCAGGCAGTGGAGCTTCAGCTCATTGCAGATCTCTTCAGACCATTTTTTGAGATCCTCCTCTTTAGCTTTCTGGTCCACAACTGATCTCTCAGATGCCCTTGCTTTGCTCATGTTCGATTTGGAGGTAGTAGATTGCTGGGCTCCTGTTTCTGACAGTTTTTCTCTTAGACCTTTTGTTTCTTTGATTGAGGCGCACCCATCTTGGGTCAAGGTATCACGCTTGACTGATGCTTTGTGGTTCATGGCCAGCGCATTGGGTCTGAATTTCGGATCTTCGTTGCCTCTGCCCTGCTGGCCAATCTCCGTCACCTGTTTCAAGGGAGAAGATTTTGGTTCCTCCGACGGCTTGACTGGATTTTTTTTGCTATTGCTCGTGGGCTCGCTTTGCTTGAAAAAGTAATCATCGTGTGTCTTTTTGTGGTACTCAAAGACAGACAGACTCTCCTTTCCGGGGTTGAGCCTCAAGTCAAATGCATAATTCCTTCTATCAATCTCCCTAGTATCTGTGCTCCGCTTGCGTTCGGACTTTTTGATCATTTTGCGGATGATATCGAGCATCTTGGCATTGGAGTTCTCAAACTTGACTGCTCTATGCAATGGTGTCGCTTTAGCATTATCCCTTGCGTTGATTGCGCTGGGCGTTGCGAAATTGACCAAGCGTTCCAAGACCCCCGTGTTTAGAGGGTTCATTTGCGCCGCGCGATGTAGACAGTTCTCGTTGAGAGACCCGCAACGATCATCGATCGCCAAAGAAATTTGTTTTTGCACATCTTGGGACATCTTGTTTTGTTGCTTAAGCAAGCCTATCAGAAGTAGTTGGGCGCGGTTGGGGTTCATGTTTGCGAGCGCATAGTATAAGGGCGTCTGCTCATCGCCGTTGCGTACTCTCAATAAATTTGGGTATTTGTCGGCAAAATGGCGAATGGCTTTCCCGATGCGGTCTTTTTGGTCGTTGTTTTCGTTGTACGTCTCTTTCAACAGAAAGTGCAGAATGCATTCTTTGGTTGTCTCCGATTGTTCCTGGGAAATTTCGACCAACTCGGTGTTATGCTCGAGATACTCGTCCAAGGGTTCCGCGTCGCCTCTCTTGATTGTGGCTACAAGTTTCTCCAAGCCCTCGTGGATCTGGATCTCCTTGGAGTTATCCTTGTCTCCGATTTCCTCGTCATCTTGATCGCTCAAGTTATCGTTATCGTAGTCCAAAAGATCTTCATCGCTCTGGTTGCCTGCATCTTCACCCATGGTATCTGAGCGTTTGATGCCCTCGTACTCATGCATGATGCTTGAGGCACAGAGACCGTTTGTGGTAGGATTGACGCGCCTTCCTGAAATTGGGCGCTCTTTTCGTAAATTGGAAACAAGGTCAGGGTAGTTCAGTCGCAAACTGGACTGTACGTATGTCAAAAGGATCTCAACAATAGCTCCCCGTTCTTAATCAGGTGATCGAGTTGTATGAATGCTCCCCAGGAGAGGTCGCTGGGTGATCAGTGACTTGGCGTGAGACGAGACTGAAAAGAAGCAACAAAGGATCTTGAAGAAACAAAAGAAAGGGAGGAAAGAATGACTCCAATGTAGGTCAGACTTCAAGCACATTTTAAAGTTCTTCACAAATGCTTCTTTCAAATCTAATTTTGATCAACGAATGATTATGCAAGGCGTGCCACCTTAGCGCTGTAAGCAATAAGTTCTCTCGCAGGACCAGTATAATCCACCTAGAAACCAGCTTTTAGGTACATAATGAAGTACTTTTGTAATAGTGTACAAACTAATATACTGTATTCACTCCGTTCATGTGACAAGTGACAAACAATAGGCTACAGGGCTGCATTCCATGCATCTAACATAGCCTGTAGCAATCAGAGGCAAACTCTCCTCGAGAACCCCGAGACAATTACTGATGAATAAATCGAACATGAGGCTGATTGTACGAGTATTTATGCAGTGTGACTGTTACCCTAGAATCAGGTGGAAGTTTTGACCGCATCTCCCCGAACGGTGGTAAAAGTCACATCCTCGACAAGACCCAGGTCAAAGGACTCCAAGTTCTCTGTATCATACTCCATCAGCTTATTTGTGGGTTTGAAAGAGGGCTCAAAAAGGACTGGGTCATCCTTTGGTTTACCCCCCAGCCATCGTCCAACGCGACTCTTGAAATCAACTTCTGACTCAATTTCCACCACGCATTTGAATTGCTCCCGGTTCGCTCGCTTGAGCAGAATCCCTGTTCTCAGCCGCACCGGGACGCCTGTTTCCAGGGTATCATTTTCGCGTAGTGTCCACTCCGCTGCATTGGCAGGGTCATAATCCACATCAATCAGATTGATAGACCCGCTTACGTGCGTGGCATCGGAGACCTGGCGACTGAGTGTTTTCTGATAAGTCTTGTGAAGTGAGAGGTTCGCACCAAGCACAGTAGCGCCCGCAGTCCCCTCAATCCCGCTCATGATAGTTTCCGTCTGTTCCGACGGGACCAGGCTATAGTTGTTGTTCAACGAGATATCCACCACCTCGGGTGGATCATCGTCCTCTGTAGCCCCGAAGAAGATGACAGTGATTCTGGCCCACTTTATCCGGCGTCCAGTTCTTCTTGAGTCGAAGCGAAAGGCCAGGACAATCAGCGATGCGTAGTATTCCTCATCTGAAGCCCATTTCCCGTGGATGATGTCCTCTTGAGTGCACTTGACTGTGACTGATCCAAGCTCCTGATGGATTGTAGAACGCTGGAAAGGTTGTGCTCGGGGGTTCTTGATGTGAAAGCCTCCTTCACCTTCATCGGGCACGAGTGAGATCTCGAATGAATCCAGGGGATCCCTCGCAGCCATGTCTGCTTTTTTCCAAAACTGCGTGGGCTCTCTTGCCAGTTTATTTTGTCTCTTTTCTCTTCTTTAGAATGAATTTGCTTTTTATGCTCAGTTTTTGTACCCAATCAATAGTCGGGGCTCTCATGTCTTTTTCTGCTGCCTATTTGTGCTACAGTTATATGAAAGTAAACTCAGGCCTAGGCGCCACTCACTGTATCAGTGATGTGACCAGAATGACTGCATTGTATGACACAGGTAAGATTCCTTAGTTTCTGGGAGTTTCCCCTCCTTCATGTCATACGCAGTTTCTGCTTTGTAGAATTTCGTGAAGACAATAAATGGACAGCAGCATTCACCTGGGATGCCCTGGCAATTCCAAGGGTTTGAGTCATCACAACCCATTGGGGCCCTAGGATTGGATCTTTCAGACACAAAAAGTTCGGAGTACTTTGTGAACTAAGTGAAATTCTCTGATTTCATCCTCTGAGCTTATTTGATACCCCCAAAGACGACTTTGTTTGAGCAGAACGAGTGAACCATGAGTCGGGACCTACTTTGTCGGGTCTACTTATTCGTCTAAGCTGGACTCAATTTATTCCTAGGTCATGATCTATATCCCTCGTCTCCCAAACGCACACCATTTCTTTCTTTCTTCTTTTCGAAGCCGTCATTTTCTTTTTCAAATATCAACTATGTCCGACTCGGCTACCCATTCCGAGGGAGCTAAAACCGCAAACGTCAGGAGTGATGGATCTGTCGAGAAGACTACACAGGAAGAACCCGCGTACCCTAGCGGGCTATGGAAGGCACCAAATCTGATACCCGTCCACCCTGACGCTGAAAATGACGGGTACGTTCCTCGTCCGATATACCCGTTCTCACAAATTCTAAGCAGATAAACACAGATTTGCTGTCCTGGTTCACGGTATCACTGACCCTGAATGGAACTCCAAGAGCCGATGGAATGAATGGAGATCCTGAATTGATAACATGGGCTTTGATAGTGGCTCGGGCTTTAGACGTTATCAATACGAAGTTGAGAACGACAATTCACACGTGTTTGCCAAACATGGCATTGAGAGCGAAGCCTTGAGTCTCTTGGAAACTGTCACGCGTTGGAGGGAGCACATCACTGAGACTGAGGTCGGTAAGATCCGTTGAGATGGGATTACCAGACATTATTTCTAATTTCATTTGCCAATACAGAGATTACCAGTTGGGAAGCGAGTTGCATTTGTTGCTCTCGACATTGGGGAAATCATTTTGAAAAAGGTTCATTTGTCTCCCTCGAAAATGTTTGTTCACGAACATGAATTGAAAGACCTCAATTTTGACAGGCCCTCTCTATTGCGAGCTTTGACCCAAAGAAGTACGGCAATGTTCATCTCAGTGTCTCTTGGTTGGTAAGCTTGATCCCGACACATGCTATCTGGAGAATCGCTCACCTCAACACCCCAGATGTTTATCAACTGTCCCCATCGATCTTGTCATATAGAGCAAATGGGAGACATTCTTACCCAGCTTCTGACTCTTCGGAAGCCCTATCCGTCCGATCTCTTAATGAAGGCCGGATACATGGCAAGATCCGCATTCGAAGCCAATCGCAGTTTCCTTGACACCAAGATGCTCATGACAACGAGAATAAGCAACATCCTTTCGAAAACTTTGAGAGCTCAACCAATGCCACAATTGAAAAACACCAAGGATGAAGATAGCGAGGGTGAGGGATATGAGAGCACCCAGAAAACCAGGAAGCCAGACTTAGAGGTGAGTGCACTTCTTTCCGACTGGATCCCTCAAAGTGACTATCGATGCTGACGCGGTGGCAAAGAATCCAGAGAGTGACTTCATGTCAAATAGCCCCCAGCGCCTATGCTTCGTATTCGATGTGCCCTTCGAAAGGGTATACACGTCCGACATACCTCACCAGAAGTTAGTTCAGGGACAAGTTGACATATCTGAGGGAATTATCGCATCAACGAGCTTGGAAAGCCTCTTTTCCTCAGTCAGAGAACAACAGGAATTGAAATCTGATGAAGAATCCACGAAAGCTCTTGAATGGATTGTTTCTCAAGCGCCACCAATACACCCCCCTGCCCCGGTTCCAGTCCACCCAGACATCGAATCCATCCGCCAGTCAGAGATTTACAGCCATTGGTCAAGCCAAAAGGTCTCTCCGATTCTCTACTTACATGCGGCTTCAGACATATCCCAAATATCGCGACAATTCGTACAACATCTCAACTCCGTCCGTCGTGACGGTGAAGATAAAGACTTGGTTGGAGAAATTGTTTACTTTGAGTTCAACAACAACAATGACATGCCTGGAGAACAACTGAAGAGCATGCTGGTCTACTTCGTTTGTGTTAAACTCTATGTGGCCCCCTGGTACAACAAGGATGTGGTGCGGCTATACGTTCAACAAAGCTGGTCCCTCGGTGATCTGCTCAAAATATTCCATATGCACAGGTGGAATATAACCGAGAATGACGTCTGCTTTGCTGTTGGTCGTCTGGATCTGTGTGACAAGATGAGCATGAGGCTTTTCTTGGAGCACATGGAGGAATCAATACCGGAACAATGGAAATAACCGACGTTCATATTGACGACGCAAAGTGAAAGGGCAATAGTTCCCAAGTATCCCTCTTATTGGGTTGGATTTGATATTCAAGGGTTGGCTGCCAAAATCTGCCCCGTCAACGAAGATGAGAAGAATTCTTGCCAATCAAACTCTCTTTCAGCCACGGAACTCGGGGCTCTCTCATACATATCGCACGCCCAACGCCCCTTGTCAGCCGAAGAGCTTGCTTGCTTCTTGGATTTGAATGAATACGACGAAGGAGCAATCCTGGGTGAAAAGAGCATACCGGCATTGGTGCAAAGAATTAATGACCAGATTGGCCACACCATAACCTCCAAGGACAACAGACTTCAATATTTTGGCTCCCACAACATTGACAATGAGATCGATTTTCATTTTCACTTGGTACTGCGTCTACTGTCGTATCTCAAAATCACTGAAGTTCAAGAAAGAATGGCTGCTCTGTGTCGGCGTCATCAAGGCCTGTTCGATGTACTAATCTCACATCCACGTCTCGATCTGATCTCATATGCAGTGGTTTACTGGCCAATACACTTTCACCTTACAGGACCAACAAAGCCGATTAAAGAAGTTTGCACGTTTCTCAGTGACCGCACAGTCTCAGCACCTTGGTCGGAAGCCTTCCGTGTCTTGTCGAATCCAATCACTCGTCTCAATCGGTGTTATCTTTCACCCCTTCCGTTGGCCTCGATGTGTGGCCTCGATGAAGTGATATCGTCCCTTCTAGAGGACTTGAAGGATACAGAGACTTTCCAGCGTGACTGTCAGTTGGCTCTCACTGAAGCCGCCAGACATGGCCATATCAGGATAGCCCACAAGCTCTTGAAGACAATAGATATTGACAACCCAACGCTTGCTGATGCAATGAAGGCGGCAGGATGCTGCGGTGCCGGTAGTCTCCTTCTCGACCTGGTGACTCTAGCATCCCAGAAACATGATTTTAAATGGCCCAGTGGCCTACTCTTGCGGGTCTCCGAAATTGGGGACCATGAGATTGCGAAGATCTTGTTCGATGTGGGAATGCCAGTCAACGACATGTGTCTCCAAGGACATTCAATATTACATTCAGCCGCAATCTTCAATAATGAAGAGATAGCAAGACTATTGCTTGCCAAAGATGCAGATGTCAGCCATGCCTGTACATCACGGAACGGAAGAACCGCTCTGTCAAGTGCTTCGCTCGCTCCCACCTCACGGGCCATTATCAAGATGCTCATAGATGCTGGATCGGACTTGAACCAAATAGACTTAAGTGGATGTACGCCGCTGAATCATGCTCTCATATGTGGCAATCTTTCTGCGGTTGAGGAGTTGCTCGAGAACAAAGCCGACATCGAAATTGGTGGAGTTGAGGAAGATACTCTCTATTGGTGCACAAAGCCCCTCATTCATTGTGCCTATCTGAATGAACTAGAAGGAATCCGGGTCCTTCTCAGGTACAGTCCAGACATCGATTGCTGCTGGGGGCAGAGGACGCCTCTTTGGATAGCAGTAGACCGGGGCAATATTGAGATTGCTAGACTGTTGCTAGAAATTGGGGCTAATCCAAATCTCAATCCTCAGGGCCTCGACATGATCCTTCTTCGAGCAGTTGAACATCCAACCGTTGAGCTGGTAAAGCTTCTTCTCGATTATGGGGCAGATATCGAACAGGAAGACAATAGTTCGACTTGGAGAAGCACTGCTCTTGCCCGTGTGGCTGGCACATCCAACACTGACATCCTCCGCCATCTGCTAGAACGTCAGCCTAAGGTCGACGTGGGGCATATTGGAAAAAACTCCCAAAGTCCATTGCATGTGGCAGCTCAATCGGGGCAGACCATGAACTTGCGCATTCTACTACAACAAGGCTCAGACCCAAATGCGTGGTCAGATGATGATTCTTGGCTCCCACTCCATGCTTCTTTTGAGAGCACGGATATTATCAAACTTCTTCTCGCCCAAGGGTGTAATATTAATGCAACATCCGCGTGGGGGTCCATCCTGAACTTGGCCGTCTTCAATGAGCAGATCGATTCAGTGAAGTTGCTTCTGGAGCAGAACCCAAAGCCTGACCTTGAGCTTGAAGATCCCAGTGTTGCCTTTTTTGATGAGAGCGATAGGGGTGTGGCACCACTAGCAATGGCTTGTGCAAAGAACAATGCCAAGATCGTGCGCTTGCTCATCGAGGCGGGAGCAGAAACCCATCACCAGACGCGTTTCGGAACGCTTCCTCTAGATATTGCTGTGGCAAGTGACGCTATGTCGGCCCTCAAAGTGTTGCTGGAGTACAGGGTGTCTGTAGATCATTCGGATAATGATCAAAACACGGTCCTGCACCGAATCACCAAATCAACCCCACGAGCAATTGTCCGGCAGCTCGTTAATTGCAGGGCCTCAGCCACTGCAGTGAACAAGAAAGGAGTGACACCCATACAAGTCACTGTCGAGGCATCAAATTTCCCCGTCGCTGAATTGATTCTGTCCAGAGGGGCAAACCCCAATCAATTTGGTCCCAGGTACCACAGTCTACTACATATAGCTTGTGAAAACCGCGATCTACCAACTTTGAAGGCCCTGGTTGAGGCTGGTGCTGATGTTCAGAGAGCAGACACACTGAATGAAGGGCCGACACTGATGCATTCACTCCTTTGTGGCTGGGAGCATTCTGGGCTCGGATTGCTGTCAGATCCCTTGGCATACCTTATCGAAGAGTGTAAAGTCAACAAAGATGGTATTGGGGGCCTTGGTGATCTAGCTCTCGTCACAGCTTGCTATTTTTAATTCGTGGATCAGGTCCGATACCTGTTGGAGCATGAGACAAACCCAAATTTGGAAGATAACTCTGGCCGCCGAGCACTTCACGTCGCGGCTTTGGGTTATGAATCTGATATGGTCGACCACCTACTCGAGTTCAAAGCGGAAGTCTTCTGCGGTGATGAACCTATTATCGACAAACTTGGAAGAACATGTATCCACTTTGCGGCCGTTGGAGCAAGCTGGAAGATCTTTCAAAGATTCCATCAGCTCTACGGTGAGAAGGAATTACACAGGCCCGATTGCTACGGCTGGACTCCGCTCTTCTGGGCGCTTCTCACCCCCGACGCTTCAATCAACATTGTGCAATGCCTCGTTGATCACGGTGCAGACCTTTGGATGACAGCCAAGGGACTAACCTCTGAATGGTCTCCATTGAAGCTAGCTCGGTATATTGGACTTTCCGACGACATTCAAGAACTGCTCGTGCCCAAGTCTCACATTCTTCAAATTGGACCTGGGGGAAAGGTGAAAGAGTGGGATGAAGAGGCTCACCGTTCGCGAAGAGCTACTTTAAAAGAGTATATGATATGCGATGGTTGTCGTGTTGTGGGTCACTTACTTCTTCTATTCGAGTTTCCTCTTTCGGCCTGTCACTAACCTCATCACCAGCGTATCGTTGGTATAACTTACCATTTCCCCGTTTGTAAGGACGACGATCTTTGCCTCCGATGCTACATGTCTCGCAACGTTCTATTTAAGAACCACGAAGATGTAGAGTGGATAGAAAGAGGCCCTGAGTTTTCCGACGATGATGAGCCTTCGATTTCGACGAGTCCCCATGGCAAGGATAGCCCGGCTCACAATGGCAGTGATATTCCCGAACAGAAAGAGGGGGAAAGAAGCCCGTCAAACGGAGATGATGACTCCGACTCACAGTCCGAACACAACTCCTTCGTGGGTGATAGCTCTGATGCCCAAACCTCTGACGATGATAATGACGATGATGTAAGTGTGTGAAGCTCCGATGGCATTTCCTTGGCTTATGGAATAACGTTTTTGGGGACTTCTAGTGAATAGCACCAAAGCTAGGGCTGAGAAGAAAAGGGGATTGATGCATCGACACCCTCGCGGATAGTATGACACCCCTTTGGATAATGCGGCGCCTTGAACAATTCCTCCTTTTATCGCATTTTATATTTCGGTTTCTACTCCTTCTCCATTCCACTTTCTATAACTAGCATCCTCATGGTCTAGAAAGCCAACTGCCGCATCAGAAAAAAAAACCGATTCTGTTTATACTATTAAGCTTAGTGCTTCTGCTCTACTGACAGAAATGCTGATGCCTAATATCAAGGGCATCAATATTAGAATCATGCCAATATCAACCACTATGGGTGTCATATTATCCTAGATATAAACCACCGGGGCAGCAGAGCTATACTCCGGGAGGCCTAGATGCCCGGGCCGATCTAGCCCCACACCGAAAAAAGTCGGGATCGAAATCAGGCCACAAGGCTCCAACATAGTTTAGCTGCGCTATTCTCAGAGTCTGCAGGGGATTTTTGGAAAGGAAAGTAATTATACAGATGCATGTCTCTGTTCATACATTTGCCGCCCAGATATAGCAATTGACATAATTATCTCGGCAATGGAAGGGATGGACAGGATTATCTGCCGAGGGCGAAAATGCGAGTCACGTGACAAGATGCGGCCGAGGTCGGAGGGCGCGGAGGCGCATCTCACCAATCAGAAGCCGTGAATTGGTTGACTCAGAGCGGTCGGATCAAATAGGCTTAGTCGGTTCCGTCTCCCCAGAGAGAGTCACGACAATCTTCAGTCAATTGGAACTCATTTTTCCTTACTTCTATAACCACTCTCCTCTCTATCTTTCTGGCTTGGTTGTCATTCACAATGATGCCTTTAAGACCATCCAAAAGCGCTCTGCGCACTTTCCACCTCCAGAGGCACATTGCTGGTCGTCGGCCTTTTTCGTCCTCGTTTGTGGCTTCGGCCGCCTCGCCCCACCGCTCTTCTCTCCAGAAGCGTGGTCAGAGTACCGCTGCTGCGTCTGCTAAGGCAACGTGAGTTTGCCCCGACAGAATCGACAATGGCGGATCGATTGGAGGCTAATCAATTCCCAGGGAGTCCAGAGCTGTCCCAAGTCCAGCTTTCAACCAGGAACCTCACCGCAATGAAATTTCTCCCTTGCAACACCGACAGCTCCCCGAGCTCGATGACTCGTAGGTCGCCCTTCCCTTGACCTGGAACTACTGAAACTGATTGATGGGTGCAAAGAATGGTCGGAATGAGCGGTGGTGAAATCTTCCACGAGATGATGCTTCGCCAGGGTGTGAAGCACGTTTGTGAGTATTCCGTGCATAAAAGCGCCTAAAGGGCCCATTTTAACACTTAGTCCCCAGTCGGTTACCCCGGTGGTGCCATTCTCCCCGTGTTCGATGCCATCTACAACTCCAAGCACTTCGAATTCCTCCTTCCTAAGCACGAGCAAGGCGCCGGCCACATGGCCGAGGGTTACGCCCGTGCCTCTGGCAAGCCGGGAGTCGTCCTTGTTACTTCCGGCCCCGGTGCTACCAACGTCATTACCCCCATGCAAGATGCCATGTCCGATGGTACCCCGATGGTTGTGTTCTGTGGTCAGGTCCCCACTAGCGCTATTGGAACCGATTCTTTCCAGGAGGCCGACGTTATTGGTATTTCTCGCGCTTGCACCAAGTGGAACGTGATGGTCAAGTCCGTGGGTGAGCTGCCCCGCCGCATCCAAGAGGCTTTCGAGATCGCCACCAGCGGTCGTCCCGGTCCCGTTCTGGTTGATCTGCCCAAGGATGTCACCGCTGGCATTCTCCGCAACCCCATCCCCATGCACAGCACCATTCCCTCGCTTCCCAGCGCGGCCGCCATGGCTGCTCGTGAGATGAGTCAGAAGCAGCTCGAGGGTACCATCAACCGTGTTGCTAACCTGGTTAACATCGCCAAGAAGCCCATCCTCTACGTTGGACAGGGTCTCCTTGCTCGCCCCGATGGTCCCGAGATTCTCAAGGAATTCGCCGAAAAGGCCTGCATTCCCGTTACTACCACCCTCCAGGGTCTCGGTGGCTTCGACGAGCTGGACCCCAAGGCCCTTCACATGCTGGGTATGCACGGTTCCGCATACGCCAACATGGCCATGCAGGAGTCTGATCTCATCATTGCTGTTGGTGCTCGTTTCGATGACCGTGTGACTCTCAGCATCCCCAAGTTCGCCCCCCAGGCCAAGCTTGCTGCTGCCGAGGGCCGTGGTGGTATCGTTCACTTCGAGATCATGCCCAAGAACATCAACAAGGTTGTTCAGGCCAACGAGGCCGTTGAGGGTGATTGCGCCGACAACCTCCGCCTCCTCTTGCCCCACGTCAAGTCTGTTTCCGAGCGCCCTGAGTGGTTCGAGCAGATCAACGACTGGAAGCAGCGCTTCCCCCTTTCCCTCTACGACCGCCAGGTCGAGGACGGTCCCATCAAGCCCCAGGCTGTCATTGAGAAGCTGAGCGACCTCACTGCTCACATGAAGGAAAAGACCATCATCACCACCGGTGTTGGTCAGCACCAGATGTGGGCTGCTCAGCACTTCCGCTGGCGCCACCCCCGTACCATGATCACCTCCGGTGGTCTCGGTACAATGGGTTACGGTCTTCCTGCCGCCCTGGGAGCCAAGGTGGCCCGCCCCGACTGCCTGGTCGTCGATATCGACGGTGACGCTTCTTTCAACATGACTCTCACTGAGCTTTCCACCGCTGCTCAGTTCAACATTGGTGTCAAGGTCCTTCTGATCAACAACGAGGAGCAGGGCATGGTTACCCAATGGTAAGCTCTTCCAACCTCCTATATTCAGCCCTTCCAACTAACATGACTGCTCCAGGCAAAACCTCTTCTACGAGGACCGCTACTCCCACACTCACCAACAGAACCCCGACTTCGTTCCCCTGGCCAAGGCCATGCGCATTGCCGCTGACCGCTGCTTCAAGCCCTCCGAGCTTGAAGAGAAGCTCAAGTGGCTGATCGAGCAGGACGGCCCCGCCCTCCTCGAGGTCATCACCGACCGCAAGGTCCCCGTTCTGCCCATGGTTCCCTCCGGCCGCGGTCTACACGAATTCCTGGTCTACGACGAAGGTAAACACCCGCAATACCCCGCTCATCCAAAACAACCTGCTAACGTCTCCACAGCCAAGGAACAGGAGCGCAAGCAGCTGATGCGCGACCGAAACGTGGACTTCCACGTCCGGAAAGAATAAGTGACACGTCGCCTTGACAATTATATTTCTGTACTTTGATATCCATGGCGTTTCTTGGCTTCACCAAAAGCGATTTGGGGCAATGTTGAAAACACCTGAAATGAACCACAAGGCTTCTGGGTCGCAGAAGACATTGGGGTATCCATGAGTGCGCCCTCTTCGCCACTGCCGGGTTGTTCCTCCTGTATATAATCATGCTTTGCATCCCTCGATGGGATGTGGGCAATTGATATGTTTGAATCTCATTAATTGGAGCAGTCTCGTTGAAAGCATTGCCTTTTGGTTCTGGACCTTTGATTCGTGTGATGTACTCTTGAAGTCGTTCTGGGCTACGTATGAATTCGGGTCTGGACATGACGCTGGTTGGATGTACCACCAAGTCCAGATGCCACGCCTGGGCGGCTACCCTCAACTTGAGCAAAGGCAGCATGTATTCGAGGCTTTCTGAGTTGAATACATTACACGTGATGGCATAGACAATCCCACCGCAATTTCGGAAAGGCACCCTCAGGCGCCTGAAGAGGATGATGAGGAAGGTGACGCCAGGGACCATACGGAGTATCCCGTAGTACATGAGGTGGTAAGATTTTACAAGTGAAGACAAAGTCAAGATTTTGTGATTTCATTTGATTGAGCTATGTCTGCTATTTCTGCTTCCTTTCCACGAGATGAGCAATGATAAGAAATAAAAAGAAGACGCCCCAGTGCCACTATCCATCCATTGTCGTCAGGTATCCTTAAGAACATTGCCATTTCCAAACCCATGCGCCGGTAAAAACAGTAAGAATGAAGGGGGGAATGAACAAGCCACGCAAATACACGAAGGCCACGGGTGCAGGGGGAAAAGTGAAATGTAGAGACCATATGTGCTATGCACAAGAAAAGACGAAAAAAGATTGCGCGCAAAACTCCAGTGGACGTAAGGCGTGAGAGTGGAAACAAATCGCAGAGCGCTGAAAAACCAGTGGAAAGAAGCATGAGATGATGAAGCGAAGTGATACGCTTAGGTATCAGCGGATCCCTCGGCGGAGACCTGACCAGCAGCTTTGGCCAAGGCCGCAGCCTCATCGCGCAGGGCCTTCCGGGTGCGGGGGTGGGGGCTTCCGCGTGCCTCTCGGTGGCGCTTCATGCGATCAGCGGGTGTCTCCAGGGCACGATCCTGCCTCTGCTTGGCAGACTTCAGCCAGCCGAGAACGCCGCCGGTGCCAAGAGAGGGTTCTTTGACTTGGTCTTCACCGGGGACTCCAGAGGTCATTGGGGTCTCATTGGGTTCCGTAGGAGGAGGAGACTTAAGCAAGGGGTCGTCAGTTGGGCTGATGTCGTCAACAAGACCCTCGTAGTAGTCCTCCACATCGGTGACATCTTCTTCGTGTTCGTAATAATCTTCGTCGGAATTCCAGGCGATGGTGTTATTGACACGGTCGGCGGTGTTGTACTGAGGAGCGGGGTTGACAGGAGTAGTGTCAAGTGGAGTAGTATCAAGAGGGAAAAGGACCTTTGGCTTGATCTCGCTTCGCTTGAGCGACTTGATACCCTTCAGGCAGTCGGGGTTCTTGGCCAGAAGGTCAGGACGACTGGCAAACAGCCCAAGATCAGATTCGTCGTCGTCAGACTCCATATCATCAAACTTTCGGTAGATGTGTTGTTGTCCACGGCTGAAATCAAAGTTAGCATATGCAGTTGTGCATGAAATGGGATTTACTTACCTGACGTACCAAGCACCATCCCGGCTTGGGGGACCTGGTTCGGCAACAGGGATTGAGCGAGTCACTCGTCCAGCGCCAGAGCCTTCAGGCTTCTGGGAGAACACATCAAACACCGAAGCCGACTGGGGGATGCGATCACGGGAATCAGTATGAATGGCGACCTTAGCAGGCTTGCCACCACGAGGAAGACGAGCAGGTGTAGTTGAAGTGTGGGCAGCTATATCCTGAAAGACATTGAGAGGTGCACCACCGATGGGGTGAACTTCACCCAGCTCATCGAGAGTGTCCATCTTTCTTCGCTTGGACGTCGCAGTTGAAGGGAAAAGAGAACGAGGAGTGGTAGTGACAGAGGAAAGATCCTTCTTTTTAGAAGGAGTCTTCACGGGAGTGGGTAGAGCACGTTCTGCAGAGGAGCGAGATTGCTGGCGTGCAGAAGTGCGGGGTTGTGAAGAGAAAGAGTTGAAAGGGGAAGTGTGAGAAGAAGAAGATGCATGGGTGTGTGGTGCCTTTTTAGACGAGGGTTTCACAGTCCCAGGCGATGGAGGCGAAAGAGTTCTTTTAGAAACGCCCTTTTTCGTAGAAGGCTTTGGGTGACTTGGAGGTGGCGTAGTGTGGGCAGCCCGGGCAATGCGTTGGCTAGCAAGCCTAGTAGAATAACGTGTGGGGTATGGCTCATAATCATCGTACATGGGGCCGAAGCGCGGAGCTCGAGGAACTCGAAGTGAGGTTGGTGATGGCGGCGGTGGTGTCGACGACATGATGACTTGAACCGCCACAACTCAACCGCTCGACGGTAGAATGATTTCGGAGTAAGAATATCGATAGAAGCCTGGTTGCAATTGTATTTGGCGAATTTTGGGGGATTTGGCCGCGTAGTGAAGCGTCGAGGATGGGGGTTGGCCAGATGAAGTGTCGGACGCGTCTGACTTAAAATATTAAGAACTTCAAGTGGGGAAGAACCGGTCGCAATAAGAATCCGAAAAAAGATTTGAGCGTAGAACTGCAGCTAGCGACGCATCCGAAGCAACGAGAACAAAGAGCGATGTGATGGGAGTGGAGGAAGGGTGAAGTTGTTGTCAAGGGCTAGACGGTTGGTCGCCCAGCCACCGGCCGTGTTCACCGCCCTAAATCCAGGTGGCTGAAAACCCCCCCAACAATGCTAACTTCACACTAATTGGATCGGCACTAGTCTTACGAAGGCTTTTCTATTTCAATTCTACTCATATCTGATCCTAGTGGGGCATCATCTCGTCATTGGTGCTTTATTCGGCCAAAATTCTACTTGGATACACGTCAATCCGCGTGTTGACAACATGACTTTCCGCACCACAGCCGAAGAAATGGAGAGATTGCAGCTATCAGACGATGATTCAGAGATCTGGGACTCCCCATCGAAACGAGGCACGCAGAAGAAGTTCATCCCCAGAGCTTCTGATGAAAATATCACCCCGGAACCTCGAGCTTCCACCGATGCCGCCCATGAGGGCGATGACCCGCTCTATGATCGCAAAGAGGCGCGCGAAACTGCGCTTCGCGCTGAGCTACAGGGTGTGCGAAACATCAACCAAGTCATTGAGGGGCTTCTAAGCAGCCTGGACTCTGCAAAGGGAAATATGGAAGTATGTAACCTGGTCGCAATTGATATCAGACCCCATCTAACCATGAACCCCCAGACGGTCTCTCAAACCGTGACATCGGCCTCGACTCTCCTCAATACATGGACCCGCATTCTCTCTCAGACCGAGCACAATCAACGACTAATCCTCAATCCAAACTGGCATGGCGCTACTCAGGATGTCGCCGATATTGAAAACGAGGCAATCAGAAAACAACAGGAAGCAGAGCGACGTGAACATGCATTGCAGCTGCAAAGAGAAGCCAACGCGCGTAAGGCGGAGGAGATTGAAGCACGGCGCGCCCAGGTCACTCGGGGTACGCGGGGAACAGTCCGAGGCACTCGAGGCACCACTAGGGGCACAGTCCGAAGCACTGGTCTGGGACGGACCCCCAGTGTGAGCACTACACGGACGGTGAGGGGTGGATCTACCACAGTTCCACGACCAACCGGTGCAAGTGGAATCGCACGCGGGAGCGGGATCTCTCGTGGACGCAAGGTCTAAAGAGGCAAAGGCACAATGTACAAACAATCGATGGGTGATGATCACGAAGCAATACGATATGATACCCATTTTCTTTACTCTGTTAGCGCCTGGGGCGGGCATATGTACGAAGTATGGCCATGCTTAATGCCCGAATTTGAACCAATAAGAAAAACGAGGTTCATAACGGCTAGGATATTCAAGAATACGAGACTCGTTATCCTCTTAGATTCGAAACAACACGTCCTGGAGATCTCGGAGTATAAGTGCAGTTCGGAGATTTTGATGCGCATTGACGCGTTAAGCACGCGCGTTATCGATAAGCTATCTATTCCCCTGATAGTACGGAGTACGGAGGTACAGACTGACAGTACTTCATACTCCGTACAACCTACAACTCCAGCTCATCGCAATGAATTTCGCTCCATATCAAGATCAATCACCAGAGCTTGAGCGCGCTCTCTCACCCCCGCCAGCAGATGGCCACCGTGTGATCAGCCCAAACCTCCGCTCACCACGAGCCTCGGCTGATCTCCCCCCTCCCAGTCACTTTACTGGAGGGCATGGCAACACGGGCTTTGGGCGAGATGTCGAAGGTGGACATGTCAGCCTTGGTGCTTTTGAGACCAGTCTCCCGATCAGTATGAATGTCGAGGCAATGCTGGCATACTTGCTTCTGCCTCCCGCCGGGGGTGTCTTCTTACTACTAGCTGAACATAAGAGCGATTACGTGCGGTTCGTGACTTCTGCCCTTTGAAGATTTCAGATATTGCGTGGAATACTGATGCCGTTTAAGATTTCATGCTTGGCAATCGAGTATGCTGTTTGCTGCTTTGTTTGTGAGTATCTGTCTATATGTCCTTGTCGTTCCGGTGCTTATATGGAACACAGATTGTTCACCTGCTTGTGTGCTGGTCAAGTTTTCTTTCCTGGACATTGTTCCTCGTCGATCTTCTTCTGATCGGCTTTCTTAGCATGCATGCCTATCAAGATGGTGAGTTTCCAATCCTAGGCTTAGCGTTGGAGTTTTTTGTTCTTTGTTGACATATTGGGCCCATGCTTACCCTATGTGTTCCAGTTGATACACTGGACCATTTCGAGGTTCCTTTCTTTGGTCCACTGGCCAATTCTTTTGTTGATGATGAATAATCTTGAATATCTACGGGTGGGATACGTCCATTTTTAATACAGTAGTGGCTAGCGATTCCAATTTCGCATAGTGGATACGCTGAGCGCATATTAGCGAATATTTTAATGACATCTTGTGTCTTTGAACATTCACATTTCTCGTTTCTGGTGTGCCAATTCAAACTTTAGGCGTTTGCACTGCCTTGAGCTTCTTCATATTTCCTATGATGACTTATCCCCAGTATTGAAAAACACAACCTGCACCGTAATGTCATCGCGCACATAACGGGAGAAAGGAGAGTCAAATGCAAGTCGGCCAGCAATCAACTCATGGTGATTTCCACCCAGAGAGTTGCGCACAAGATGCACTGCAGCGTTCTTGTCTTGCGTGGTCGTCCGCTCCTCTACAAACTTCCAGTCCACACCTTCGCGGAACTGACCAAAGTCGAATGGCAGGTATACTGGGTCTGGACTGCTAGGTTTTTGAGCCCGTGACTCCAGCCATGTTCCTACCAAATTGACGCCCTGCTGACTGGACAGATTATCCCACAATCCATCCGTTGCCATGATTAGGAATGAAGGCTGGCTGGGATCGATCTTGGTGCTGGTCACGACGGGCTCGGCGGTTAAATATGGTGGTGTGCGGACGTCATATCTTGGTGTCAATGGTGCTGGGCCGTTGAAATGATCTTTCATCTTTTGTTGGAACTCCAAAGGCCATTTCCACCTGCTGTCTCCGAACCCGCGCGAGACCATGATTCCAAGAACTCGTCCGTTTTTGACGATGTTTTCTTCCCCGGGGTGTTCTTTGTAGAGCCGAGCAACCTCGTCTTCATTCGTGCCGGCCTGGTCTATCGATAGAGGAATGGCCTCCCATTTCCCATCCGCTCCCTTTCTTCCTAGAACCGCCCTCGAGTCACCAGTGCACGCAACATGTAATGTTGAGGTGAGAGAATCGTAGAGAGATAGCAATGCGCAAGATCCAGCGTAGGCCGGTGCCAACTTCTTCGCCTTTTCTTGCAAGGACATCTCGCTCTGAGAAGTAGCCAACGCAGTCTGAATGATCGAGTCATCAAGATCCACAAACGCCTTCACCACAGCATGCTGGACCGACTGATCTGAGGTAACTCCCTCGGCGGATGGTTTGATTTGACTCAAATTGTTTCTGACAAAAGGCAAGAGTTGCTTCGTCAACAAGTCAGCAGTCTGCCAGCCTGCATGTCCGTCAAAGACAGCCCAAGACATCCACTTGTCACTTTCGTTCCATGGCGAGAATTTGCCGTGGACAAATCGGTCTTCACAGGGGCTGTTCGATGCAAGCTGCGTGCCATCGTACCGATTGATACCGGTAATGCTGTTGACCTCGTACGAGAATGCGTCTTTCGATAATCTGCGGCTGACTTCTCCGCGGGAAAGGCTTGGCTCATCTGAGGGCTCCCCGGGCGAACTGTCAATGTTGGGTACATCATCGCGGGCCGTTGTCCACCACCAGATACCCGGTGCACTTATCAAGCCGGTAGTTGCAATTGCGATCCTAGTATTCGAGGATGAAGCCCTTGTCGAGTGGGATCTAGTGGCTTTTCGCCCGAGGTTTGTGGCCAAATACCGCGGACGGGTCTTTGCCAGTGCCGAGAACATCTTGGTTTTTGGAAATTCAAGTCCAAATCACTTTACAGAATATCCAATATAGAGCTCCAAGGGTTGGAGGAAGTAAGCTTGGGGAACACCTCCTTGAAGTCCGCAGCAACCGCATTTGATTGGTCAGAATCTGAGGTGCCCCATCACGTCACGGGACCTTGGCGGTGTGGATTCTGCTGATCACTTCACTTGGTTCGTGTTTGCAATGTTTGCTCACTTGTATAGATCTAGACTTTCTCTCCCCAACCAATACATACATCATTGCTTCCACGATATTTTGAGTCGTCAAGCCTTCTGAAGAGTATGCCAGATTGTATACAGTTCACTTGGACAACATTCATTGGAGAGATATCACATATTTGGGATATAAGGGGAAAGACAGGAAACATGTTTCCAAATATCTATAGATGTATATGAATTTGAACGGTGCCTTAGTTTCAAAATTGGAGCCAAGTCTCTCGGAAACCTCTCTCAGGGGGAAACTTGTCCATGGCAGGAATGCACTTATCAAAAATTCCCTGTTTCTCGAAGTCGTTGGACTTCTTCCATTGCAGAGTCTTGCAAATGAGGAAAATCACTGCGTATTCGCGAGAACACCAACTGGGCTTTTTCCTCCCTTGCTGTCTTCAACTGCTCTTGCAACCGCCGAACTTTATCGATCTCAGAGTCCATTATAGCTATTAGGCGAAACGCATCCGTGTAAGACTGCAATCTGCCAAGTTTTTCTTCGAGAGACTTGATGCTTTGTTTTTCTTGGTCATCTGGAGATGCATGAGTGCCAGCGGGTCTTGGGCTGGGACGTGACGACCCATCCTGGTGTATAATTCGAGGCTCAGCGGCGGCAGGATCGGGTGTGCGGAGGATAGCAGGTATTGAGGTCGAGGATGTAAACGCTTGTTGGCTCTGGGTTGGAGTGGGAGCATTCAGCAAGCCTTCGACACGCACGGCACTTCTAGGTCGTGGGGTATTTGCTTGAGACAATTGGGCTTGGGTATCTCGATCAAGACCTGCATTTGTCGAGTGGCTGTGTTGGTTTGTTTGATCTTTCTCAATCCAACTCCCTTCACCCGGTCTGAGTGATTCTTCGTGATTTGGAGCTTTGTTCGAATCATCTGGGCCTCGTAGGGCTCCACGACGGCGCTTCTGATGGGGCTGGTCCTCTGCACTAGGGCAATCAGTCTCTCTGACAGTTGACCTCACACTTTCACCCGGTTTGGAGCGGTCATAGTCAAACACGTTGTCCATGAAGCCGCATATTGATGCGCGCGGGTCAACGGGTCTAATTCGTGTCCCGGGAGGACGTTTCTTTTTCTGGTATGGGCGAGCATGATTACAACGTGAAGAACAGTTGCAAATCTGTAAGCATTTTGGGCAGGCCCAAGACTCTTTATTTCGCAGTAGCGAGATGGTGTCCAAATCGAAGCGGCGAAACAATCCCCTATAGCAAAAGAATTCGGGGCATTTCTCGCACTTGAGTCCCTTCCATTGCGGATGGTTAGAGCGACAAAGATGGCACCGCTGCTTCTGTTGAGGATCAAATATTAGCTATAAATGACTTTGTGGTTTTGAGCTAGTTTGTTTCACCCACTGTAGAATCTTGACGAGAGATTATACATCGTTGCGTTAACGTCCCAAGGGAGTGTTGCCTAAGAAGCAGTCAGCACAGACATGATCATTCTTAAAATCAATCATCATTTCACTTGGATGAATTCTCACTTCGAAGCAGCTCTGTGTGCAAATGAAACCCCTGCTTTGTCCATAGCCTGCTGTAAGTAGCCTGGGAACCGTGCTAAATCGCGGATTTGAGTCAATTGTAATGAATCCCAATGTTGACAGCTACGACCAGAGACAAAGCATGCCATACAGAGGTCGAAATCACCGCATAGGTCACAATAGAGATGTCGATTCCAGATCTTGCATCCACAGAAATTACACTCTATCATGCCTCCCTTAGTGTCTCTTACCCGGACAAGCGCGGTTGACTCTAACTCGAAACGCTCGTCATCGAGCAAGTTCTGGAAGAACTCTAGCGCAATTGATATCTCTTCGGGTCGAAAAGTGTTGTTCTTTTCGTGAATCGCTTCGAGGACTTTTAATAAAACGGACGTCGTTCTGGACATGTGGCGTATATCATTTTTAACCAACTGAACGGAAGAGTGATGCAGAACGTTCCAGGCAATCTTTGTGACGCTTGGGGCAATATTCAAGGTCTGATGAGTCGTCATTGGTGGAAACACAACTAGGTCGCCGGGTTGTTGATTGCAGACATAGATTGGGAAATCTGCTTTTGCCATCTGTTCTGGGGATAATTGGGTCAAGGGCTTCAGAGCACTTTTCTCCAGACTCGAAATAAACAGATCGACTTTCTTCTGTGATCTTTTATCGGTACCGAAGCATATTGAGCCCGGTCCTTGTCCTGTTCCGCCGGCCAGGCTAGATCAGCGTTGACTCTCGATGGTCTTATATGTGGCAGAGATTCGTGTCCTGAACATACCATCCATTTCCAGCATCAGATTCATGGCAACCGTACCGCCGGAGGAACGATGGAAACCAGAACTTATGTCGTATTAGCTAGATTGGCAATCACATATTAAAAAAATTAAAAAAAAAAAAACATACAATGAATTTCGACTCCCCATCAGGACCTTGAGATCTTGAGACTCTGGCAATACTCGAAAGAGATCAAGTGATCCCTGGCATTGAAGCGGCCTTGGAAGGACGTGGGTCAAGGCCTCCGCCCAGCGCTGGGGGCACCGCAGATCCTTAGCATAGAGTCTGAGATTGGTGAGATAGAAATCCAACAAAGGATGAGGTAGATCTCACAGCTCTTGAGGTGGGCCTTCTTCTTTATCACTTATTTCATCTCTAGAGACAATGTCTTGTGTTGATACCAGAACGTTTCGCCCAGTTTTGCAGTTTCTCGCGCCAAAGGCTATTAAGCAGGTAAGGACATGCCTCCATCTCAATGATTGAGACTTACACTTCAGAGATAACAAAGCAAACAATGTTCTTTTGTTGAAAATCGAGCTGTCCCATTCGCCAAGGTTGTCAAAGCCTCGGATAACAAAGGGTCGGCCTTCATCGAGTTTAGTCTCCACCCAACTGGGCACATCTGACGGGAGATCCTGAATTAAATGCACCGGAAATATGCAGAAAGGAAACCCAATAGCATAAAGTTCTGCCGTCGTGAACTGATTTTGAGCCATAATGTTGTCAATTGATCTCAAGGAATGCGAGAAGGTCTCATCTCGAAAGTACCTGGCGTTTAGTCCGGACCGGAAAAGCCAGTGACCGAGACTTTCTTTGTTCTCAATTTGGCGCTATGCTTTGGCACTATTCTTTTTGGGGGAAGGTGAAAGAGAACTATTGAAATTTGGGGGCCAGGGGTCCGAGGTGGCCCTTTGTTGACCATTGATCATGGTATTGTTAATCTATTGTATCAGTTCTTTCTTCCACATGAGGACGAGGCAATCATATACTGCAGAAATTGACATCAAATTATATGGAATAGATATTCCATGTTATTCAACGAGCTTGATAGATTGCTCAAATGCTTCAAAGTCACTCCCAGTGGACCGCACGCAGAATACACTCTTAGCAGCATACCACGCCACAAATTTACTTAAGTACTGAGCACACTAGTGAAACTTCTAAAGTTGGTGTCCCAATATTTCAAAAACAATCAATCCGTCCTCTGGAGCATTGAGAGAACACTATGTGGTCTTGATTGCTCTATATTTCTGGAGAAATGGCTTCGCAAAACGCAAGATACGATTCAAGACAAACCTTTAACGGGTATGTGCGAATCCATCGTGACTTGATTGAGATATTTCGCATTCCCGCCCCCAGACGTATGAAGAGACTAACGATTTATACAAGATCAGGAATCCCGATTGATTACTTGGGTTCAAGACGTTGTTCGCGAGGGACTTTCATCTGCCAATGACTATTCTTTCAAAACCGCTGTCCAGGTTACTGATTTACCGGATCAGATCCTCACACTTTGGTCGCACATTATGCAGGGAAATTCGCCCTTTCCATTCATCCGGATGAGAGGTGATACACTTCTTGAGTATAAACGCCTATCCACTCGGGGCCGGTGGAGGAGACGGATGTAAAGCGCATATATACTTAAATAAATGAAGGATCGTACGGAGGAGAGATTTATATAGCCCGCGCACAGATAAATGCATACCCGGGCGTACTTAAGTAGGTGTATCCCCCACTGCACCAGGTAGCAAGTGAATACCATTCTCCATTTTAACTGTAGGTGTTCCACTGAGCAAGAAAGAATCTTGAAAAAGCAAAACATGGTCTTTTTGTTCCTAGAGTTATACCGATGGTTGATGAATCTCATTAGGCCAATCCTTAGTTCAATTTAGTAACCTTCTGCCTATCGTTTACATGAGCACATTCAAAATATTTGACACAGGAATCAATTAAAACAAATCATAAACTGAACCATCAAACAAGAAAACAAGGGGGGAATGAAACATAACATAGTACTGCGCAAGACTAATCCCCAGGTAATATTGGAGCCAATCTCCGCGGTCAAAAACGAAAATCCAGGCAGTGAGATGGAAAAAGAAGGCAAAAGGATTCTCCCCAGAACACACACGCTACTTCAAAACATCGGGTAGAACAGGAAAATTAGATTAAAAAGACTGTTCAGTGACGTCGGGACAGACTGTAGCGCCATGAGAGGAAGAGATAACAAAACGTAGCCAAAATAGGGCTTCAATGTGCAAAAAGAGTCGAAAAAGGGCATGGTATCTGCGTGAAAACATGGAGGGTATCTCCGTCAGGACTAATATGGCATAGGTCGTGGCGGGTCGTGAGATGAAATGGGCGTTTAGATGATTTGAAGATAATTGCTTGGCACAAGGCCAGGGTGGCCACGGGCATTGGTGACTTCGGCTTCCCACCATCCATCATCTTGCAGACGAAGAACGGCGAGAACGTCACCCTTGCCAAAGCCAAGTTCTTCGGGAATTGCGGCGTTGTAAGAGTACATAGCACGAGCTGTGGAATGCGGTTAGAAAAGCGATTTGTGATGAGAGGATTAGGTTCTTTGCTTACCGAAATGCAAGATGGGTCTGCCATCGCGGCTGAATTTGCGCCCAGGCTCAGCAACAGCCATCGTGCGGCTTCTGGAGCGGCCAGGAGGAGGACCGTCTCCATAAGTCGATGATGGACGGCCACCGGATCGACTAGGAGGAGGACCGTCTCCATAAGTCGATGATGGGCGGCCGCTGGATCGAATTGAGCTAGCGTATCCCCCGGGGCTACTGGATCCATACATATCATGGCTTCCAGATAGCTGTAGTTCCATGCCACCAGCGCTAGAGGGCCGGGCTTGCTGTCTGAACTGTGGGTTGGGGGACACCGCGCGGTGGCTCATGACAGGCGAAGCACCACGGCTATAGTCCTGGGCAGAGTAAGGTGGATCTTGGGTGCGACGTGGAGTGGGCGATGCGCTGTACTGACTCCGCATGCTGTTGGACTGGTATGAGCTGGGGCTAGGACTTGGTCCTCTGCCACTGTTTTGGCTCATTCGCGTGTCTACCCGCGGAGATGCAACTTGGGGGCTGACACTGCGTCTTGGTGCAGGGGCAGGGGACCTAGCACGCGGGACTTCTTGGGTCTGACCACTGTGTCTGGACCCCATGCTGCTGTTATTGGCACCTCGAAGCATACTCTGGGTCTGACCGGTATACTTCTGGGTAGTCTTGTGCATTTGCTTTGCCGTGAATGCAGGTTGCGGTGCACCTAGTCGCTTGACAGTAGGGTCATTGTATGCTGGTGGAGCGGCAACGCTGGAATTGCTTCCACCATAAGTGGAGTTGGGAGCCGAAGGTGTAGGTGTGGAAATACCGTGATACCTATCCGCCGATACACGGGTAGCTGACTGCTTCCCGCTGGTCTTGAGGTCGGCCAGAGCTCGGGCAATGGGATCCAGGTCATCTTCGGCCCCTTGGGCTGGCTGTGTGGATTTGTTAGACGTGTCTTTTTCTGGAGATGCTACATCAAAGACATTATTCCCGACGTTGAGTTGGAAGTTGGCTCGCGGATCGACAGGTTCTGGACTTCCGGAACGACGAACAGGGGTGCCTGCGATTGACTTCACCGGGCTGACCTGCTTTGGCGGGCTAACCTGCTTGGGAGGGCTGGCCTGCTTGGGAGGACTGACCGGCTTGGGAGGGCTGACTGGCTTGGGAGGACTGACTTGTTTGGGTGGGCTAATTGGCTTGGGTGGACTCATTTGCTGAGGCGGGTTGATTTGCTTTGGTGGAATAACTTGTTTAGGCGGGCTGGCCTGTTTCGACGGACTGACAGGTTTGGTCGGGCTCATTTGCTTAGTTGGAGAATCCCAACCACCCCTGGGGGCCGAATTTGATGCCACTGCCGGCTGTGAAGAGGCAGCATGTGCTGCAGGAATGACAGGTCTTTCCTTATCATGACGGCTCTTGCGGCGGAAGGGGCTATTGCTAAAGAACGCGCTCTTCTTCTTTGGTGATTTCTCATCCCCAGAGCTTGGTAGTGGAGCACTGTTTGTTGGCTTGGGAATAGACTTCTTGGTGGGAGTTGCCTCAACACTAGACAATGAAGTGGGGTTGGAAACTTCGCTCTGAGAGTCACGGCTAGACGGGCGATACGCGCTGGTTGCTGAGCTTCGCTCTGAGGGAGGCCCCGTTCGGCAAAACATGGTCATACCATCAGTCGGATATGCGTTGTGGGGAACGGCCCCAATCTCTCCGTGCTGGTCAGGATCGTAGTTTGGAGGAGGCGCGCCGCCACGGCGGAAGTCCAAGGGCGCAGGCTGCTGGGGCTGCTCCTGTGCATAATGCTGAGACCGATGGTGGTGTTGATGGTGGGTAGGTGACATCTGAGGAGGCATCTGAGGGGGTGGCATTTGAGCAGGAGGCATCTGGGCAGGCGGCATCTGAGGCATCTGTGGCATCTGAGGGGGTGGCATTTGAGCCGGTGGCATTTGGGCAGGCGGCATTTGGGGCTGCGCATTGGTAGTAGGTGACGCAGCAGAGTGTCCCATTTGAGCAGCAAGGTCAGACTGCGGATCGTGGTGCGACTCGAATGTGGAGGGTTGAGGCGAGGATGTTCGGAAAGCAGGATTCATAGTACGCTGGAACTGAGCCACCGAGTACCCTTCAGATTCGTCCATTTCGGAGCTTGAATCATCATCCTTGCAGAAGTTGATGAAACGCGGAGGATCAGGAATTTCTTGGCCGGTTCCCTGCTCCTTGATGAAGAAGATAATGTCCTTTTCAACTTCACAATCCTCCAAAGATAGGCGAACCTTCTCGCAAGACTATTCTTAATGTCAGCATCGCAAGTTTGACAATCAAAGATGGTAAACTTACACCATCGTCACTGACACAAACTGTCGAAGCGATGTTTGCATAAGTCCAAAGGCTGCTCTTTGTGAAATCCAACCTCTCCTCTTCCAAATCCTGGAACTTGTCGCAGGCAGACTTCCACTCCTTGTTCCAGCGCCCAGTTGTCTCTTCGAGAGTCTGGACCGCGGCTTCATATTCTTTGCTGTTGGAAGCCATCTGGACTTGTGTTTTTTCGAGCTTTGCCTTGTTCTTGCGCTCTTCCTGTCCCATCACCATGTGTCCCTGTGCGAGGTATCCTTTAATTCGAAGACAATCTTGTTCATAACGATCACGCGTCTGCAAAGTCAGTCAGAAGACTATTTCCTCGAACATCGGAAATGCACATACCTTGTTCACAGTTTGTGTTTGCTGCATTTTTGTTTTATGCAGACGCTCAATGGTCTGCTGAATAATCTTTCTTCGCTCCTTGATACCACTGGCAAATGCTGCTAATGGCTCCTCCAACTCTGTTTTCATTTGTGAAGCGATTGCCGCATGTCCCTTGGCGATGGCCTCGGTTTCCCCGCGCACCACGTCGAGGGAGTCACGGAGGGAGCCAATTTCGCATGACCCTAATGACTTGCGACAGAGGGCCATGAGTTTGCGCGCGTATTCATCTTCGATCGAGGCTCGGACTGTGCGATCATTAGTATACTGTCGTAGAATCTCGGTCCTATAGTCGGTGTCACATACTGCTGTAGAACACCTTTAGTTCGTCATTGGTGATCTTCGATCCATGCACGCGATCCAACATTGGTTGCAGTCCCGCATCGTCTTTGCCCCAGAAGTTGTTGGCAACTGTCGCATCGTCAGTATGGGATTAACTTTGGTCGGACTGCATGACATACAGGACATGGAGACCGTAGGTCCATCTGCGACAGTCCCCGGCATTGTGATTAATGTTGAGCCTCGGCCAGCCTTTGCTCATGCAATTAGAAAAAGGTGAAATTGCAGAAAGAAAGGTCCGAAGTCAAGTAGGAAAATTGATGTTAAACAAGAAAAAGGTCCAACACAAAAAGACCCAGCAAGGTCACTAATGTGTAAAAGTTGAAGGTGAGAGCCTTGGAGGGATCGATGTTTACGGGGCGCGTCTCTCGGGGCAACGACCGCGCGCCACGGTGACTAATCCACTTTTCGCCCTTAACTCCGTATACTTCTGTTTACTCCGGACATTTAACTGTTTACTTGTGGAATACTTATATACACACTTGTTCAATACTCTAAATCATTTCAATTTGTTCATTCATTTTTGGCTGTGAAACCTTTCTATGTAACAATATGGCCGGCAAAAGAAAAATTCAAGTCCAGTCTAAATAAGCCAAGCCAAAGCAAAGTCGCAGCCCAATATTCACCCAAAAGTCGTACACATGATGAATCATAATTTCTTTCAAAATTGCGCCCAATAGTCAGAACGCCAGTCAATGTCATATCCGTAAGTAAATCAGTCATGTAAAGCCCATTTCCAAATCATAAATGGGCAGACAAGACAATATTTCGTTGGTTCATTTCAAATCATAGATCGAAAACCGTGGTAATTCGTAGATCGTATGCATGGCAATGCTCATCCTTTAGGAAGAGGCATATATTCTCCAGTGGGTCTTGTCTTAGTAGACCACAGGGGTAGCGGAGGCAACGAAGCCGCTGGAGACGGGGGTAGAGACGCTAGAGGCCCAACTGCGGTTGCCACGGGCAATGAGAGAAGCAGAGGCAGTGGGGGTAGCGACGGAGGAGCTGGGGATGTAAGAGGACCAGCCGTACTCGCCGCGGACAGCCAAAGGAGCGACCGAGGGGGCAGCGCTTGAGCTGGAGGGGATAGCAGAAGTAGAGTGCCAGTCACGAGCGGCCAGAGTGGGAGAGACAGTAGCGCTGGAGACTGGGGCAGAGGTGTACCAGGCACGGGCAGCCAGTGAGGTTCCAGAAGCGGAAGGAGTGGCAATGGAGGAGCTGGGGGCAACCGAGTACCAGTCACGGGCGACGAGAGAGGTGGCAGAGGGAGAGGCGGAAGCGGAAGAGGACCAGCTACCAAAGGCCCGGGCCACGAGCGATGTCGCGGATGCGGCAGCAGAAGAAGAGCTGCTAGGAGCAGCAGTGTACCAAGCACGGGCAACAAGAGGGGTACCAGTAGCAGAGGAGCTCAGGCTTGAGGGAGACACCCAGTCGCGAGCGACGAGAGGAGTGGCAGACACGGAAGGGCTCAGAGAAGAAGCAGCACCGAAAGCGGAGGGGTAGCTGCGGGCATAGAGAGAGGCAGAAGAAGTGGGATATTCACGAGCCTCGACCGAGACGGGAGAAGCGCTGGAGTACGAGTACTCGCGAGCGAAGAGCGCGGGTTGACCAGCAGCTTTCAGGCCGCGGCGAAAGAAAGAACCCGCAGTGGGAAGAGCAATTGATGGGAGGGGGACATCATTGCGGACAGAAGGTGTCTCCAGACAAGGAGTTGAGCTAGCGACGGGAGTCGAGTAGGGCACACTTGAGGGACTGGCAGTCACAGTGACGGTGACAGGAACTGGGTCAGCACCGGGAGCAGTGACTGTAGATGTCTCGAAGACAGTATCGATCTCGGGTGCAGCAGAGCTAGAAGACTCTCCGTCGACATTGACCACTGAGTAGGGCTTGGGACGAGCAACCTCTCCGCTCTCTGGGTTGGCAAAAGGTGCAGCGTAAGTCATGCTGACCGAGAAGGCAAGGAGTGCTGCGTTAGAGAAATGCATTATGAAAGTGGGCAGTGTGGATCAAGAAAACAGAAGCGCTAAGATTGAAAGTGAAAATGTAAACAATGGGATTATGGGAGGTAGAGGCAAAGAGGATTGTGAGTTGAGGAATTAAATTGGAAAGAGCAGACGATTCTAGTCCGGACTTAAAAGTTGCAAGCAATTGATCAACCGTCAACATGCAAGTATATTCATTCCCCACGGCAATTAATTCCATTGGGCCAAAAATAGGCGGCTGGGATCTACAACGGTGGCTGGGTCTGGATGGCAACATCCAGCCATGGCTTTTTCGGTCTTTAATTTGATCGGGACATCCGCTGATTGGCTGAAAGCAGATCAAACTCGTGACCCACATGGCACATGTGCCAACCACGCTACGGTAGTGGGGCTTCCCTCGTCAATTAGTGTGGCTGGGGTCTCCACTCTGACACAACTGCCTGTGTTTCACTGTCGCCTAGTTTCTTTTCATAGATCACTTATGATGCTTCTATGAGCACAAGGGCCTGTATTTCTCCTGATCAACATGTAAATCTCAGTAGATCTTTTGATTGATCAACCTCTGCCGCGTTGGTTGCCGCTGTGGCAGGACACTAGATTGAAAGATCCTCCACTCTCACCAATCCGCACCCCAGCGCAGCACTGGCCCAGCCTGCACACGGGCGATTGGGGTTCCACCCGAGGGCTGTGACATGGGTGCCTTCGTCGTAAGTCGTGGATGTGCCCATCCCGCTCACGGGTTTCGTTTCAGTTGTGTGGTATTTGGCCAATTTCTGATTTTCTGCCCGGAACCCGTCAAAGAACCGACTCATACCGACAGAGTCTGATTTCGAGCTTGGGATCCACTCATGAGTGAACCAAGTTTGCTGTAATATCTGCTCCTTGTTGTAAAGAACTCGTCGGAAAGGATTTGTTCCTCCGACCTCGCCTCCGGAACTGCCGAAAAGAGCACAAGGGTGCCATGGACTGGCTGGGGCCATGGCTGACAGGTTGCTGGAAAATCTGGCAATATTGGTGGTGGTGAAGAATCGTCGGATTGGAAGCATGCGACCAAACTCGTTTTCATCACCCGCAACAAAACACTGAAGAACAGGTGACCAAGTGATGTAGGGAGCCGCTGCTCGCATGCGAACCGTAGAGGTTGTCTCGGTTTCCGGGTCGACCAGTGAACACATTTTAGTTTCGCCGTCCATAGCTACAGTAGCAACGATTTGAGGATTTGTCGGATATGCGCACGTAATAGAAAGAATATACGTGCTGTGGACAGGTCGGTATAGGAATGGTAGAGGCTCCGGGGCGTGTGAGGATGTGAAGCTCCAGACTGCTATAAACCCATTTGCACAACCCACTAAAAGCTCAGTGGGTGACAGCCAAGCGACACACGAAGAGACTGTTGCAGGTGGCCTTGCTTCAAACGAAGCCGATTTTATGTTGACTATAGTCAATGTGTTAGCAGAGCGTGTTCCAAAATTCGATTCCTGTAGGAAAAGACTGACGGAATTCTGTCTCTTGTGCTCCTCGGCCTCGGGTGATATCCAACACTCTGACATTCCCATCACCCCAGACTGTCGCAAGCAAGCCGATAGGTTTTCTGATTTCTTCTTCGTCCTCCTCGCGTCTTGAGCGGGGCATGGGACACCAAGCCATACGTCTCAAATCACCCCAGTCGGCACATATGACTTGTCGCAATTCTGGTTTCTTCTCCATATCCAGAGTCTTGGTTTCAGTTTCGGTCTTTTTGGCTTTAAACTCCCAGATCTGGAGAGCACCAGGGAAAGGATCTGTAGGTTGAAATGCCGAGAAAGGGTCACTATCCTCAGACCTGTGCTCATTCTTCTGGTCTTCCGTGAGCGGTGCGGCCACGGCTAGATATTGAGACAGCCCATCTTGATTGGGGGCCCAAGCCATGCAATTTATCTTGTGGCCGACGTTGACAATCCATCCTTGTCGGGCTTTTTCTGACTTGTTGCCCGATTTTGCGTTCCCCCAAGCCACGCCAAAGTCGAAGGACTCATGATAACCCACATCGAAGGTTTGCTGGCTTGCTTGTGGGCCCATACGGACGTGGTGTTTGCGCTCATCTCGCTGGGGCAGATACCTGATGTATGCCAGAGACTCCTCGATGGTCTCAATTTGCTGTCGCTTGCGGAACGATCCTCCGATTTTTTTGTCGTAGTACCAGTCCCACCCACGGGTGCTTTCTTTTTTGAGATCATCGGGATGCACGCCCATGGTTGGCCCATACAGAGTTTCATCGACCTCGCATTTCCCTTCCAACGCATATCGAGTGGGGAATGCGGAATCAATGCCTCTAGTCCAATTTCCCCGAGAGTGGATAGCTGCCATCATATCTCGCTCGTCAGAACCGAACGTCAGAGCATAATGGATATCTTTAGACAAATGATCTTTCGGGTCGATGATGCCCCGGCTGTGCGTATCATCTGCAGATGGCACGATAATTCCACGCGCTGCTCGTTTCTTGAAATGCATCTCACGTGGCCGAGATGCGGCATGTTTCCTAGGGGTGATTTCGATGTCATCGATGTCCATCTGGTCGGGGTCAGATGCATCGGATTCTGGCTCTGAATCTCCTCTCAATTCATTTTCAAGTTGGTTTCCAGCCATTTCGTTCTCTTCCTCTTCAGCTGGCTCTTCGGCTTCTTCCTCGGAGACTGCAACAAATTCATCATCTGAATGTGAATCCTCATCCTGGGCTCGCCTTGCCCTCTTTCCGGGAGTGTTTCTTCTCGCATTCGGATCCTCTTCATCGCTGATCCCAGCCTTTTGGAATGGATCATCCACATAGACCGTCCTGGGACCTGACTGGCGTCCAGACCTGCGTCCAGCAGGCATTTTGTTTGGACAGTGTGGGCGGTGACAATCAATCTCCTGGCTGGTTGAAGATCAGTCTGATTACAGCAAGATCTAGCCAGCCTAGGCTATATCATCAAAAGAATCCGGTGTATTAGAGCGTGTCTACCCCTCTGAAATGAAGTGTAAGTAAAGCTTGAATACACGAACGTGCAAGGCGGTGGCACTAAGCCATAAGCGGCTAGTGTCTTTTCTGCCTTGAACCTGAGGCTCCCATCATCCTCTCCTCTTCCCCCACGCATTCCACGCATCCCACACACTCTACACATTCTACACGTTCTACACGTTCTACACATTCCACACACTCTGTTTTGATTTTCCTATTGCGTCAAATATACTGTCACATTCCTCAGATATTCGTTCAACCCCAATTGCTTGAGCACGATATGCCATGCTTCATATTTCTCGAGGCCGACAGGGTCCGTGGCCAATATTGGTGTGACAGAACCGCCATAAGCCTGTAAAATGAGGATCCCGTGATCACTCCAGGCCTGATGTGTCAAATTACGCCTATACCACCTTCCTAAGTCAGAGCATCAATGATCGCATGGCGCTACACAGCTCTTCCAGGGTTCCTTTTGTAGAAACTCTATCAACGTTTGACAGCAGTAACCCGATCCGGTCATAGAACAGTCTCTATGTTGTCGTGACTGCAAAGTGGCATTCCCTGACATGATACTGATACCCAGGGGTTACTCCGGCGATGCAACGATAGATGTGTTGAGGATGCTACGGCATTTCTGTCCATGTAGATTTTGCAAGTTCCAAGATCCGGGCCAAGAGGTACTCGTACAACGAGCATCTCACCAGGAATTGATCCAGCTGTGTTTCTCCAGGGGTCTACTCTTAGCACAACCAAAATGGTGTGGCTGATCACGCTGGCTGATATATTCCAATGACATTCATCTGCGGCACTCACAGACTGTGAAGGTATCGAACAACTCGATCAATCAAATCCTGCTGGCCTTCGCTATGGACATTGTGAGCAGCTCCTTCAATAACCCCGCTGTTTTCACTATCCCATTTGGTGCCTCCTGCCTCGGTAGCTTGTTGCCATCGCTGTAGTAGCTTGGCCTTGTCCACCCAATGGGGGCAATATTCGTCTGCACCGGAGTACAAAAACATGATCTTTGAATCAATTAATCCTCTGGTACCAATCATACCAAAGGTCTCTTGCAAGCGCTTATCGGTCAAGTCAGAGCTAAAGACATCATCGTCAGATGGATGCTCAGGGCTCTCAGGGCTGACCAGGCTTAAGAATCTCCGGGCACTCAGAGGTGTATCGGGAGGATAAGATAGCTTTGCGGTCAAGTTCATGGGGAGAATAGAATCGCCCTGGTCCTCTGTATATGGCTGCTTCTTGGCGAAACCCACAAGTTGATCGTAGACCTTTGTAATCTCATCAGGCTGATCAGAGGTGTCGATAATAGCTTGCAGACCCTCTCTGTCCGAAGCCGGTGCCTGCAGAATAGCACCATCCAGCTCAGGACGAACGATATGCTTCAGACCGAGATTGAACTCCCTTTCGGGCACGGGATTCGGCGAGTAAAGATAATGGAGCACATCTTGGCTACCAGTGGAATGGCCCATGACAGCGATCTTCCCACCTTTTGTCGGGGCACCAGGCTGGCGCGAGGCCTTGAGATCCCGAATGAAACGCACGCATTGACCGAGCTCTTCTACGTCGCGATCGAGGCTTCCGACTCCCCACCCGCCGTAGGATGAGGAGAGCAGAACGGAAAAGACTGACCACTCGGTATTTTCTAGAGCTTTGGCCAGTTTGGATACGTAGGGAACAGTGCAAAATCCATCTGTCAGTCCGCCTACGAAAATCAGACTGTTGATTTTGTTGATTCCCTCTGCTGGTGGGGTGAACTCGAAGGCCACAAGTCTGGGAGCCTGCGGGGAGGTTAGATTTGAAGGGTTTTAAGGGAAGGGAAATGCATACATATTCGTGGAGAACACCTCCATGTGACAATCCACGACTGGCGTTGGATGACATGTTTTTATGGTTGTTGCAATGGTTCAATAGTTGAGAAAGGGAGTGTCGAGACAATGGGGGCGATTGACGTTGACGTGCAGGTGGGGTTACCAGACCCCGACTAAATCATCTGCGAGATATTGATTTATGCTGAGAATCCCAACCGCCCATGGCAATCAAGTCAATATTTCAAAATCGAAAAAGAAACAAAGTAAAAGTGAGGGAATATCTACTTGCAAACAGCGGGGGAAATTCCATTGGGGCACCGGGTGGACATCTTTGGGGGTCGATTAGCACATAGTTCGTGTCGATTGAAATCCGTCTGTACACCAACTTGGGTAGCGTCTGATCAGCCTATTTCAAGACCGGGAAACATTAGAACGTCGATGCTTCGCCATGAGCTCTCAGGGCAGTTAAATAATGCGGCTCTACGATATAGAACGGATGTGCCTTGAGCTATGCCGGATATGGCTGTAGGACAAGGAGCTAACGAATCCACAACCGACATTGTTACTGGATTCTACAGTTATGTCAAGCCTTTGAAAAGCACATCTGGACCATGAAGAGAGAACTTTGAAATTTGAACTATATCAACAAGAAAGAGATCATTCAAACACCACCAGAAGTGCACGGATTTGGAACAGCAGAGGTTATAAAGGGGTATATCACAGCACAGGTAGTAGTAGACAGTCCAAACATCATTTCATGCGAGACTTGAGAGACGAAGATGCATTGGATCATTTGGACACCGAAAAATAGATGAGGCTTAAACCTTGAGCCACAAGCTCAACACACCCTTGAGGTACTCGACAATCTCAGAGCCACCAAGCTTGCTTTCGCCGTACAAGCGGTCGACAAAGGTGATCGGACACTCGGAGACCTTGTAGCCCATTGCCTTGGCACGGACCATCATTTCCATCTGGAAGCTGTAACCCTTGCTCTCGGTGTTGAGAATGACCTTCTCCAGCACGGACTTCTTGTACAGGCGGAAACTGCCTGTCAGGTCACTCACACCGGGCATCAACATGACATCGGCGATCAAGTTGGCAGTGCGCGACGTGAACTTGCGGAACAAGTCCCAGCCATAGACACCGCCCTTAATATCGCCGCGGTTCGCATATCTGGTTCCAGTCACAATGTCGGCGTCGGTCTCCTTTTGGATTCTGATCATTTCGGGAATAAATTTGGGGTGGTGGCTGAAATCAGCGTCCATAATGATGACATAGTTGCCGGTCACGTATTTCAGGCCGTGCACATAGGCGGTTCCAAGGCCAAGCTTGCCCTCGCGAGGCTTCAGGACGATGTGTTCGGGGCCATAGAGCTTCTGGAGCTGCTTTGCGATCTCGAGGGTGCCGTCAGGGGAGCCGTCGTCGACGACAATAACCTCCCAATCCAGCTTCCTGGTAGTGGAGAAAATATATCAGTACAAGGCTTATAGTCATGAGTGAATTGGCACATACTCCTCAACGAAAGTTCGTTGGATCAACCAAACGATGATAGGGAGGTTCCTCCGCTCATTGTAGGTGGGAAGGATGATGGAGTACTTGTTGGTCGCACCCATTTTGAAACAGCCGTAATTGAATTAAGAGATAAGGAGCGGTACAAGATCAGAAGATCGAGGAATTAGAAGAAGAAAAGTAGGGAACGTATGGCTGACAGCTTGTTGCATGCGGCAACGCCAGATCGCGGCCAAGTCGCCAGATCCGGTTGCCACCGCCTCGGGCAGAACCCGATAGCTTATCGGATCTCCAAGTGCATCTTGTTTGGATCAACATCCTTTTCATCTTCACGTATTAAACACATTGCAATGGATCCCTTGACTGCAGCACATCATCGAAATGCATCCAGGTGTATGCGCTCAATCCGTTTTAGGGCTTTAGGCTCTGGCTATCCCTTACTGACTTGATTGCCCGTGCAGCTTCTCGGCCCCGCAGCTCGACCAGAGGTCCTCTTGATGCATTAGATGAGTGAGCATCAGATGTTACTTCTCACCGCTCCATATTGTGTCTGACAGCACCCCCATAGTCCTCTTTCTGCTTCGACTCTACCCACTTCACCGACCAAGGACAAATCAATGGCTTCCAACACTTTCACCGGGGCATCTTTCCACGAATTAGACCCGCTAGCTCCAGATGATCTGCCTGAAACCCTAGGAAAAGACCTCTCCTTCCTCCTTAGACATAATGTCTTCCATACGCTCTCTCATCTCGACATTCCTCCACCACTGCGATCAGAATTCCTCATCCTCAACCCTGGAGAACCTCTATCTTCCTCTTTGGCTATTCTCGAAAAGCTATTAAGTGAGGGACGGTTTCTCGTCGCGGCGCATTTCTCAGCTTCCATCCTTACATCCTCGTTAATATCATCCACCGACATCAGGCTTATCTTCTCCCTGTTCTACACACGTCTTGCTTGCTTGGAGCTATCTGGCAATACGGTTTTCGCATCTCAAGAATCCAAAGCGCTGGAGGATCTGAGCTCCGCATTTTATTATATTGATGTGGGATCGGCTCGGGCAGATAATGATAATGATCTTGAACACGAGCATGCCAATGAACATGAACCTCGCCATATTGTCCCATGGCCACTGCGTGTTTTAGCCGTGAGACTCCAGAGCATTGGATTTGGAGACTCCCGTCGGGGTATTGGGGGGTTGTACGAAATCGGAATTGAGGTGCGCCGGGAGATCATGAGAAAGGGGATCAGTGAGACAGAGCGGGATGTATGGAAACAAAGACTGGCCGACCTCGGTATCAGCAGCATCAATGCGCTTATAGAGATGGGTGATTTTGATGCAGCCAGGCGATCACTTGGTAATCTCCGAGTACCTGGACCTGAAGCAGAACTCACAAAGCTGAGGAAAGCGCTTCTTCTTTTGCGAGTGGGTGATTTGGACGCTGCGAGTCAGGTATTCGGTGATGCGAACGAGACAAAAGAAGCCGCTCTATTAAAGCCTCTTATCAGCATGTCAGATGGTCGCTATTCTGATGCTGTGGCTGAATGGCGCGCCCTTGGGGATGATAGGACACGAACAGATGGAGCTCTGGTAGCCCAAAATCTAGCAGTGTGTCTATTGTACACAGGCCAACTGGATGAGGTATTTACCACTGGCGTCCTTGTATGGCCGACTCAGCTAATACTTTCTCTACAGGCTCGTCAGCTCCTCGAAGCTCAAGTTTCTACCAATCATTCATTTGGCAGTCTGGTCTTCAACCTATCCACAATCTACGAGCTCTGCTCTGACAATGCGGGTTATCTCAAGGGCCAATTGGCTGAGACGATCGCAAAACAGCCTGTGACCGGGCAGACGAATTTGGATCGGCCAAACTCGGACCTGAAGTTATAACCTATTAGATATCCATGAAGAATCGAACTGATGAAGAATTCGAGTCTTGACTAATTCATGAATTTGGAATAGCATCAATCTGCTAATGATAAACTGAACCACCTCCCAACCAACACCATGCAAATGAATGGACACCCCTATATGCCCTTGTTCACAAAACGCCTAGCCCAATATGTACTCATGCAGCCAATGAATTTGGCTCTGGTTTTGGCGGCCTCTGTCTTGGCCGTTTAATGATAATCTTATCACCCTCTCGTTCCCAACGGAGCTTCTCTTTCTCAGCCAATGTCTCCCATGTCCAACCTTGATCGTCTCCCGTGCAGCCGTGCAGAATCCAATTGATATGCGCGTTGAGATAAGCACTGCCGACAGCCTTGAGCGCATGTCTGCGCATCCGATCTACAGCCCAATTCATCACTGCGCGAACATGAGAGTCCACACTGTTATGGACCTGCCAGAAGACCACCCAATTGTTGTGGATCAGCGCCGTGAGAACCTTGTCTACCATCTGTGACTGGTAAGCGTGCTCTCTGCGCGCGCGGGCGCGCAATTCAAAGGCTGCTGCCATATCTTCTTGTCGACAGGCATAATCGAGGATCATATATGTAATTAATTCCTTGGCTTCCGGGAGCGGATGGGATGGTGAATGCAGTTTGTCCAGGACGTATCGCAAGGAAGGAAAGTATGAGGGTGGGTGATGGGCGAGGATAGATAGTCGGATGGAGAAGACGTGGATTCTTTGTGAAAATGCCGTCGAAACTGTCGCGGCCGTTGCCAGAACGGCTTCGCGCAGCTTGCGAAGTGAGAGCAGGAGCGTGGATAGCTCTGTTGCTGGTGGCGGAATGCCCCTCCGTGCGGGGTTCGATTTCAAGGGTGACTGGAGAGCGGGCGGGTTGGAAGTTGCATCGTTCGATGAGCTTTTTGGAAGAGATGCATGTGCGGCTTCCAGATCTTTCGAGTGATCGTCACAGAATCGCATATATCTACCAGCAATATTGTCGAAGTACTCCGCCTGGACCTTGTGGTCCAACAACCTGCGGGTGTTAGTACAAATGGGGGTATCTGCGAACCAAAGACATACTTCTTGTCGCCTTTTGAAACGAATCCAAAGATCTGCAACGAGTCAGCTACCGGGCGTAAGCGACTCATCTTGCCGTTGAACTGGCAACTGGCAATTGACATCAGAACGTTCGAAGTTGATATGGATCATGTTTGCACTGTTTGCTTCCCTCCGGCCGAGGTCCCAACGGTCAAGTTCCTATTTCCTCCCCAACTACCCAACGGTCTTCTCCTTTTTTTTCCTTGTAAATGATTTTGGCTCTTCGAATTCTCACTTGATTGAACCAGTCTGGATTTTGGCTGACTTGTACTACATAAGTCAGTGGGTGGGTGACTTCCAACCTCATTGCTCACAGCCTCATACTTGCATATCACATGTGATGGCTCGCCAGCGTCGCCCTATTGAAGACAGCCAGGTCTCAGGGGATAGTCAGCCTGCAGGAATTGCTTCTGTCGTCGGGGAGGCACCACCTAAACTTCTAAAGCGACTTCTGCATTGGGATGATCTACCTCATTGGCAACGAGACAACCATCACATACATAGTGGATATCGGCCCGCCTCGTCCTCATTTTTGAGTTCATTTCGATCACTGGGTTACCTTCACAATGAGACGGTTAACATCTACACCCACCTGTTACCAGCCGCAATTGCTGCTCCGGCGGCATACGGACTCTATCACGTACTTGCTCCCCGGTACCGGAACGCCGCCGATTCCGACATCCTCGCCTTTTGCAGTTTCTTCGCAGGGGCGAGCTTTTGTCTTGGTATGTCTGCGACCTACCACACTATCTCGAATCATTCTCCCGTGGTAGCTCGCATTGGTAATGCGCTTGACTACATTGGGATTGTGGGACTTATCGTGGGGAGCTTTGTACCCAGTGTCTTCTACGGGTTTTACTGTGTCCCCGAACTCCAACATCGGTATTGGACCATGATCTGCACCATTGGACTGGGCTGTGTGGTTGTCTCCGTTCTTCCCCGGTTCCGCACACCCACCTGGCGTCCATTTCGCGCGGCCATGTTCGTGGGGATGGGCTTGTCTGCCGTCTTTCCCGTGGTTCATGGAGTTTTACTCTTTGGCTTTGAACGTATGAGACAGCAGATTGGCCTTGGGTGGCTCTTGCTTCAGGGCTTTCTCTATATCCTCGGAGCAGGGATCTATGCGGCTCGAGTACCCGAGCGTCTCATGCCCGGGCGATTCGACATTGTGGGGAGTTCGCATCAGATCTTCCACGTGCTGGTTGTCTGCGCCGCGTTGGCTCATCTCACAGGGTTACTGAAGGCATTTGATTATCGGCACAGTGGGGCAGCCGAAGCGTGTCAGATTCTAGGCGGCTGAATTTGGGGGACTGTCGCAACACAAGTCGAGGTTGGACAACATGCTCATGGCAAATTTGTTCAAGAGGTAGCATGGAATGGCAATGATTATGTAGCCTACGTGGCGCGACTCATGTTCAACAACCTCAGGGATCAAAGATCCCCCTGCTGACGATGACTTGGATCAGTATGTGCGACAATAACCCAAGGGTTTAAACGAAGCGGTGTGCAAGCAATTCGGCTCCCAGGAGTAAGTCCGGTCAGCCGATGGACAGTCGTTCTTTTTTTTTTTTTTTTTTTTTTTTTTTTTTTTTTTCCTTTTTTTTTTTTTTTTTCCAGCTGTCCTTCTCTGTTGTCCGTTTTTTTTTGGCGCTTGCGCGTCGGCGCTGTGATTATACATGTACGGCGTGCCTTGGCAC